GACCTCATTTTTCTTGCGATCATCCTCATCATCGTCTATGAAGTCAATACCAGCGAGGTAGAAATATCGGACAGCGAAATAAAAGACGAGATAAACGACGAGTTCTTTCCAGGCCGTCCTCCAGATCGAGCCTTTCCATCGTAAAAGCAATCGTAGGAAATTTCCCGAGTAGGATATTGTCATTGGAACTCAAAAATTTGAAAGTTTGATCTTGATTTTTGACTTTATCATGCAAAACAAGAATTCAGAGCCAATGAAAACCAAAAATCAGAAAAAACACGCTTCAAAATATTAAAAAACTTGAAAAAGACACGTTATTCGAGCTGCAGAGCTTGATTTTTAATCGTAGTGAAAAAATAAAATCAGAACATGAAGTTGATGAAAAAATAAGGTTCTTAATAATAAACGATCAGAAAGGAACTTAAAATTGAAATTAAAATAAAAAAAAGCAGAGACAAACAAAGTCGTCTTGGAAACCACAGGAAATCGAAAAAAACAAAAAAAAACAGAATGATTATCAATTTAATAAGCGATTTCTGATACTTTCAATTATTTTTCAAACTTTTTTTCAGTTTTTTTCAAATTGATAAAACTAGACATTTCTTAACTTGAAAAAAGTTTCAAAATCCCTCAAAAAAATAGTGTTTTTTTAGCCAAAGGGTACATATTCTCTGCAAAAATCTCGGTTTCCAATTTTTTTCAGAATTTTTCTCGATTTCTGGAAACTTTTTTTCTTTTTCAAATTTACTGACATAAACTTTTGAAAAAATCAATGACTCGGAAAAAAATGTTTTTAAATGCGAAACGAATCTCTACATCAACCCTTTTCAAACTGAAAAATCGGTTCGTAAACAATTTTATTTATAACACGATTCAAAATCAATCTTAAAATTCAAATCTTTCCGTAAAAATGCAAATCCTATCGTCCCAAAACGTTCGAAACTTCGAAAAATCAAAAAAAAAACGTCAAAACTGTCGAAAGTGGCCTAATTCAACCGATTTGTAATATTCTCTCAAGCGTAATGGAAAGTTGTGTCTAGGGGAGAATGACTCATTCAATTACTGTGGGTCAAAATCAGAACTTTGATCATTTTTGGGTCTATTTTGAAATGAAATATTCACGGAAAAAGTTGGAAATATCCATAAAAATTTTTAAAAATACAGTTAACTTCAAAAAAAAAATCCCAAGCTTCATTTTAGACCTAAACAACACAAATTTAAACTTGAAAAAATTCTACACCTTCAAGAACTCTCAAACAAAGCCTAAAAATCATTTGAGACCTGAAAGAAACGAGTTTAAAAATTTTAAAAACAGTCTGAACCTTTAAAAACTATCAAAGAAAGCCTATACATCATTTTAGACCTAAATAACACAAATTTGAACTTCTTAACTTCACAAAAAAAGTCCGAACCTTTAAAAAACTTTTAATGAATGCCCGAGTTTAATTTTAGACCTAAATAACACGAATTTAAATTTTTCCAAGACTGCCTAGGCCTTAAATTGACTCAAAACCCTACAGAAAACCACAAAAACCTCAGAAATCACATTCCCAGAGAAAAAACGAAGGTCGATGTGTGACTACAAAAAAGGTGTCCCGCAGAGGCGATTACATCGGCTTTAGAAAAAAAAAAACAGAAAGAAGAGCCGCAAAAAAGAAAAAAAATGGGAAAAAAAGGGATCATACAAAAAATTTGTTTGGAAGCGAAAAAATGCAGCTAGGATTTATGGAAAAAAATATCTCAAAAATTCATAAGTTTTTCTGGAAAATTTTCGACCTCGAAAAAAAAATAAAAGTTTTTGAAGTTCGACGAAAAAAAAATTAAGTTCTCAATGAAGCGCACAAGCTCACGATTTTTTTCAGCTTCAAAAATGAAAAAAATATTGATCAAAAAAAGAAAAACTGGAAATTTTCTCCTCCAATTAAACTTTCTATCAAGGTTTTTCTTTTCAGAAAAATATAATGAAATTCAACGAAAATTAAAAATGTAATAATAATAAATCCATCTTTAATTCAAACTCCAATGGACCTAGACTTCTTTCTAAATTTTTTTAAGACTTTTATGATAATGAATGTTACGGCAAAAAGTGAGAACGTCAAAAGAAAAAAAGGACTAGAAATGCTAATAAGCATAAAGAAAACAAAATGTGCACCCGAACGCGCACTTTATGCTGTTTTTCTGCATAAAACGAGCACAAGGAACCAAAAATCAACAGGAAAAGGGGTGAGAAAACGAGGATTTCTCTTAGCTTCCTCCATCTGCTTGGGAGGATTGAGTGCCGTCGGATTTTAATGGATTCAAGAGGAAGAATTGATTAGAAATGGTCCTTTTTCTTTTTTCTATAAATCGCTTATATCTTGAAGATTTTTCACAGTACAAACCCGCAGAAAACCCTTTATTTTCGACCTCAAATAAAAAATATTTGAAAATGCGACTCTCAGAACAAATATAAAGTCACGCCAAGGCCTCAATTGCCTCACTTATCGACCCTCAGAAGACAAACATCGAAAGATAAATAGAAAAAAATGAGAAAAAGTACAGATTTTTTATAAGTTTGCAAAAAAAATTCTGAGTAACCTGGAAAAAACGATCGGAAAATGTTCTGCGGAACATGGCAAATATTTGCCCGCTAGCCTTGGTTTGAATGTATCTTTTTGAATTATGACAAAGCAATATTTACAGAATGTACTTTCGGTTTTAAAAAAGAAGGTAACTTCCAAAAAAACTTATTTCGGAAGGTTAAATGTTGCAATTTAATTCTTTTTGAATTTTAGTTGAATAAACTTTACAAAAAGCATAAGAAAAAAACCTTAATTTTTCGTTTTTTGATGATAAAAAGTTTTTCAAACATTCATAAATACTTTTTTTACTGTATTGAACCAGGAGAAAAACTTGAATGCACTTGAAAAAGAGGGGATGGAAGGTCGACACTTGATGCTAGGCATTCTGAGTCATCGCTACTGAGAAAGAAAAACAAGAAAAGGCTCAAAAACGAAAGAGCAAGAATGACAACTGATAACGATTTTTCGTATCGTTCAAAAACCCATCTTCATTTCATCTTATTGAGAAAGATTATTGGAGGGTTTTTTTGCATCATAACGAAAAGGATATTTATTGATAGGGAAGATGAAAACAAAAAAAAATTGAAAAAATGAAAAATATTTTTTTGTCGTCAAAAAAAAAGTATTTGGTGTGCCATATGTGCGTAGTCATTGCGTAGATTTGACTACCGTAATGAAAAATAATAATTTTTTTATACGAGAAAACCTAAATTTTTTTCTTTTTTTTTGAGTAGGGAAAAAAACTATGAGTACCGAAAATTCCCCAACAGAAAAACGGCCTCCCAGAGTGCCTGAAACGAGGCAAAAAACCGGTCCGATTTCAATAGTGCGCAAGGACACGAAAGAGTTGAATTGTTTATTGCTTTCTTCATTTCGTAAATATTTTCGCAATTTACAAGGCACACAATGAATCCTCATTAATATGTTACAAACAAAAAGGTGCATTTTTTGGTTCGATAAATTGTTTAGGAAGAAAAAGGTGGAAAATTCCCCGACTAAATATCACCCCCAGGAAGCGTTAGATGGAATAAATAGAATCTTATTTGTCAAAGAGAAAAAACCGGGATCGCACACTGAAATCTAGTAACTAGTAAATCGGTACCTAGACAATAGAAGTACATAAAAAACTGTCAAAAACACATAGAAGATTGCATTTTTGAGCAAAAATCACAGAAATTCACAGGCATCTTGGGCGAGGTTCACTCATTTCATTCAATTTACAAAGATCTTCGGTTGGATCCGAGAGGATTCGAAGAGGAGAAGCGAAAGATACAAGGGTATTGTAGGATATTCTATTCACAATGAGGAGAGAGGGACTAGGATTCGTATAAAGTAGAGAAAAGGGAAGATGTTCTTTTCTTTTCTCAGCTCGAATTGGTTCAAAAAGAAACATCTTCAGGTTTTCAAGGAGAAGAGGACTGGGCGGAAAGATGACGACGTGCTCCGTCGAAGACCGACTGCAGAGAAAAGGCGTCGGCGGTCAGTTCGCAGATTTCGCGATCGCCCCAGGACTGCGTCGGCAGATTTTGCAGGAGGATCATGATGCCCTGAAACGAATGGTTTTGATCAGTTGCGCTCCACCAAACTAGTCTAGACGTGAAAATCAGCCACTCGGACCTTGGTTATGAAAATCGGACGAGCTCCGGACGTTGCTGAGCAATTCTAGGGATCACTTAAGAGTTCAGACGCTTCTAAAGTGGTCACTAGAACCGTCCCGTTACCAAGGTCCGAGTAGGGAGCTTTTGAGCATCTTCGAATTGATTTATCAAAAAAACATTGAAAAAAATCAAAAAACTGTTAGAAACAAAAGTGTAGAAAATTTTCAAAAGCATTTCGAAATTTAGAAAATTGATTTAATCGCCAAGTTCCATGCTAATATTGGGTAAATCCTAAATTTCCAGATTCGCTGAACTAGAAATTTTTTGTAATTCGTCAATTCTCAGCTACAAAAATCCCGGACTTTGAGCTCTTATTTGGAAAAAAGAAGTTCTGAAATATAGAGATTATTTTGAATGAGAAGAATCTCCAGAACTTCAATGACAAGATCAGATTTTTAAGTTTTTGGCTATACGTTTCTTTCATCCTACGCAATCCTTACTACAGAGACTTTTTATTAAAAAAATTCATATTTTTTCGTTTTCCAACGAGGCTAAGGCTCTAGATATTCAATTTCTCTGAAACTTTTTCGCCGTAGATAACCCTCTTTTACTTATATAGTATGTTTCAGAAGGACATCAAGGCTTTTACCTGAAAATCTTTCTCAGCCTGAAGCTGTCGAGACCAGGTGCGCAGAAAGGCCGCACAGACGTAGTTGTGGAACTGGGAGAAACCGTCCGGTTCACTCTGAACAAATTTCCGATAGAAAAAATCATAGCTCAATCCATTCTTGGAAAACAACGGGAAAAAGTGGGAAAATGTGTGCATTTTCAGCTATAGCTCCCTTAAATCGAACGACTTCTCTACAAATTTGAGATTACATGTTTTCTAGATAAAGTTTTTCATGCTGATTCCAAATCCGGCCTCAAAAGCTGGCACATGGATCTGTGAAAAAAGTTATGGATCCTCAAAAGTCGAAAATCTCATAGTCTCCGATCGAGCTCATTTTTGGAGGGTATGTAGTCCTTGATTCCTTTGTCACGAAAAACCATTCAATTTTTTTCAGAAAAGTTCTGGTAAATTAGAAATCCTATTAAGGCCTTTTCCTATGACTTTTCCTTCATTTCAAACACTAAAAGCTAAATATTTTCCCTTTCAACCGCCCCCCAAAAAAATTTTCTCATCCTAAAGCCGAAGCCATAATTGGTGCCGCCGAACGTCCGAAAATTGTCGACTCGAAGGCCTAATTCGATTTTCGTCAAAGTCCCCGAAGGCTTCGAAAAAAAGCTTGAGCTTGGGCTCTTCAATGATCAGATATCTTATAAAAATTTTTAAAAAAATATAAAAAAATCATCTAAATCCGGCTTTTTTTGATTATTTGAGTTGTTTTGGGATCTTTAGAACTTCAAAACTTCAAAAAATCGTTCAAAAATTCTTTCCAGGGTCCTAAAAAAATGCAAAGCCTTAAAAAAGGGTAATGATAGGAGGTCTGAAATGACATAAATCATTGAAAAATCTCAAAATTCTTTAAAAATTCCTTTTTCGGCCAAAGTTTCTATCAGAGTTCCTAGAAAAAAAAATATACATAGCCTTTGAAAAAAATTAACTCGTTTTTTTCTATAAATCTCTTCATTTTTGCACACTATTTCGCTCGTCTCTTTTCGTCTCAAAAAAACTGAAAACATGAAAGAAAAAAACTATATTAATTTCATTTTTTTCAACCATAAAATACCTAATTTTTTTCCTAAGAGAATAATAAAAACAGCTGAATTACCAAATAAGTGTCCCAAAAGTCGGATGGTGGCCCTCAATGGAATCTCTCTCATGAGAAGATTATTCATCCATCTGAAGGCAAATTGCAAATATTCGACTCCGTTCGTCTCCAAGTGCTTGTGGAGGGGTCCTGCAACGAATTTTCGAACTTTTTGGATCCCCTATGATGAATATGAATTCTCACTTAGCTTAAAAAAACATAAACTCAATGATTTTTTTGAATTCAAAAGTGATTACTTTGTTTTAAAATGAGTAAAAAGCTCCAAATTTCGATAAAATGTGACATTTTACACAAACAAAAAGCTGTTTCAGTACCTTTTAAACATATAAATTGAAAAATTAGCACAAAATCGTAATTTTTCAACTGAAATCGCAAGCTTGAAGCTCAAAAAACTGTGTAAAATGGAGAAAAATCTCATTTTTGGAAATTTTCTCTTCACAAAATTGTATAGTAATACATTTCTACAGTCAGTAAATTAGGGAGAACTTCAAAAAAAATCCTTAAAATTTCTTTAAAAAGGTATTTTTATGAAATTTTCAAGGCTTCCTTCAGCAAGTACATGAAAAAAAGGAAGTTTTTTGTTTTTTTTTTCATTTTTTCCGATTTTTCAACCATGAAACTCACGATCAACACGGCTCATCAAATGCCTCAATTGCAGGACCTTTCGTTGGATGCCAGGCTGGGCAAACGTGTAATTGTCCTAAACAAGACATTTTAAAAAAATCAGAAGAAAAATAGTGCTACTGCTATTTTTTCTTTTCCGAGGGGTACTGTATGTGAAAGTCCGCATTTGGCGTGTACACGTCGCGTGTTTGCACATTTTGTGAGTCAAATATCCTCTTTTTATTCCATTTTTTTATTATTTTGAAAGAAGTAAGAATTAATAGTTGATGTAATTCCATTTTCCGAGGGGTACTGTATGTGAAAGTCCGCAATTGGCGTGTTTGCAAATTTTGCATCAAATTACATCAACTTTCAGTCTGAGTTCTTCTAAAATTAAAAAAAACTATCAATTACAGAAAAAACGCAATGAAAAACTATCAGTTTACAAAAAAAAAACAGATTTGAGCACTCAAAATGTGCAAACACGCGACGTATACACACCAGTTGCAGACTTTCACATACAGTACCCCTCGGAAAAGAAAAATCCCATCTTTTCGTAGCCCTAGAGCAATATAAAATTGCTTTTGAGGGATACCAACCTGAATCGAATCGAGAAGCGCCGAGACGCACCAAAACGAGTCAGCCTCGACCAATTGGCACTGTTCCAAGGGGAGTTGGGACACGTCAAATGATCCCACCTGAGAAAAAAATTATACAAAAATGCTACTAAAGTTTGATTCTACACTTGACACTTTCAACTAGTGAGAAAAATCTAGAGAAATGCATCGTAATTGAGCAAAAAAATTTTAAATAAACAAATAAAACATTAAATGTGACCTCACGCACTAAAAAAATTAGTTAAAAAAATAAAATCAAAAAAAGTGGTCCCTATAGGGGTTTAGAATCTGGCCCCTTAGCCCCTAAAGCTCAAGTGGACCCTATAGGGGTCTCTAAATTTCATTCAAAAACTCTTATTTATTCAGTTTTCCCCATGGAAATGCTTCTTCGCTAGGAGTTCATAACAATTATCGATCAACGTGTCCACTATAGGGGCCACTTTTGCAAGCTTTAGTAGTCCCTATAGGGGTTGGTAAAGTGGTCCCTAAAGTGGACCCTCCAAGGGCCTCTAAGGACACCACTATAGGGACCACTTTGGAGTTCCTAAGTCGATTCGAAAAAATTGCTTTTTACGCAGTTTTTCTTCATTTTTCTCGGTTCCAACATGAAAATTCGACTTTTTCGAATATTTTTTCACTTTCCAGTTCAATTTTTCATGTTTTCCAACTACAGAAATAGGATGAAAATTTCGAAATATTGGTCACTGAACGTTGATTTTTTCAAATTTTGCCTTAAAAAATCAATATTTTCTATAAATTTTCCCTTCCCAGAAGCATTTTTCTTCATTTTCCAAGCACCTCAACATCCTGGGGAATGAATTCCGAGAGAAAAACGACGAAAAACGGCGTCACGAGGTCGTTTATGCCCTGAACGTATCCGGAAGCCGGATGGCGGATCGCCCAAATGTACAGAACCCTTTCGAACATCTGAGGTAGAAAACATTTTTTTTCTTCTGAAAGATATCATTTTCCAAAACCTCCTGGACCATTTTCTGCTGGAACAGGGGGATCAGGGGACACATTCTTGGGATGTCGATGTGGATCTGAAGAAAAATATCGATTAAATGATGATAGAAATTGGATAAAATACTGGAAAATGATGGAAAATATCGAATAAAAATGGGAAAAATGGCAGAAAATATTGAATAAATAATGTAAAATTGTGGAAAATATTGATTTAAAGTGATGAAAGATCCAAAATTTCGTTGGGATTTTGGAAAACGATGGAAATTATTGATTGAAACGGGAAAAGTGATCAAAAATGTTAATGAAAACAGGAAAATGAAGGAAGAAGTTCATTAAAAGTGAAAAAAATTATAGAAAAAGATCGATTAAAAAAAATGGTAAATTATGAAAAAAAAATTAATCAAAAATGCGAAAATAATGAAAAAATTGATTAAAAAGAGAAAAATCATGAAAAATATCGATTAGAAAATCGAAAATTATAGATAATACTGATTTAAAAATGGAAAAGGATAGAAAATTTTATTTTAACAGTGAAAAATGATGGAAAGTACATATTTAAAAAAATAGAAAATGTTAGAAAATATAGATTATAAAGCAGAAAACTATTGAAAATGTCAAATGAAAAGTGGAAAATCATAGAAAATATCGATTAAAGTTGGAAAATAATGGGAATTATTGATCAAAAAATGAAAAAGGATAGAAAAAATCAAATAGAAAATGGAAAATAATAGACATTTTTGATTAAAAATAGGATGAATTATGAAAAATATATTTTAAAAATAAGGAAAATGAGCAGAAACCTGTCGAAAAGTGTCCGAGTTCTGGTCGTCGAATCGAGAATGGAAGTACTGTTCGACGTAGTGCCAGTACTCGTCTCGTTTGCATTGGAGCGTGACTTCTCTTCTTTCTGCGTTCGTTGGAAGATAGCCCTGAAGAAATTTCTTGTTTTTTTCTTCTCCTGAAAGTGAAAAATGAGCATTAAAGGCCAAAAAACGATTTTTCAATTTCCGGAGTACCTTCCGAAGTTTTTTTTTTAAATGTTCCTAGTTATTCCTGATTCAAAAATTCCCTAAAGTGAGCTCTTTCCCAGTGAAATCTTCATTTTGAAAACGAAAAACGTTATTTTTTCTAGTCCCAGAAAATTGCTATTTTTTTCATAGAAAAAAACTTGAAAAATTTTTTTCTATGAAAAGGTTCAATTTTTCTACCAATTTTTGGGATTTCATCCTTTTTTTCAAACGAGATATCTCAAAAGGTTATGAAAAGTAAAAATTCTGTCGTATCTCAAGACGAAAATAAAAACCAGGAAGTCAACTATCGTTAGCTTTTTTTAATGAAGCTTCGATTCAAACCAAAATTTTACAAAACTAAAAATCAGAAAGTTCTATAGTTTTGGAAGCCTTTTCGAATGAACCACAATGAAATTCGCCAATTTCACAGGAAACGAACCGACAGAAGCCTCCAAGCCTGCGGCCTCAGCTTGTGAGGAATTCCCATCCAGCAGTCTTCCCTCAGTTTGTCGAGGTCGATGTCCATCGGAGGCGAGGATCTTCCGGAGTTCTTTCCCGTCGAAAAGAGCCGTCGGAGTCGGGCGAAGCGTGTTTGGTCGCGGTCTCCGCCTGGAAACATTATAATTTATTTGTATCAGATGAAAAATGTTCTAGGTTCTTAAGACACGGCGTTTTTGTTAGCGGAAACCAAAAACACGGTGGGCGGAGCCAAAATATCCACCGTTCCCACGTGACGTCATGAGGACGGCAGAGCAATAACAGGGCATATTAAAGGCGCAGGCTACCGTATTGCCAGAAGTCTTAAGACGAATCGAAATTTTTCACATAAACGAAATTTTCTGCGCAAAAGCGTCGCGGTGCATGCACACGGCACACAAAACTTTACGGAGAAAAAAACGCCAAGAAGACAAAAATTTTTATTCGTCAGGAGAAATATTCTTACACATTATTAGCCGTAAACTAATAGAAAACGATCATTTTTTTGTGAAAATTTGTAGATATTCGAAAGCAAATTTTTCAATCAGATGTGTTTTAGATGGATATCTTCTATCAAAAAAATCATTATTTTTTTCTATCAAATCGATTTTTTTCACAGTTCAAAAATAACCGTTAAAAAAAGTGAAAAAAAGATGACTGAATTTTTGGAGGATCCTAGAAATTTTTAAAAAAATAAAAGATTATTCCCACCATGAGGAGGAGCACTGGCGACGGGGGCCGGCCTCGATTGGTCCGAAATTTCGGGCAATTTCGGGTAAATCGGGTTGGCCGTTTGGGCCAGGCTGGCGGTGGTCGATGGCAGAGGTTCTGAAATCACATAAAATATTGGAGAACCGCCATTAAGTCAGACTGGGAGGTCTGGGGCCAGCCCGGGCTTTAGACCTTTTTAAAAAAAAGCATTTTTTTTTTTTGGAAACTTAGTTTCTACTGAGTTTTCTGTAAAAAGAGGACCAAAAACGTGATTTTTATCGAAAAAAAAAGTTTGATATCTGATCTGAAGCGAAATTTGCGCTTTTTGAACCGTCATTTATTCTTGAGGCCCTGCTAAGGCCCGAGCCCGGTTAAATCCCAGAAACTCCTTCAAAAGGCACCTTTTTGAATGGCCAGTCGTTGAAGAGCCTGAACTCTACTGTTTTTGGTCGGCGCCGTGTTGACTGGAGGCATTATTTCCTGCAAATATTTGAAATATATGGAAAAAAATCTACTTACAAGATAATTTTGTAGCCTAAAAATTATCAGGAAATTCATTCACATTTCAAAAAATTACTTTTTTTCATTTTGAAGCTTTTATTTACTCGGTAACGCAAACCGGGCGCTCCTGAAAAATTCTAAAGATCTTTTGAACAGCGTCAGAACTCTTAAGTGATCCCTAGAGTTGCTCAGAATTGTCCGGTTTGCGTTACAAGGGTAGCTGGGAAAACTTCTAATGGCCACTTGAGGGTTTTGAAGCTTCAGAGGCCACTGTAGTAGTCGAATTAGTGCCCACTTAAGTGGCTAAATATTTTAGTCTCTTTGAAAGCCAAATTGGTACTACTAAATCACTAAAACTACTATAGTGGCCACTATGACGCAAAATAGCGATTTTAGTGGTCATTTTAGGGTCCTCTCCTTGAGGAGCCTCCTAAGGATTTTTACCAATAGTGTGGGGAAACATAATTAAAAAAATTATGAAATAAAACTATAAATAATCAATTTTTTTCGAAACAGCTTTTTCGAAAAAAATGGCTGGCACAAAAAAACTCAAAATTTTTCAGCCATTATATCTTGTTTAGAAATCGCTGAAGTCAATTTCGAAGATAAAATTATTTGAAAAAAATTAAAAAGGCCCTGTAAAAATGCCTTTTTCTCAAATGAAGCTCTCCATTATTCGATTTATACCTCATCCCGACTTTTCCCAGCCGCATGGGCGGCGAGAATTTTCGCTGCGGAAGCCGAAGCCAAAGATTCGTCGACCCGAACTCTCGTGTCCCAGGCATCCGAAACACTGGAAAAATATCAATTTTTACAAATTTCGATTAAAATCGAGCTTTTTTCTATTATGAAAATGGGAAAGTTGGACAATTTTTTTCTTAATTTCAAAATTAGAAAAGTTGGAAAATTTTCCATAGCCAAAAAGTTTGTAAAATATTTTTCCACCCCTCAAAATTCCTTCCAAAGAACCATCAAACCCTCATATTTTTTTAGAAAAAAACACGGATTATTCCAATTTCAATACTACACCATCCACTGCCTTTCCAATCACAATGACCCTCTTTTGAAAATTTAAAAAATCAACAAAGACCTGGAAAAAAAACACGCACCAAACACCACTTTAATAACCAATAATCGCATCCATTTTTGCAACTTTTTTTGTACATATCCCATCTCGCAAAAATATCTTCTTTAGAAAATAAATCAGTTTTGATATTTTTTTCAATCGATTTCATGAACAAGGTCAGGAAAAAAATTCCAAAATAAAAAAACAAAAAGGTGAAATTGGAGATTGAAGAGAATATAAGAGAAGCTACTGGGATGGAAGGAAAGTTCAAAATATTGAAATTTAAAAATAAATCATCAACAAAAAAATTCTGGCATTTGTGAATGAAAAGCTCTAATTTCGATAGAAAAAATGAAATAGAAGTTCAAAAACTCAAAAAAAAAAAATCTAATTGAAACAAGAAAAAAACGGAGCTTCAAAAAAATTTTTCTTTCTTATTTTTTAGAGAGCTCCCTATTTTTCTTATTAAATTTCAGAAAATTCATGCTAAAACCTTCCAACAAAAAATATAACCATAGAAGACCAGAAATTTGAGTTCTCAAAAACTACAAAATTTCGGAAGAAATGTCCTTTTCTTGATTCTTCGAACTACCAATAAACAAGTTTCCAATCAATTCCATCAGTCCAGAAGCGGAAAATCCTTGCACCTTTCCTCGTAGTCGTGGAATTTGTCATGTCGATTTGCCTCTTTGGTGGGACTTCCACTGATTGTCGTGTGCAAAGGTGGGTACCTCGCCCCGTAAACTGGTTTTACGCTGTAATTCCAATCGCCGCGTCAAAAAATACAGTCCATTTACAAAAGCTTCTCAAAATTTTGAAGGCGCAGGGTCTGGTGTAACCGATTCTCATTAGAAAAAAATCTTTTACTCATTGTCAAAAAAGGAAAAATCGGTTTTCATTCCGTAAAAACTTTTACAACCCTTTTAATATCTTATCAAGACTTCCAGAAACAAGTTTCTAATGTTCTCTAAGGATCATTTAAAAAAAATTTTTTTTTCAAACCTTGTGCCTTCAAAAACTCAAAAAAGTCGTTAAACACTCTTAGAAAATGAATAGAAACGTATTTTGCAGTAATCATAACAAAAATTGAAAACGAAAAAAAAAGAATATTGCGACAAAAATACTGCAACATCCGCTTCTATCTCGAAGATTTCGATATATTCAAAACCTCCCCGGTGTTGATCCAGTCGACCATCTACTCATTGATTCAATTTGAGGGAATTCTGGGCAAAATTGTGAGAATCGTGTCGATTTCTACGCCACGCAAACCCTTTAAAAATTAAAATAAGACTGAATAACGAGGAATCAAACGAAAAGTTTACAAAATTGACAAAAGAAAGGATGGTGATGAGCTTTTTAAAAGAATTCCTCTTAATGAGAACGTCAAGAATGATAAAATAGGCAAGGAAACTAGTTTTGACGAGTTAAAAAATTTTCCCGTATTCAAATTTTCTTCACTTTAAAAACTTTAATTTAGAAGAGCATATATATCATAAAACTACGAAAATTCCAAAAATAGCTAGAATTATCATTCGTCCTTTTTATCAACACAATGAAAAAGTCAGAAAACAATGAAAACCGGTAAAACAAAAGGAAAAAAGTTTTGAAAACAGGGTGAAAAAATTGATCGGAGCCTGGCCGCGTGTACAGAACAGCAAACGCGCGCCAGCGCCAACTTTTCTCTCACGAGCGGGTGTTCGAAAAATACAAAGTCCACTCCGTATTTTGTTCCTCTTTCGTTGACACAAGAGACAGCCAAGAGAGTATAGGAAGCTAGCCAAGGTCAAAGATGGGTAAAACTTTGGTAAATATTGAAAAAAATGAAGTTTTTTGAGTTTGGGAAGCTTAAAAATTTAATTTTCCTCTTACCAATTTTCAAAATCTGTTGTAGTTTTATTCAATTCATTCTTCTCAATTTCTCTGATTTTTCTAAGTCCCATGCGAGTTTAATCCCAGGAAACCCTGTTTCCATTCCTATTCCTTCAATTTCCTGAACAATACGTACAATTTCTCCCTTGCTACTATATAACAATATCACAAAGCCCATTGTTCGATTTTTCGCGATCCAGCTGGAATAAACAAATTCGTGACGTCGTCGTCATTTGTAATCTCGTCCGTATAAATTAGCCACCGCCGTTTTTGAGCCACCAACAGGTGACCAAATAAACATTTTCGAGCCATTGTACAGTTGTTTTGGAAATAGAACAGGTTTATGAATATTTCAAGTCTCTCTAAACATCAAAAAGCTTCAAAAAATCGAAAAAATGATGACTGTTAAGGTCATTCTCATCACGTTTTCGTGCTAATTTTAAAATTCCCAAGTTACGGGCCAGTTTTAAAACGACCCCTGTGAATCTAAAAAGCCAAAAAAGCTTTTTTTTTCCCCTTTTCCACCAAAAAGTCGGCCAGCTTCTCGTCTTTCAAAGTGCGCGACATATGCATACATAGGCGCGAACGGCGCCAAAAATAGCCAAAAATGACTGTCCGGTCCTTTTTTGGAATAAAGGACAACAAATGCCTTTTTTGGCAAGCTTGAATGGTGAGAGTCCAGACAGGAAGTTGAAAAAAGAATAAAATTAAAAAAATTTGTCAGAATATCCTTGAAAAAATAGCCGTGAAAAAAGGAATTCAAGCGAGATTGTGCGCTCTATAGATAATCGGCCGGATTTTTGGCCTAATGTGTAGGTTTCAAAGCTTAAAGTCAGCATTTAAGTTTCAAATTCTCAATAGAGCTATATATCTGTTCATTTTGAGCCTCAGTGTCAATTTGAATTTTCATTCTGTTTCCAATAAGCCATATGAGTTCTTTTTCGAAAAATTCCTATAAATTAAGAAAAGTTTCTCCATAGAGCGCAATATCTACCAACGGGAACTAACTGTTGAGCCCCGTTTACTCTAAAATTTCTTATTATTCCATCATTGAAACAGTATTATTTGTTTATCTAATCGAGCTGGTTTTGTCCCAATAAAAACTCAAAAATCAGATCAAGCACAATTGAACAAACTTCAAATCAGGTACAAAGAATTAAAAAAACATTTATTTGATCCGAAAATTATTGATCAAAAACTACAAGCAAATATTTGGTGAAATTGGATTAATATATGGAGCTTTGAAACAGTAAATTCATTTAAAAATTATGATTAAAAATTAAAATCTGGACCAAAAAAATGTTCGAAATGCTCAAATTTTTAGTGATATTTTTGGGATCAAATCGATTGAATTTTTCAATTTTTTTAGTCCGTTAAACGATAAATCTTCACGATGATGACGTCAGAGGGTTCAAAAAAATTTTTAAAAAAATCATTTTTTTCGTGAAAAAAATTTCCTTTTTCCATTTCCACGTCCTTTAAAGAAAAATTTTTTTGAAGCCCGAATTTTTTTCAAGATTCGTAGTTATTTTTCTCATAATATCAAGGAAACTGACTCATTATTGTTGATTTCGACGGAAGTGACCTTGTCGGAAAACTGGTCGAGCCTTTTGAAGCAGAGGTTCGTGCACAGCAACATGCTCATCTCACCCGCGTCTTCTGGAAAAAAAACGATATGTTTTGATTTTCTTTGTTTTGAAAGGTTTTTCCAAAACGAAATTCGAATTTGACATGAAGAAGGACAGGAAAACCTGAAAAAGAGCACTTTAAAATAGGAATTTTCTGGAAAGCGGTGATTTGAAGTTGCGACCGACCCTAAACGACTTACGCACAGAGATATCTGACGCCATTTTCAAAAATTCGCAATAAAATCATCGTAATGAAGCAGAATAGAGAGTGAACCAACACATAGCGGTGATTTTGAAGTTGCAACCGACCCAAAACGACTTACGCCATAAGGCATCGGTAAGTATTAAAAAAAGCTTAATTACAGCTCCTAATCCCCTACAACGCTTTGAGCGGTTCCAAACGAGGTTTTTATTTATTTTTTTTCTCAACTTTTTTTGAGATAAAATACAAATTTGACATGAAGAAGGACAAGAACACCTAAAAGCACTTCAAAACAGGACTTTTCTAGAAAAATGGCCATTTTTTCTTTGTTTTTGACATCCTTAACGATATGACCTAATGAAGTAAGAGTAGAAAAGGCGTCCCGTGGATTTTTGATTTCCACCCGACCCAAAACGACTTACGCAATTAGGCATCAATGAGCGTAAAATCAAGCTTCAAGCCATTTCAAAAGCCGCAATCGCTTCCAAATTTTTTTTCCACAAAATAATTCCAAAACCCTCCTCTAATAATCTCTGACCAGCACAATTAAACGATCGCAAAATTTACGACAGTTCACTAAAAACAAACCAAAATCCATCAAATCAAAAATTGTATGTTTGGTGTGATCCATAAAATTTTCCACTAAAACATCAAAGCTCAGAATTTTCCATTTTTCGACAAAAATCAGTGAAACAAAAAAAAAACAAGGGAAAATCGCCAAAGATGGAGTTTACACAGCCAAGTTGCGTTTGGAAAATCAGAAAAATTATTTTTTTGGTAAATTTTTTTGGAAAAAAAGCCAAAATTTAATCCCCTTCCTTCAAATTAAACGCTTGTGGCTCTCAATGGCACATTTAGCAACAAGTTCCAAGGTTTTGGATCTCACAGAGCGTGAGTCGTTTTGCGTCGGTTGCACGTCAAAAAACGCGAATTTTCGGGGTTTACAAGGAGAAAATATCGGTGTCAAAAGAAAAAATTCATTTTTGGATGAACTTTGTTAAAATTCAAAATTTTCCATCTAAATTGAAACCATTTGGCCTCACTAAGCGCAAGTCGTTTTTGGTCGGTTGCACTTTGAAAAAACGTCAAGCTTTGGATTGAAATCTCCTCTATTCAAAATCATAGCCAAGTTTTGCATATAAGAAAGGCTCCCCAGAAAATCAAGGTCGAAAAAACGTTTTTTGGTCGCACTTAGAATGGCTCAAATTTCGCATTTACGCAAAAAAATTTATAAAAAAATTGGAAAAAAATTCAAAAACGTGTAACCTTTATAAATTCTCGAAAATCGTCTATCCATTAAAAAAACAAGAAAAAAATTGACTGTAAAATAATATTTCATCCCAATTTTCTTTTTCGCTCCCATAGAAGGAAGTAAAAAGGTCCAATTGCCATTAAAGATTGTGACCAAGAGTTTAAAATTCGAAAAAAATTTTTCTCATAAAGAGAAAAAAAGTCTTCTTTATCTTCTCATGAGAAACTTTTTCAACTGAAATGGTCGCTAAAAAAATTGAAATAAAAAAATAAATTTGACTTTGAGCAAAGGTCATATATTCTTGAGATCCCCAATAAGGTAATCATTGAAATTTATTAAAAAAATGCTTTCGAATTATAAATCGTGTCAGAAACAAGAAAGCTGAGTAAAGTTTTTGATTTAAGTAAAATAATTTTTCAAAAAAATGAAAGTTAATGCGGGAAAAAAATCTCCTCCTGTCAAACATTTCATTAAAAAAACCTGAAAAAAATTCAAATTTTCTGATCCCAAGATGCGAAACCTTAAAAAAATTGAAAAAAAAAAAAACTTGGAATATATCGCTAACATGAGCAATGCAAAACATTGCGTGGGAATTTTCTCAATTTATTTCAAGGGAAAATACCTCTGACATGAGCAATAAAAAAATAAATCACGTATAATATCAACGGAGCTCCAAAAAAATCGTCCTTGGATTGGAGCAAAAAAAATATTGCATAAATATTTTCTAAAACTAACAAGAAGTCTATAACATGAGCAATACGAGAAAATCTCGTCCGATGTCCGAGGAATTAAAAAAATTGCCTTTGGAGTTGAGCAAAGAAAAAAATTTTTTTCAAAAAAATCTCTTTAAATTATTCTAAAATTAGCAGTAACTCTCTAACATGAGCAATACGAGAAAATCGCGTCCGATGTCAGAGGAAATCAAAAAATCGCCTTTGGATTTAAGCAAAGAAAAATTTTTTTTTCAAAAGTTTTTTTGAATAATTCTAAATTTAGCAATAACTCTTTAACATGAGCAAAACTTTTAATTTTTTTTGCAATCTTTCAGAAAAAACCTCTAATATGAGCAATACCAAGAGAATCGTCTTTGTCTGTAGCAACATCCGTACAAGGAAACTGCTCCCAAAATTGACAAAGTCCAAAAAAAAAAACGAAGGGACAAAGAAAAACGGAGCGACGACGCTGAACAATCACTTCACGTCAGGAAAATAAAAGAGAGAGGGACAAGAGAAACGAAAAAAAGTAGGATCGCTGGGAAAGGATTGTTCGGATCGGGGGGAGTAGTCCCTTGAGGGGAAAAAGGTGTGCCGACCGCCACAATGGCTTTTCCTTGTTTGTTTGTCTGTTTGGGCACGGCTTTCTAGGGTGTTGCTCATGTTAAGTGGAGTGTTGCTAATTCTATCTGTTCCTGGCTTGGGAAAAAAATACAGGGTTTTTTTTCTGTAGCTTTTTTGCTCCAGGAGACTGAAAAGTGTACAGAAATCGTCGATTTTTCATATTTTGACGAAAAATTTTGTTTTTTTAAGCATGAAAAATTCAAAATAAACTAGTTCCAGACCAAAAAAATAACAGAAATTCTTGATTTAAAGGTTTTAGTCAAAAATTTTTCCTGGTAAAATTACAGTTTTTTTATCAAACATGTAGTGGTTTTTCGTTTAAAAAAATATGAAAACATACAGATTTTTTTATTGAAAATTTAAAAACGAAGCATCAAAGGGAGAGAAAAAAACACAGGAATATTCAAAAAAAAATCAATTTATTGAAAAAATGAAGAAATTTTTCACAAAAAAATTGATTTTTTTCTCACAGAATCAACGAAAAAAAATGTCCTAGTGGGAGGAAAAAAAGTGGCCCCTAGAGGGGTAAATTTTAAGTGGTCCCTATAGGAGTTCAGGCTCAGCTGAAGCTTGTGGTCTCTATAGGGGTGTTTCAACTTTTTGATATGATTCGAAAAATCAGAAGACGTATGGGAGCTCTTTTGCAAGCTTTAATGCTTCTAGATGGTTCTTTAAAGTGGTCCCTAAAGGGGAACCTTTAACTGAACCCCTCTAGGGACTACTTTGGCGTTTTTAAACTCCAGGAATAATTTTTAAAACGGCACAGAACTTGAAAAATTTGTCCAAAAATGCTGCCCCTTTTGCAAGCTCAAATACCTCCTATAGGGCTAGGTAAAGTGGTCCCTAAAGTGGTACCTTAATAAGAGCCTAAAGTCCCCTCTAGGGACCACTCTGGCGTTTTTAAACTCCAGGAATCTCTTTGAAAACGGCACGGAACTTGGAAAAATTGCTCAAAAATGCTGCCGCTTTTGCAAGCTTAAATACCCCCTATAGGGCTAGGTAAAGTGGTCCCTAAAGTGGTACCTTAATAAGAGCCTAAAGTCCCCTCTAGGGACCACTCTGGCGTTTTTAAACTCCAGGAATCTCTTTGAAAACGGCACGGAACTTGGAAAAATTGCTCAAAAATGCTGCCACTTTTGCGGAAAACAGAACGGAACGCCTAAGAAGCTTCGGCAGGACTTTAAACGCGAGGCAGAAGAAGAGTGGACCGACCAGACGGCTCCCCGGAGCTCTCGACAACTTTTTTCCACATTTCGGCCATGCTCGACGGCACGGTTATCAACGTGATATCGGCTATCAGAACCGGAAAAATAAGCTATATCAAATATTTGCAAAAGCGTGAGGTTTCACGCATGGCAGCCGTCTCATTACTGGGAAGTGGCCAATATAGGGGCTCGCCAAGGATTATTTGGAGAGGACACTTAAGTGCCACTAAACCCATCTCTAGAGTGGCCACTATTTTCCGTTTTAGTGGCCACTTCAGTCGTTTTTCATCCAGTATTCCTTCCAGTAACTCTGACAATTCTGAAACAAACAAATTGGACCAGTTATGTTGATCCATTGACCCCTAAAGTGGCCACTCAAATTTTTAATGATCTAGTGGTAGCACTTAGACCTCTATAGTGGCCACTAATTTTAACCCCTTAAGTGGCCACTAATTTGACTACTTAAGTGGCCACTAAAATGTCAAAACCCTATAATGGCCAGTAAAAAGTTTTCCTAGTAGATTCTACTAGAAGCCGGGTAACTTTTTCTTTTTTTTTTTTGAAGAATCAAGTTAAATTCCGATAGTTTTGTCATAAGTATTTGGCCCAAAGTGTGCCTTTTACAAGCTTCCAAAAAAGTTTCCCAGGAAGTTATGTATTGCTCATGTTAGCTCATAATTGCGAAAAAGTCAAAAAAGTGTTTTTCGTGTACCCGGAAAAGAGAGAAAGGCCGTTCGAAGTCATTTGTTGACCGTTCTTCTCAAGAGCAAAATTCTCGGAAAAAGAGAAGCGAGAGAAGGAAGATGAAGAGAGAGAGTGTGGAAATTGAGAGGATTAGAGAAAAGTTGAAAAAAGAGAAAAACCAACGGTACCAGCTCGCACTTAATAAACATCGGGAGGTCACTTTGGCAAACATTGTTTTTTTTCAACTATTTAATTATTGCTCATGTTAGAGAGAAAAGTCGGGCTTTTTCTCGCTTTTATGTGCCTGTCTAGGGATTTCCATTAATTTTTTTCTTGAAAAAAATTTTTATTTTTTTATTAGAACTTGTACATTGAAAATGAATATCAATCAATAATATGGATTTGAAAAATTAATAAAAACATATTTTAAAAAATTTTAGGTCCTTCAAAGAGTTCGTATATGATAACAGAGGATATACAGAACGCTTGGAAAAATCTTTTAGGCTTGAAAATTTTTAACATTTGCTAGATAAAGAACTTGATCTAAAGAAACACAGTAGAACTCGGGAAATGCTCTGAAAATATCTCTGGAAGGTTCTGAAAGTCAGGAAAAAGCTTGAGGAAGTCTGAAAAATCTCAACATTTAATCCTTTTCAGATTTATCTCAATCCTAAATTAGATCAGAGAAACTTTTCAGATGAAAATTATAAAATTATAAGAAAATACCATTTTATTTTCAAATGCTTTTTTTATGCGTGAATGCTGCTCATAGATTTCTAACGTTCTGATATTCGGAAAAAAATATTGAAAATGAAGTGCAAATTGGATGACGGTCAATTTCAAGTGAAGAAGAAGAAGAATGGATTTTTTTATTCGCGTATAAATTTTTGTGATAAAAATTTTTATAAAATCCGATTTTTTTGTTTGATTGTTTAAAGACATAGAGATTAAAATTTAAAATGGTTTTTTTTTCGAGGTTTTTTCAGGCCTTGCAAAACTTTCTGCGCCTTTAAAATCCCCAGGAAGGAAAAAAACAAATTGTAGCTTGAAAATATACAGCGACGCTCGATAAAGCTAAACAACAAGGTTGAAATTCCAGATCCGACTTCCGGGCGTCAGAAACCCTTTCACAGCGACATTTTGGACCGAATTGTTCACTACGACTTTTGGTCGAAATTTGACGAATTTTCAAATATTTATGATGAATTTAAGATTTGGCGAAACTGGGTACGGTTGTGGAGCCTGACGTGTGTGTCTATGCTTGGATAGAGCTCAAAGTTTTGGGAGATGAAGAGGTGAGAAAAAATGATTATTCTGTTTCAAGAAAAATAATTATTAAGGAAGTACTTCGAAAACATTGATATAGTGATTGGAAGAAAATTATCTGAAAACAAAAAAAACATAAAAAGCTTCGAAAAAGACCCAGAAACATGTGAAGAATTTTCGGCAGAGGCCAAGAATGGCTTCTTGGGAGGCCGAAAAAGGCTCGACAGAAACCGTTTGCAAATATCGGACGTTGAGCCGTTTCGCGTGGAAAAAAAGGGTCTCTGACTGGCCGAAAATCGTGACCGACGCCCCCTTTTTGGCCGTTTTTTTTTTTGCAGGGGTCAAGTCGAACAAACGGCTGGCTCAGAAGCTAGATTCGTCTTTCTGGCCGGGACCTTTTTCCAAACTTATTGAGAAGATTTTGAAGTAGTGAAGCTCAAAAAATGATAACAATAACTGGGAAAATATTTAGTGACCACTATAGGAATTTGACGTTTTAGTGGCCTCTATAGGAGTCAAATTAGTGGCCACTTAAAGGGCTGTTAAAAATTGGTGGCCACTATAGAGGTCTAAGTGCTGCTACTAGACCACAAAAAATTTTAGTGGCCACTTTAGGGGTCAATAGATCAACATAAATGGTCCAATCTGTTTGTTTCAAAATTATCAGAGTTAATGGAAGGAATACTGGATGAAAAACTACTGAAGTGGCCACTAAAACGGAAAATAGTGGCCACTATAGAGGTGAGCTTTGTGGCCACTTTAGTGTCCTCTGAAGGCAGCCCTTTTTGGGAACGAAAAAGTGATCCCTATAGGGGTAAAACAGCCGCTACAGAGGTTAGGAAAAAACTCTTAAAAGGAGAATCTTCAGGGACAAAATTTAAGTGGTCTCTATAGGGACTGAAGCGGGGACACCTAAGTTCCCAAAGCTTAAGTGACCCCTATAGGGGTCTTTCAATTTTTTTCTTTAGAAAAAAACTGTATGAATATATTCTCCGTTAATATTTTTTTCTATTGAAATAACGAAAAAAATCATCAAAAAAATTATTCAAAAAGATGGAAATTGAGTCACCTTGATGTTTATAACGCACAAGAAATGGAACAAAAATAAAAAAATAAAAAAAATTTTTTTAATGAATTCACATAGAAACGAGAAGCTCGGAAACTTATCAAGATTGATTATTTGAATGTTTAATTTTTTTATAAAATATCTTGAAACGGTGCAAATCAGACTATTTCAATGTGAGGAATGTCAAAAAAATCCACAAAATAAAAAAAGAAGAAAAAAATAATGTTAAAAGATTAAAAAAATTGAGTATCTATACAAAAAGCCGCCAAAAACTGACAGGTCAACGGCGTCAGTCAAATCGAGCCAGAAAAAGCGCTTCACTGTTTGTTCTCGTTTTCGATTTCTCTTTTTTTCGAAGACAAACAGTACAGATTTTCCCAGGGAAACAGTTTTATTAACACAAGCAATAATATCACACAATAGATCCATTTTAACCCATCTTTTTTTATTGATTTACAAGAAGTCTAATCATCTTTTCCGGACTTTTTCGAAGGCGCCTCCCAGCCCCATTCGCCTTCTGGAGCGGCGTCGTCCCAGCCGGAATCTTCGGGTTCTTCTTGTTGGCGTTGAACTTCGACTTCGGAATGGTTGAGGGGGATGTCAACGAGTTCGGCTTGGGAAGAGGGTCCAGGGTGATTCTGAGAAGTCGTCGTCAGGTTCTTCGGGACTTCAGGGTGTCCTTGAAATTGGTCCAGCTGTTCCAGAGGGATCTCAGGGAGTTTCTGGCCTTCTGACGTCTTCTTTTTAGTCGGAATCTCTTCTGGAGCTTTTTCTGACGTCTTCTCTTGTTCCAGAACGTCTTCTGGTTCCTTCTCTTTATGAGCCTGCTTCTGGCGTTCCGACGTCTTCTCTTCCTCCAAAGCTACTTCTGAAGCCTTGACGTCTTCTGGGTCCTTCTCTTCGAGCTTCTGCTCTTCATGATTCTGGCCTCCTTGCTCCAAAACTGCTTCTGAAGCCTGCACGTCTCCAAGTTCATTCTGACGACTTTTCTCAGCTTCTGGCCCCTTCTTCCTCAAAACCGCGTCCAGATCGATATCGGCCAGCTTTTTCTTCTGCAGCATCGGCAAGAGGACTTCCTGAAAAAATTCAGTTTTTTGCCTCATTTTTTCGTTTACCTCAATCTTCTCACTGGAATCACTAGAAGCGGCGATAGATTTAGGATCAATCTCCACGAAATGATTCTGAAAAATCCAATTTTCTTGGGATCATCTTCGAATTATTCTCACATATTGTTGTGGAGTGATGCTGGAACCAAAATATTTGGAAATACAAGTCTGGGGGAAGAAATAAATGATGCATTTTTCCAAAAACGGCATCAGACAGATGCAGACGATCCGGATGGCCCTTTGGAAGTTGGGCGATGTCGGATGCGACGTCGCGAGCCAACTCAGAATCGTCCGAAGCGAGTCTCTCAACGTCGCCACGATCGTTTCGAGCTGAAAAATCACTGAAATGAGTGATTTTTGGAGTGGATGCTAGGGTAAGAGCGATGTTTTTTTATTTCTAGGAGTACGGTATGCAAAGTGTTTTCGTGTGTTTGCACTCTCTGAGTTGATCGTAATTTCCCAATCTCTTTTTTTCTTTTTTAACTGATCACTTTCCAATGAAAAACGGTGAAAGTTATTAGTGGTCACTTTAGGGTTCCGACGTTTGAGTAGCCACTATAGTAGTCCAATTAATGACCATTTCAGTGGCCAGAATTTAGTGCGCTCTTTGGAAGTCTGAGTGGAACTATGAGATCTCAAACACTACTAAAGTGGCCACTAGGACGATAGAATTGGTTTTAGTGGCCACTTCAGTGTCCTCTCCAAGTGGTCCTTGAGAAACCTCTTAAGTGGTCACTTTCCCAGAGCCTCTAAGGTAACATAAAAGCACTGCAGAGCATGAAAAAAATCTGCAAACACACGTAACTTAGATTGCGGACTCTTACATACCGTACTCTTAAAAAATGGAAAAACCGCCCCAGTCCTTGCAGTCCGACGAACCAAAATAGGCGACAGGACGAATCGAATCGAGTTCAAGGCTTCGACAACGTTGTTGGCGAAGACGGTGACGTCATCCCACAAGGAGAGCTCGGGAGCTGGAACGGGTGGCGCATCTGGAGCCACGTCGAAGGTCGGCAACGAGGAGACGTCCAGGTTGATCATCACCAGCGTCTTGGCTTCCGTGGTGAGCCTGGAAGGGTTTTCTTGGGAAAGATGATTATATTAAGGAGTCAAAAATGAGACTTCCTTCTGGATCCTGACAGCTTAAAGACTTTAAAATCTCGATTATTCAATCCAACATAGGAGAGCTAGACAAAAAACAGGTTTTTCTGAAAGAATCATATCTATTTTTAAACAGTTCAAGTTCTCATAATATGACTACTAGGGCGTTCCATTTTTTATGTTAAGTAACCCTCAAGCTCCGCCCACAATTTCGCGATAAGCCAGTCAGAGAGTGAGCTCTTCAAAGAGTGACGTCATTGTTTTTGAGATTCAAATTATTCTCGATTATGAAAAAAAAAGTACTCAAAAAACCTGAACTTTTTCTCATTTTTCTGACCGGAACCGTTAAAATCAGTAATTCGCGGCACTTTTTAAACTTTTGAATTTAAAAAAATCTTTTAAAAAAATATTTTTATATAGTCAGACTTCACCTAGGAGCTTCAATCTAAAATTCAGAAAAACCTCAATTTTCTTTTAATCATAAATCATTGACTCTTGGACCCAAAAAATGATCAAAAAACGCGGATTTCAGCTAATTTTTGTGGGGAAAACCCGGAATTTCAGAAGCATAAAAAATTCCAACTTGGTAGTCGCGTCACGAATCGTGTGCCGGAAGCGATCCTCGACCATTTTGGTGATACTCGACAAGATCAAAGGCCGGAAATCGATTCCCATTCTTCCAAAGGAGGAAGCCACGGTCATCAGCTTCGTCCAAACGCTGCTCACGTCGATCGGGGACCTGGAAATACTTTCATAGTAACCTTTTGAGTCGAGAAAATCTTTTAAAAGGAAGAGAACTTTGAGAATTTTTGAAAAAAATGGCTAAAGGAGCATAGGATAACTTCCATAAAGGTCTCGAGACGAAGAGCCGTTTTCTAGGTTTTTTACGGTCTTGCAACATTTTCTGAAGCTCCAAATGGTACTTTTGAACGAGCTTTTTGATGAAAAATAGAAAAAATTCGAATATATCAACTAAAGAACGAATTCAAGCAGAATTTTTGCAAATTTCGAGTTTCCTGAGGTTAAAATTACGTCAGAACTGACTTTTTGAAAACTAGGCTTTTGGAACACCTTAATTTGTACAAAAAAAAACTTATTCTATTCAAAAAAATAACACATTGAAGTGAACCAAAAATCGTATTTCTCACAATTTTTCTCAACTTCCAGTTCCCCACCTTAGATTTATGGTTACTTGATTACACTACAATCAATGATTCGTATATACCGCAGTCATTTAATAAAAAGTCTTTGATTTAAAAAAAATTTTTTTCTTCGGTCAAAGTTTTGAGCCCATGATTAACAAAATATTTATTTGAATATTTATTTAATTAAATATTTAAAATCTTTTTTTGAATACTAATTTGCTCCTGAAATATCTTTGCTTTTTTTGCTCCGTATCCACCAAAATTCGCTGCGCACCTTCCAAAACTCACTTCATATCCACTCGATGTATCAAATCCAACAGTCTTTTGATGTTGGCGATGGCCCATTGGCTCAAAATTGCCGAAGGCGGCAGGACAGGCCAAGATTCCCAACGAGGGTCGACAGAGGGCTGAGATTATTTATTTTTGATCTTTTCGGAATTTTCTCAACTCACATCTTTCCTGACAACTTCGTTTTCTGGAAAAACGGCCAAATATAAGACCAAAGTGTCGTACATACAAGTGCGGTAGATTTCGATAGCTTGGGTCGCGATTTCCGGATGGGACTGGAAAAAAAGTTTTTTTCATTTGAAAATTCACTTTTTTTACAAATTTCAATTTTTTTGAAGGAAGTAGAATTGATGTATTAAAGAAACACTAGTAAAAATTAGATATTTTTACGATTTTTCTTCAAATGTTTTTGCTTCACTAGGCTCAAAACTGCATTAAATTATAGAACCGCCTGCCCAAAATTTATTTTCATTTCAACAAAAAATTATTTTTTAATCCCATAATATTTAAAAGTTTTACTTCATTTCGAAAACATATAACCTGGAAAAGATAGCAAAAATGAACGCAAAATGTTTCTCAAAACAAAATCTTCTCAATTCCTATCTTTTATCATCTTTCAAAGCATTTTCCAACATTCCCATCCATTCAATGAACCTTTTCCGCGCTCGAAATCTCAAAACCTCATTTTTGCGCGTCAACCATTTGTACCTCCGCAATTTTCCCCCAGCGTGCAGCGAAAATTCGAAATTTTGAAAAATTTTGAAATTTCAACTTCATTTTTTCAGTTTTCTAATTGAAAAAGAAGATGAAGCTTGGCGATTTGATTCCAAACTTTTCCGCGACGACGGATCGTTCCAAGTTCGAGAGTTTCTACGACTGGGTCGGCGAAGAAAAGTAGGAATTTCGTTCTTTTTATTTCATGAAACATTTTTCAAACTTTAGTTGGTCAATGGTTTTCTCCCATCCGGCTGATTTCACACCGGTTTGCACTACAGAGCTGGCGGAGCTTCGTAATTTGTCCGGCGAGGTATATAAAGGTTATTTTGAGGGAGATTTTAAATTTTTTTTTAGTTTGCAAAGAGAAACGTGAAGATTCTGGCTGTCAGTATTGACACGCCTCAAACTCATCGTGAATGGGCGAAAGATATCAATGGCTTTGCTAAAGTTGATCAAGATACAGGTTTTTCAATATTCAATTTTTTTTGAAGTTTTAAATTTATTTTTAGAGCTTCCATATGAAATAATAGCCGACGAGGATCGTTCACTTTGTGTTGATCTGGGAATGATTGATCCTGATGAGATTAATGCGGCGGTAAGTTTTTTAATAATCAAAAAATCGTAAAATTCATGAATATTCTTCAAAAAATAATGCAAAAAACAGAAGAAATAAACGTAGAAAATAAAAAAAAACCTCTTTTTAAAAATAAAAAAATGCAGGAAAACGTTATTAAAATTCTTTCAAATGAGATTCTGACTGATAAAATGCTAAATTGAAGCTAATTTTCCAGGGAGTCCCGGTTTCCTGCCGCGCAGTCCTCCTAATCGGCCCGGACCATCGGCTAAAGGCCCAGATTCTCTACCCGGCGACGGTCGGGCGCAACTTTGAGTAATAAAAATTGTCAAAAAATGAAATAATCACTGAATTTTTCAGGGAAATCATCCGGCTGATCGACGGCGTACAGCTCGGTTATAATGTGCCGGTAAACAAATTTTTTTGGATAAATTCACTGAATTTTTCAGATAATCAGTAGCTTATAATTTGATAAATAATATATTTATTGAATTTTTAGTTCATCGAAAAAAAAATAATAATAAATTCAAGGTTGCCACGCCGGTCAACTGGAAAGCAAGGAGATCCGGTTTTCGCGCAGCCAACTCTTTCTGACCAAGATGTGGTTCGTGTTTCAGTCTCTTTATAAATTGAATATTGTTTTTTTTTTCAATAATCAATGTCGTGGTACTATTGCCGTGTTCAAAGTAATTTCCGCGAAATGCGAAATGGTCTCTGACCCTCCAAAATTCAGTTATCTTTCTCTTTCTCTGACGGCTATTTTGAATTTCGCGGAATCACTTTGAACACGGCATATGACTGATTTCAAAAAATTGATTCCGCGAAAAAGATAACTATAATTTGGAGAATCAGAGATAATTTTGAATTTTGCAGAAATTACTTTGAAACATGGTATGAGATAGTGGTCTTTGGTTCAAACAAAATTTAATTTGAACAAAAAAAATTCATTTTTTTAGATATTTGAAAAAAAGTAAAAGTCGATGAGGAGTCTTTTTCATCTAGTCTATGAATATTTGAGTAAATTTTTATAGAATTACGATTTTTTTAAGAACCTTTTTATATAGCAGAATGCATTTTTCGGATTGGGTTGAGAGTGCAGAAAAAAAACCTTGATAAATCGAAAAAAAAAAATAATGAACAACTTGGAATTCCGGCTTCAAATTCATGTTTTAATCAAAATCAACAAAGATGTTTCGTTGTTTCCTTCTTTTCTTCATTCTCCAAATAGTTTTTATGCTGTTGAGATAGACCAGCCGTGCTAAAACGGGCGTACCCGCCTTATGCCCGTTTAAAAACAACGGGCAGAACTTTTGGGCATATTACTCTTGAGACACCGTATCAGCCCGGTAAGGTCACAGATTTTTGAAATAAAAACACCTGGTGAATCTGCTTTTTTTTCGCCCGTTTTTTGCCCGTTGAAGCCCAACTAAGACTCAGATACCCGTGAGAAAAAACACGAATCTATACGGGCGTACCCGCCTTATGCCCGTTTAAAAACAGCGGGCAGAACTTTTGACATTTTGTACCTCAGCTGAGGCACCGTTTTAGCCCGGTAAAGTCACAGATTTTGGAAATAAAAATATTTTTTTGGGCCAACTGTTTTTTTTTTGCGCCCGTTTTTCACCCGTTTAAGCCCAACTGAGGCTCAAATACCCTTTAAAAATACGGGTAGGGCCATCATGATATCCGCGAAAAAAAAAAACACGAATTTAATAGCGGGCGTACCCGCCTTATGCCCGTTTAAAAACAACGGGCAGAACTTTTGGGCATATTACTCTTGAGACACCGTATCAGCCCGGTAGGGTCACAGATTTTTGAAATAAAAACACCTGGTGAATCTGCTTTTTTTTCGCCCGTTTTTTGCCCGTTGAAGCCCAACTAAGACTCAGATACCCGTGAAAAAACAAACACGAGTTTAATACAGGCTCTCAGCGGGCGTACCCGCCTTGTGCCCGTTTAAAAACAGCGGGCAGAACTTTATTGAACTTCTTATCACTGTTGAGGCCCGGTTTTAGCCCGGTAGGGTCACAGATTTTTGAAAAAAAAAACACCTGAGAAATCTGCTTTTTTTTCGCCCGTTTTTTGCCCGTTTTTGCCCAACTGTGACTCAGATATGCGTGAAAAAACGAACACGAGTTTAATACCGGCTCTCAGCGGGCGTACCCGCCTTGTGCCCGTTTAAAAACAGCGGGCAGAACTTTTATGGTATCTTATTACTGTTAAGGCCCGGTTTTAGCCCGGTAGGGTCACAGATTTTCGAAATAAAAACAGCTGGGAAATCTGTTCCGCCCGTTTTTCACCCGTTTTTGCCCAACTGAGGCTCGAATATCCATAAATAGGGCCATCATGAGCCAATATGACATTTTTTCAGCTCTCCAAGTTGTGCGGCGGCGATTCGAGCAAATGTGAGGTCAAAAATCTGCCGAGCGGCAAAAAGTACATGAGAATCATCCACGGGGATCACTACCTTCAGAATCCCCAGTGAAAATTGTTCACCTTATTTATTTTTTAAAATTTTTCACACCGGTTCATATTATATCGATTGTTTTTCCCTGTTACTTTTGCAAATCAATAAAAAATGATACCTGAATATCTGAAATCAGCTTATCAAGGTAGATATCCCGATGTTGGAGAATCGCGATTCGAAGCTGATTGGCCGTGAGGTACGGCATTTTACGGACGTTGTTCACAACCTACATAAGGAAAATAGGAACGCTAGAGTGGTCCCTAAAGGGGTTCTTGAAGGTTTTCCTAGGATGGGGGCACTTGCAAAAAGCGCTTGCAAAAGTGGCCCTTTCAGTGATTTTTTTTGGTCCCTAAAGGGGGACCTTACTCTTTGAAGGCTTTCCTAGGACACCCTATAGAGCCTATAGGGAGCACTAAAGCTTGCAAAAGTAGCCCCTTCAGGGGTTTAGGTTAGTCCCTGAAAGGGGGACCTTATCCTTGAGGGTTTCCCTGGGACACCCTATAGGGGGCACTAAAGCTTGCAAAAAGTGGCCCCTTCAGGGATTACCTATGCATTTTATTATCTTTCAACTCATAATGAGAAATTGAAAGACTACTCAAGGGGCCACTTAAGCTTTAGAGTCGGGTCCTCTCTAGGGACCACTCTGGAGTTTCTGTGGAATTTCCGAAAATAATTGCTTCTTTATCGAAAAACGAAACATGTTAAAAACGCAAAAAAGTGTTCGAAGTCCCAAATTTGCTCCGAATAAATACTACTTTTTGTTTTGAAGCAGTTTTTTTCAACGTTTTCGAAAAAATTTTCGTTTTACCAGCCTTCCAAGACCAAAAAATACAGTTTACCTTCACTTTTTTCATGGGTTCCGAAAAATTTTTCAACTAGAATTCATGGAAAATATTAAAAAAAGAAGTATTCAAACGGCGTTTTCGAGGGCACAAGGATCATTTGCAAAAATAAAAAAATTAAGATAGCTTGGGAATTGAAAAACTAAAGACAGTTTTCTGTTTCAAAAGTGATTACAAGAATATTGTTTCTCAAAATGTTGAATATTGAATTCCTTTTTTTCATTATTAATGGAAAAAAAATTCTCAAAAAAATAAAGATGTGAAAAAAATATCGTTAGATTTTTCTTTTTTTCGAGAAGTTTTTTTCAATGGTCAAAATAACCATGATATAAATTTATCACGAATTTTTCTTTTCGAAAATTTCATCATTTTTAAAAAAATTATTTTTTTCAATCAAATTTTCCTTTTCATTTTTTCAAGCTTAAAATCCAGAATCTACTTTTTTAAAGTTCACCTTGATAGATTCAGCTAAATCAAAGGGGGCCAGCGAATTTGTTGAAAAAGCTCCTCTAGAAGGTAAGATCGAGCTTCAACTAGTCGATCTGAGACTTTCTAAAAAAACAAATTTATATGATTATTTTTTTCGATAGATTTTCACCTTAATTAATGGGTTCTTTAATCAAGGCGCTCTGTTGTTGCAATTGCATGCCGTAGTTGGTCAAGGAATACGCCGAATCGTAATATCCGGCCCGGATGCAAATGTCCATTCTCTGGAATTAAAAAAAATCTTCGCAAATCCACAAATTATTAATAAAACAAATAAATTAGAGGCAGATAAAACAACTTGACATCGAAAAAAAATCTCAATAAATTCTTCTTATTAACCTTTTTGAGAAACGTGTAATCGCTATATTTAAGCAAAATATTTTTTTACCCTCCATTTGCCTCAAAAATCAACTTACTGAAGGTAGAGACAACAATTCCCAAACAGGATTCGATTTATCAATCGCTTTCCGAATCAATTCCTGCTCGGCACTCAAAGCTTTTGACTTTGCACGAAAGCTTTGAAATTCCTCGTTCATGTGCGATATTTCTGCTGACAGCCCGTCGGTTTTATCACGCATCTCGTGAAACTTCAAATTTTTAACCAATTTTTATAATTAAGAATCAGTAACTTACAACTTTGGAGCAGTCGTGAGTAGCTCTACCAGCGTCAGCATAGGTTCCATAATTATTAAAAGCAAGATCACTAATCTGCGCTTCTATGGACTTCAATTCACTAGCGAGTAACGCTTTCTCTCTTCCTGAAAAAATAATAATTGACAACATCAAAATTAAATTGAAAAATTAAAAGTACTCACGCATCTGCTCGATTCCCATAGATCTGACCTCATCTTCTATTTGCAGCTGTGCTTCTCGTTCTTCCATGCTACAAATTAAAAAAAGAATAAATAGTGAAACCTGAATGAAATTTTTAAAAAAATTTAAAATTAAAAATCGCAGCGTTGGCAAAAAAATTTCTCACAGTAATCTGCATGTAAGTTGGCGGATGAGTGTGCGCACACTCTGTTTACGTGAAAAATTTTTTTGAAAAATGTTTTAATTTTTTTTCGAGTTCTTTAAGTTTTTTTCTGAGTTTTTTAGTGTTTCGAAAAGATTTAAACAAGCGTGAGGCTGAAGGGAAGTGTATGTCTTGATTTTCTGATTGCAAAACCGATAATTTGCTTCAAATTTGGAGAAATCTCATTTTTTTTCTGCTTTTCATCTGTATCAGTTTATTTCTCACCCTTTGTATCATCTTTTTTCTCTCAAAGAGTAATATAACACGCGAGATAATATTTAATTCATCAATATGTTAAATTTTTTCGAAATCAGTTTTTTTAGATGTCCATGGAGGGACAAGTTGTCAACGCTTCGGTTCTTTATAAAGACAACGAGCTTTGGAAAGATGTGACGCCGATTTATCCGAACGATGCGGAAAATGGCGCCGTACGCATCAATCTTTCTGAACAGTGTAATTTTTAATTTTAAAAATGAAGAAAAAATTTATTTTGAAGTTGTCGACGCGTTTGCGTACCTACGAGCGGCGATGGAGAAGCTTGAATATTCTGAACGGACTTTAGATCTCACTACGGATTGTATTCAGCAGAATCCAGCCAATTATAGTGTTTGGTAAGGGAAATATTGGAAAACTGGAATAAATTTTGAAATTTTAGGCAATATCGCCGTGAAATCCTGCTGCATTTGAAGAAAAATCTGGGCAAGGAGCTCGAATATCTCGACATGATAATTGAGGAATCGCCGAAGAATTATCAAGTTTGGTTAGTTTTTTGCTGGATTTTTTTCAGAAAATGATGTTTTTTTGAGTTTGAAAAAAAGTTTATTTTGTCGGAAAAAAAATTTTTTTATTTTTTTGAAAATTTCCGGAAATCTTCAATTTTTTTCATTTCAGCTTGACTTGTAGGAGTATATAATGTTAAATTGTAGGTTTAAAAAAACTTTAAATGAAAGGAAGTTTGAAGAAAATTGAAATATTCGAAAAAAATCGTTGATTTTTTTGTTCAAATTATGCGATTTTTTTAAAAAAATTTTTTTCTACTTTTTTTCAAAGAGCGTCAAGTTTTCAGCGCATATTCAGAATTTTTTTAAGGATGTTTTTTTCAAATGAAATTTTTTTAAAAAAAATCGATATTTTAGGCACCACCGTCGCAAGTGTGTTGAAGAGCTTGGAATCGGGGCTGCTTCGGGCGAAATTAACTTCACCGCCTTGATTATTGGCGATGAAAATAAGAACTATCACGCCTGGCAGCACAGGTTTGTTCAGAAGGGGTCGGAAAATTGATATTAAAAAAAAAATTAAGAACCACAGATAAAACTATGATTTTTCTGAAGCCAAGTTTTCCTTGAAAACTCCTCAAAATCTTGAATTTACTATAATTTTTTCGAAAAGAAGCTCCCCTCTGAAACTTCTCGTGTACTTTTTTGAATATTTTTGTTTTTTCGCGACTTGGAACTTTCTGAGAAAATCTAGGGATCACTTGAGAGTTTTGAAGCTTCTTAAGGGGTCACTAGAAATGCTCCGGCGCTTTACCAAGGCCCTAGCTTTTTTTCTCGGCGCCCTCCTCGTTTCTCGGCAACTCTCTCATTTTAACGTGCTATTTTTATTCTGTCTGACCCGTGAGGGAACAGAGAGACGCAGAAAGGCAGAAATTTTCGAGTGGTGGCCTAAACTTTGAGATATTTTCCGAAATGAACATAAACGAGAGGTTTTGAAGTTCTTAAAAACGCCTGAGCGGTCCCTATAGAGGCAACCTTAGGGACCACTAAAGCTTGCAAAAGTGGTCCCTATAGGGGGACATGCTATTTGATAACTGTTATGAACTCTAAGCGAAGAAGCATTTCCATGAAAAAATAAGCGTTTTTGAGTAAAATTGTAAGACCCCACTAGGGTCCACTTGAGCATTAGGCGCTGAGGGGTCAGACCCTTAACCCCTATAGGGACTACCTTAACTTTTAGGGGCCATCTTAGTTTAGAGGACAACCTTAATTTCCTCTATAGGATACTACCTTAATTTCACCACTATAGGGACCATTTTTTTGCCCCCTTTAGGGGCTCTTTCTCCTCCTAACCCCTAGAGGGATCACCTTAATATATATTTTAGTTTCCTTTATAGGAGACTATCTTAATTTCACCTCTGTAGAAACTACTTTTTTGGCCCCTAACCCCTATAGGGACCACTTTGGAAATCCTAAGTTCCAGTTCATTTTTTCAGACAATGGGTCGTCCGAACCTTCAAGGTGCCCTACAACGAGGAAATGTCCTTTTCGCTACGTCTTCTGCTGGAAGATCATCGCAATAATTCGGCCTATAATTATCGTTATTTCCTGATCACTCTGTATGATAAGAACAATGACAAGGAGACGATAGACGTTGAAATCAAGTGAGAAAAAGAAAATTTTCCGAAGAATTGATGAAAATTCTCCAGCCTGTGCAAGCGGTTCATCGAGGCGATGCCGAATAATGAAAGTGTCTGGAATTATTTGTCCGGGTTGGTTTTTTTTTTTTTGGATTTCTTTTGACAGGAAACTGAATTTTTCTTAATGTAGAAGGATCAAGACGTTTCCAGAAAAAGAGACAAAAAATAATTTTTTCAACAGTTTTTAACTTGAGAAGATTGTGAAGGGAATTGTTCGAAAACCGTATTTTTTTGTAGATTGATAAAAAAAAAGTAATTATTTTTCACTTTCAAAATTTCCATTTGCCTTCCTCTTCATTATAAAATGAGTTTTTTTAGCGTTTTTCAAGACCAGAATTTTTTTGCTTTGAAATTCTCTTTTTTTCCTTTCTTTTCATTGTAAATTGGTTATTATAATGTCTTATTTTTCAAACTTTAAACTTTAAGAAATCATTGAAATATTCATTAGTTTTTCCTTCTAGGGTTCTTATAGTTTCACGCTAAATTTCACTTTTTTTCAGAATTTTAGAGCAAAGTTTTTCATCAATTTTTTTGAATAGTTTTACGCATAATTTCTCATTTTTTTCGATTTCTAGGCTCCTTCTGAACAACGCTTTCTACACGTACGATAGTTTGTTGCCTTTTTGTCGAGGATCTGTACGAAAGGACGGAACCTGACAAACGGTCGCCTTATTTGGTGAGGGTTTCTGTTCAAAAAAATAGACAAAAAAATGTATGAAATTAGAAGAATTTTTGGCTAAAAAAACTTGAAAAAAATCTTGAAAAAAATTGGAGAATTAGAGTTGGAAATGGTGTAGAAAATGGAAGATTTCAGATTTTTTTAGTTGAATTCTTTGTGGTTTTCTAGTTTACATCAAGTTTCATCTCTATTTTTTTCATTTTGTCTTAAAAATATCCTCTGTATTTTTTTCCAGTACTTTTTAAAATTCATCTGTATTTATCCGTTTTTAAGAAAAATTACTTTTTTTGGAGTATTTTTTTAAAAAGTTTATCTGTTTTTCCAGTTTCCATCAAAAAAATTCATCTTTATTTTTAATTTTGTCTTAAGTCCTCTCTAATTTCCAATACTTTTTTTAAGCTCTACTTTTTTTCAGTATGAAAAAAATTCTTTGGCAATTTTTTTCAGTTTTTCTTCAAAAAAATTCCTCTGTATTTTTTTCAGCTTTATTTAAAAAGTTCCTTTGTATTTTTTTCCAGTTACCTCAAGAAGATCCTTCGTATTTCTGCATTTTTTTAAAGAAAAAGTTTCTCTGTGTTTTTTTCAAATTTTTATTGGGGATTTAATTTATATTTTTCCCAGTACTTTTTTTAAAATTTTTCAACTTTTTCATTTATCATTTTTTTATCTCTAGCGCGCCTTTTTAAAAAAAGGTCCCACGTATATTTCCAGTATTTTTTTAAATTTTCTATATTTTTTTAGTTTTCTTCAAGAGTTCCTCTGCATTCTTCCACTGCTTTTTCAAAAGTTTATTTTTTTATTTTTTCAGCTTTTTTTAAAAGTTCATTCCTTATTTTTCCAGTTGTCTCACCAAGATTCTTTGAATTTCTGCAGTTTTTTAAAAAAGTTTCTTTGTATTTTTCAAATTTCCTTAAGGAGTTGGTTCATATTTTTCCAGCTGTCGTTCATCGCCGACGCGTATTTGGAACGAATCGAGAAGGATTCGAACGCGGAAGCGAGTGCTGAACGCGCCTCACAGGTTAGACTAGGAAAAAAAAATAATATCATTTTTTCAAAGATTTCAGTGCTGTTATTCATTATTTCCTAAACAAGCATGATCATTAAAAATTCAACTTTTCGAGTAAAAATTTCCCACCGGAAACTGTGAAATGTGATATGGAAGCTTTTTGGAAGAAGTTGAGATAGGGACTTCAATTTTTCTGATTAATTTTAGAGACTGAATTTCTAATTAAGGGAATTTTTTCGAAGAAAAAGAACCTTTCCTACGAAATAAGGAGCTTGAAAATGAACAATATGTCATTTTTGATATGACCAACGGTTTTTTAAGGATTTTTAGAACAACTTGAATGAAAGAATCGCCTTTATTCGTTTACTTTCGAGCTGAAAACTTGTCGGAATGAATTTTTTTGCCCTGCTTGATTTTTAAATTAAGAAAAAAAATTCAAATAATCAATTTGATGACCTTCTAGAAAATGCGTTTAAACTGACCAGCCTGTTAACGCGTCAAAAACCCGTTCTTCTGAACCTCGAACTCCATTTTTGATGTTGAAAATATAGTCAATGTTTCCCGACTTGAAAGGCGAAGGAGGCGGGGCAAGGGGCGGGGCGCGTAGCGTGTGCGTTCGCGGTTCTTGGCGCCAGTTCAATTCACTCGCCGCCGACTATTTAAAAATCTCGGCAACCGCTCTTTTTCAATGTTTTCTACTATTTTTTGATGCACATATTAACATAATCAATAAACACTTGAAAAAAGCGAAAAACGGGCTTTTCAAAGAGTCGATGGCGGTTGAATTGAACTCGTGCCAAGAACCGCGTACGCACACGCTACGCGTCCCGCACCTTGCCCCGCCTCCCTCGCCTTTCAAGTCGGGAAACATTGACTATACCCGGCGTTGAAAATGAGCATTTTTCAAAGAATTCTGTAACTATTTATTGACGAAATTTTAAAAAATTGCATTTTGTATATGTATCTAGAACTCTTAGGATTCAAAATTAGTTCCGGATTCCAAATTACACTCGAATTCAATTCAGGATCATACTGGTTACTATTTTTCTAGGAAACTCTGAAATTGAGACCGCGAAAAGATTAAAAACCACATGAAGATGAGGCAAAAAAACGGAGAATTCGAATTTTTATCGATTTCAATCAAAACTACACATTTTCTTTCACAAAAAGTGTATTAAATTGATTTCAAAATAGGCTCCGAAATCCAAAAAAAAAGTTCAAATTCAGTTCATAATCATACGGGTTACTAATTTTGGGAATGTAAAAGTTGTCTTTGAACCTTTTTTCACAGCATAAAAAGCCTTGAAACCCGACAAAAAAGTGAATTTCTGCAGTTGTACTCCGAACTGACCGACGTCGATCCCGTCAGGGCCAACTATTGGAAATATCAACGTATCCATGTGACCAACGTCGTCGAAAGAATCCAAGCCAAGAGAAATTGAATTATTCCCCCCAAAATCATATTTTATTCTGGTTATTTTTGTGAATATCATATTTTGTCCTGAATACTGAAGTTTTTCTTTCATTTTTTGTTCAGTCCTTAATTTTTTTTTGTATTTCATCACTTCGATCACATGTACAGTTTTTTGGAGTAAATACGTATTTTTTCAACATTTTATTACTTTAAATTGTTGGTTGAATTTTCCTGAAATGCTCCTGAAAAAAATAATAACAATTGGATTATTTTTTGAAGGAAAATGAACGAATTTGACCGAAAAACGGTCATTTTGCTGGACGCCACCCCCAAATTCGCCCAATCTTCAAATGCGGTTCATTTTTTGAAGATTTTTAGATTTTCGAAATAATTTTAGTACAGTTGTTTGTAAGGGTAATGTGACGAAAACGGGAAATTTTGTTAAAAAGTAGAAAAATTCGAATTTTTTGTCCTTTTTGCTACAGTTTCATATGCTTTTTTTAAGTTTTTTTCGCGGTTTCAATTTTTAAAATTTTTCTTTTAAAAAAATAGGTTTCTATATGAACCTTACTTCAATTTCAAGTGTTTTATTGCATTTTGGAACTCATTTTGAAAAGTTTCTTTTGAGATTAAGGTAGAGAAAATACGTAATTTTTATTAAAATTGGGAAAAATTCGAATTTCCCGTCCTTTTTGCCTCATTTTTGAGTGATTTTCAGTTTTTTGCGGTTTTGATTTCAGAATTTTCTTGACTTGAATTTCAACTGTTTTTTAAATTTCAAAGCTTATTTTTAAAAATTCAGAAATTCGCCTTGACCGTCAAGGAATCGGGCAAAGATGCACAGCAGAAAAATTGTGAGTGAGGATTTTTATTTTTATTTGGATTATATAATTGTAATTTTGCAAGAAATGGTTAGAACTGAGTATATATTTTTAGTTTCTTTGACATTTTTCAAGAAAAAAAGAGTTTTTTTGGACGTTAGCCACGGTTTTTGCTTTGTTATTTTTGAAAAAAAGGTGGTTTCAAAATTGCCAATGAAGTTTATAAATAGGCAAAGTCGGAAAGGGTCGAAAAAAAGCTCCATAGAAATGTTCCTTGCATAGGCAAAGTCGGAAGGACTCTTCACGGGCCCTTTGAGCGTCCGTTACAGATCCGTCTGTTTCCATTAATTGTTCCTAAACGGGTGACAAAGGTTTCCTTTTTACTGCCTTTTTGCGTCCTTTCATCGGCCTTCATCCACCCTTTTTGGACCCTTTTGAGAAATAATTTTTTTTTGAATTAAGAATAATCTTTACAAGTGACTGTGTATGAACCAAAATAAGCTACAGTAATGAAATCGGAAATCATCAATAGCAGAGAATTTCAGAACCTTTTTGCACCCTCACCCTTTCTTCACCCTTTTTTTGCCCTTTTATTACCCTTTTTAGCCCACCAAGAATGAAAGGCTCAATAAAGGCCGTAAAAAGGGACCCTTTTAGTGGCCATTTTGCATTCACTCCCTTTTTGCACCCGTTTTCCGCACTTCCGACTTTGGCAGTGTTTTAGGGTGGAAAAAGGCTTCTTTTTTTGCTGCCTTGTTGCCCCTTTTCATCGGCTTTTATGCACCCTTTTTGCTGCCCCTTTCTACCATTTCTTGAGCCTTTGAAATCCCAGAAAAAATGAAAGGCTCGATAAATTGACTCTTTTTGTTGCCTTTTCCCTGCCTTCTTTGAGCCTCTTATATTTAGCGGCCATTATCCAAAATTCCGCCTTCGCCCGAGAGGGAAAGAGCTTTTTATATATATTTTTATCATATTCTAAAGTCGAAAACGGTATTTTTTTAACGTAATTATTTATTGATTTTTTTGATGTTTAAGGTCATTTTCGAGTTTTTTCAGGTGGGAGAGCACACGAAATCCATGTGGACGTGGGGCATCGAAGTCCTTTTCGAGCTTCATCGCATCATTTCTGACGTTTTTTTGACGAAAGTAAACCATTGAAAAAAATTATTTTTACTCAAGGAAAATTTTCAAAAAAACTTCAAATAAGTATTTTTAGATATGAAAAATGGGGCTTTTTGAATATAATACTTGCAAATTTTTCTAAAGAAAAAAACCTCCAATTTTTCAATCACTAATTAGCTTTTTCGTTCCAGGACCCATTTTTTTCTCTTTTTTTCGAAAGATGGTCGATTCTTCTAGTGGAAACCCTAGAAGTGATACCATAATAAACGATTGTTAAAAAAAGAAAAAAATTAAAAAAATCGGAAAGAGTTCTTCAGCTGGGAAGTTATCCATGGAGCGCAAAAGCTGTCGAGCGAATAATAATAATTTTTTTTGTTAATTTTTTCTGTATGAATGATTTGAAAAGCTTGAACTAAAATAATTTTGAATGAATATTTTGAATATTAGGCGACCGATTGCTGCGAATCGCCGTGAACAAGCCCGAGCCCGTGATTTTTGACGAAGAGTGGGAGGAAACTGGATGGAGCGTGGAAAAGGTGGGAAATTCATCAAAAAAATTCCTCCCTGGGGCTAAAATTCGAGATTTTTGTGTTCTTTTTGACTATTTGGTTGTTTCTACCTTTTTTTTTATTTCTTATGGTATTTCGCTCCGAGACCCGCGTTTTTTGCAGTTTTTAGGGTCTCGAAGCGAAATCGTGAAAATAACCTGGACCTACGGTAGCTTTATTTAACTGTGTGATTTCCTCGCTAGAAATTTTTCAGATTTGTTCGAAAGCAGAAACAGTGAAAATTTATTTATTTTTCTAGCAATCCTGTTATTTTAGTCTAAATTTTGAAAATCAAGTCTTTGCTCAAGCTCCGCCCCTTTTGGCACTATGAACCAATCAGAGAGCGAGCCATCCACTGAGCTCTTCCAGATGACGTCATTTTACTTGAAATTCAAAGTCTGGACAGTTTATGGCGAAATCTGTAACAGAGATCGTGAAAATATTCCAAAACTTATTTGCCAGAAGAAACAGTGAGTTGATATTTCGATTCCAGCTGGTCGAGATGCTCCTGATGTTCGAGCCTCCCCAGCCGGAAGACGAAGACGTCCCGATTTGCCGGGGAATTACGAAGGCTCTGGAAGCTCTCGGAACACTTACAGTCAGACAGAAAATGGAAAATGAGGATCATCGCAAGATTTATTGTCAGTGTTAGCTTGGAAATTGATCCTTGTGTGGGATTATAGTCTGTGCGCCACAACTTGAAATTTCACGGAACGACATTCCGCTGTTCCGCCCTTTGCGAACCTTGGTCGCGCTTTTAATTTTGTCTTCCTTTTTTAAGGTACTCTACTTTCATGTGCTCCCATTGCAATAACAATCATTTGAAAGTGTGACATTCGAAAAACGCTTCACGAACGCACGCAACGGAACAGCGGAATGTCGTTCCGTGAAATTTCAAGTCCTGGCACACAGACTATATTAAACGTTCAAAAAGCTCGAAAATTATTCTTTCGTAAGAACTGACGTTTAAAAAATGAACCTTCGCATGATAATTTATTTAAATACTTCAATTCAACTTTTTTTCAAGTTATTTTTTTCTAATCTGCTTCGTTTTGAAATTTAATTTTTTTGTTCTTGGAGCCTTTTTTAACTACAAAGTCTCGTGTAGCGGTTGAAGTTTGGAGCTTTTCAAAAAAATTTAGATATATAGTTATCATTATTTTTTTAATCTCATAAAAATATCTTCTGATCTTTTCTATAAGCTCAATTTTTTTCAGTTGAATTTGGAAAGAACAAAAAAATTTTTGGATTGAAACGGCGAAATGTTCGATGTTTTTCTCCTTGAAAAATCCGATACTTTATGACTTTCTACACCTTCTTAATATTTTGAAGCATCAAAATCGAGCTTAAAACTCAGAAAAAATGTTAGAAATAGAATGAATGAAACAATTTTTGATTAGAAAGACCGAAAAATTCATTTTACAGGCTATTTTTTTAAGTTTTTCTTCATTTTTTTTTTTTTTTGCATCTTTTTTTGGCCTTCTAAGACATCCTAATAGAACTTAAAAATCAGATTTATAAGCCAAAAAGAAGATGAAAAAAAATTATAAGCGGTGGAACGAATTTTGAATTGAAATATGTAGGGACCGCAAGCCATTTCTTCAGAACGATTCAAAAAATATGTTTTTACATTGTTCGATAGAGGAGACTGTCCATTTTCATAATCCGTTTAGTTTTCGAAAGAAGCTCCACTAAGAAAAAAGTTATGGCCAAAAAACGAGCGCGCTCGGCGTTCAACTGGAGGCAAAATCTCACGGTTTACCCGCTGCCGCACGCTTTCTTTTTAAATGTTTTTGCGCGTTTCTGGACCGTTTTTAAATCGGTTTTCTGTTCTGAGAGGTTGGCAGAACTGAGCTTAGCGTTTTGGTATAAATCTTTTGTACAATCCTCATAAGAATTTTTTTGATAAAATATCAAAAAACTACCTAGAAAAAAAGGTCAAAGGGATTTTTTTCAGCTTATTTTTTTCTTTTTTTCTACTCAGAAAAAAATTATTATTATTCGATTTGGAAAAAAAGAAAAAAATGAAAAAAATAATGTTATTTCGAAAGAAAACAGGAAAAAAAGTGCAATTTGACTCCGAAAAAAACGGCTCCTGCGACATTTAAAAGGGCGCATCGGTGTGTTTGACGCAAACACTGCTACGGACACTTGCACGAAATCTTCCGAAATTTCAAAAAAAATTGCCATTTTTTCGAGGTTTTTTTAAAGCCGTTATTTTTTTCGCGTCGATCGATTTTTTTCATAATTTTTTCATTGATAGAGTTTTGAACGCTTAATAACATAATCAAAAAAATATGAACGCGATCCTATTCTCTCATTCGTCAACGAGGCAGACGAAAAAAAGGAGGTTTTGGAAAAAAACTCAAATATAATTTGATTCACTGTCCCAATAATTATTTTTCATTCTGAATTTTTTTATTTTTTTGGACACACTGTTTGTTTTTAAATCAAATAAAAAAAGTATACCATGTCGCTGAAATTTTTTCGCATTTCAGCTTTAAAGTTTGCTGTCACTTTACAAGCTTTAATATTTTTTTCGCGTCGGTAGATTTTTTTCATTTTCACTCGAAAAAAATAAAGAAAGTGTTAATGTATAACATACTCAAAATTCAGAAGCGTTCCTCACTTGGTTTTCTGAAACGCGACGATTTTTGTGAAACTTGTCAGTTTTTTTCGTGTTAAATCTTACTTTTTTTCGCTTAATTTTTGAAAAAAATACATAGTTTTTAAAAAAATATTCAGTCTTGTAGAGCGTTGTCGATTACATAGATTAACAGAAACAGTTAATTTTCAAAGTGGGACTTTAGCTAGTATAAACGCCTCAAAACCGTTTTTGCAACAAAAAAAAATCGCCATTTTGGTGGCGTGAAGGGGCGGGGCTTTGCGCCCCCTAGAAATATGAAACTCATTTTGTAAAGGCAATTTTCGATTTTCTTGTTGTGAATCTGATTTTTTTTTGTTCTTTCCACTTTCTTGGACCTTGAAGACGTCCAAATCAAGCTGAAAACCCAAAAATTACACGCAGAAAAATGGAAGAAATGACGATAACTGGAGGAATAAGACAGCTTTTAAAACAGAAACGACAAAAATCCATTTTATTCTTTCATATTCTTGATGACCTTTAAACCTTTTCAAACCTTTTAGGCGTTCTAATCAAGTTGAAAATTCGAAATTTTCAGCCAGAAAAATGGAAGAAATGACGACGTCAGAACGACTCCAGCATATGATTTACGAGGCCGACAAATTTGTCAGCGAGCCGAATGTCGGGTCCATCGTCATGTACACACTTTGCATGAAGTTGGCAGCCCTTATGGATTTATTTTATGAAATTTCCATCTTCCAGTGATGAGGAGATGATGAAAGTTGAAGCTGAGGTCGGAGCCTGCCTTCGACGCAAAAATAAAGAGTTCGCAGACTCGAAAAAAAAGTTTGAAATTGTCGATTTTGTGGCAAGAGGTTTTGCGCGAAAATATTAGGACACGAAAATTTATCTGAAAGGTTTTCATGACCAATGAGTTAGCTCAAAATGGAAAGAAATAATTTCAAGAATTTTTGTAGAAAAATAAAGCTGTTTTTAGTTTTGAAAAACTACAAGAAAATTCAAAAAATTCTTTTGAAATATGCAGTTTTTCGCTTCTAAGGCGTTGTGGTCGCGGTCGCGTCGCGCTTGCAAGACTTTTCGAGGTTTTTTAATGATTTCTGAGAAAATTTTTAGTGGCCCCTATAGGGCCTCGCCGAGAACTACTTGGAGAGGACACTTTAGTGGCCTCTAAACCCACCTCTATAGTGGCCGCTATTTTCCGTTTTTGTGGCTACTTTAGAGGTTTTCTATTTATTGGCCACTTCAGTAGTTTTTCATCCAGTATTCCTTCCAGTAACTCTGATAATTTCAAAACAAACGAATCGGACCAGTTATGTTGATCCATTGACCCCTAAAGTGGCCACTAAAATTTTTAGTGGTCTAGTAGTAGCACTTAGACCTCTATAGTGGCCACTAATTTGACTACTATAGTGGTTACTAAAACGTCAAAACCCTATAGTGGCCACTAAAAACTTTCCAAGTATGTATGCTATCGTGCGCAAGTAGTTTTCGGTCGCTTGCACTTTAAAGCAGGCTTAAATAAAACAAACTTTTTTTTCCCATGTAATTTTAGAGCGCAAAAACCTTTTGTCCAAGCTTTTTCCTGTTCTCTTTTCAAATTCATGAAAAAAAGAGGTTCAGATACGCTCCAATCACAACCCTCAACGTATTTTTTGTCAATTTGTACCCGGTCGACGCGAAATGTACAGTGACGACGAGACCTTTGTTGAAGGTGGGCCGAAAAATGGCTTATTCTCCAATTAATCGATCTTTTCATTTTCCATAATTTATTTTTATTATTAGGTCATATATGTTATCGATTAGGCAGTGAGCAAGAGCTTTCCAAATTTTTCAAAAAAAACCAAAAAAGCTGAAAAAAAAAAATATTTTTGCACTTTAGAGGTAGCTTGAGAGAAGAAAATTCGAATTTTTAAAAATTGCCGGTCATTTTTGTTCCAAGTTTGTAGATTTTTCTAGATTTTCAAGAATTCATCAATTTCCCCATACTGGTTAAGATTCCTTCTGTGCTCAAAACGCTCAAAACTTTTAGGATTTATTTTTTTTATACGTTCAACGCATAATTAAGGCTGGAATCGATATTTTGCATATTCAAAAATTACATGTCACAAAGTTTGATCTTCATCTAGCACGGCGTTTTTGCTAGTGGAAGAAAATGCGGAACCAAAAACACGGTGGGCGGAGCCAAAATATCCGCCGTTCCTACGCGACGTCATGGGAACGGCTCTAAAAGCGTAAATAACAAGGCATATTAAAGGCGCAGGCCGCTGTATTGCCACAGGTCTTTGAAACGAATCGAAATTTCTCTACATAAACGCAATTTTCTGCGCGAAAGCGGCGCAGTGCATGCACACGACACACGACACTTTACGGAGAAAAAGGGAGGTCGTCGAAAAAACGGCGTGCTAGCCCTTTAGAGGATGTCTGAGCAAGTTTTCTGAAATTTCCAACTTTTAGACTCAAATAAGATCATTTTTATAGTATTTTTCCCACCCTTTCTTACAAAATTTTGAAAATCACGGTTGAATTTAGGTTTAGAGGTCTATATGGACCTTTTTCTAGACCTTCAGGAAAATTTTGAGAAATTTTCCTGAACGTCCCAGGCTCAACGGAGACTTTTTTGAGAGCTTTATTTTCCTAGCCATCCTTTCAAAAATCAATAAAAATCACTGTCGAATCCCAGAGTCCCCACCACCCGGCCCTGAAGACGTACGTCATCTCCAGAGCCGTCACCGAGCTCAAAAACGCGGCTCATTCTTTGGCCGTCGGCGCGTTTGACATGTTCTCGACGACCGTAACCCGGATCCCGATGAAGGAGGAAAACTCGACGTCGATGAACTATGACGTCGAATTATTCCATCGAAGGAGAGCCCATGATTTGCTCGGCGAGCTGGGCGTTCTCAAGGTGCTTTGATTGGCTCGAAAAATGGGCCTTTGACGTCATCTTCGGCCTGAAAAATGGTCTTACCACGATTGGTGAGATAGTGGACGAATAGGAGAGGATTAGACGTCTTTTTAGTGTTTTCCGTCCAAATTTGTTACATATTTTCTTAGGCTTGCTTAGGAATTCCAGAGTGGTCCCTATAGGGGTTAGAGAGCAAAAAAACCTTATAGGGGCCGAAAAAGTTGTCACTATAGGGGTTTTAGGGTCTGGCCCCTTGGCCTCCGAAGCTCAAGTGGACCCTATAGGTGTCTCTCAATTTTATTCGATTATTTAGTTTTTCCTATGGAAGTGCTTCTTCGCTTAGAGTTCATAAAACTGAAACCCCTATAAGGACCACTTTTGCAAGCTTTAGTGGCCCCTATAGGGGTTACTAAGGCTTGAAAAATTGAGAGGCCTCTATAGGGTACGCTTGAGCTTTAGGGGATGAGGGATCCTATAGTAATTACCTTAATTTTACCCCTATAGAGGTTTTTTTCCCCCTAACCCCTATAGTGACCACTCTGCAATTCCTAATTAGGGTCGAATTAAAACCCATGGGTAAGAAAGTATTTTTGATTTCAGGACAACTCCCAAAAAGCCTACGCGAGAACCGGCGTCGCCTACGAATCGATCAGACTTGCCTGGGCGACGGCGCCGAAAAATCGAGCCTTCGAAGTGAATCCAGAATCTTGTACAGAATCGCGACGTCTTCGAAATTGCAGCTGACCTTCCCGAGGACCCTGGCGACGTCGCCGTGCACCCCGGCCGAAGGAAACAGTCGGCCCGCGTCTTGTCTCATCAACTTCGTGATGGACGGCAGATGTGTCATGTTGGATCTGGAGGTCTCCGGAGAAGCTCCTTTTGAGAAAATTTCAAGAATTCCTTAGAAAACGGGTCCGATGGCCAACAGGACCCCAAATGTCAACAATTATCTGATTTCCCATACCCTTCTCAAACATGCTGGAAGGATTTATCTACATGCGATCGATATTCGAGAAGATAGTGAGTTTGAGAAAAATTATAGTCGATTCTGAGGCCTGTCTGCGCCCTCCACCAACCAAGCGCTATTTCTTTTTTATTGCCAGAAGCTTTTTTTGATTTTTCAAGTCCTTCGCGAAACTTTATGTCTGTCTGCGTCTCTCTGTTCCCTCACCGGCGAGGTCAGAGAAACGCGAAAATAGCACGTAAACTTGAGAGGGTCGCCGAGAGACGAGGAGGGTGCAGAGAAGTCCTCTTTCAGGTCACGGAAAACGGACTATTCAAGCTTTCTAATTTTTTAGATGGTATTTTTCGAAAGTATGACTTTCTGAATACATTTCTCGACTTTCTAGGGTTCTTCAAGTATTTTTTTTGAGATATTGATTTTCCTGATTCATTAGCGAGAATGGCTCAACGCGTTGCGGTCGCGCTGCGGTTCGAGTTAAAATGTCGAACCTGGCACTCGAAGTGTAGTCAAAATTTGAAGTTGGGCGAAAACCGTTTCGAGTCGGTTGCTTTGAGCGTTAAGCCGTTCCCTATGTTTTCAAAATTTTTAATTTCGACTCTGTCAAATTTTTTCATTGAGCTTGAAAAAGGTCAAAGTAACTTTGATTTTTTTGAGTTTTTTTGAATTATTTTTTTGTGAATTGCGGTAGTTCATCTCTTTAAAGCCCGGTTTTTTTCGAAAAATTAAAGTTTTTTTCTTATATTATTTTTTTATATTTTTGAAAATCCTTCTTTTTGAACTACTTCCATGGGACCCAAAGTTGAAAAAGTTGGGCAAATAAAAAAATATTATTTATCAAGCTAGTTTTGCGTTGTTATATGCTCCTTATATTCAATTAGAGTTTTTCTGAGTAGTTGGAATATTTTTGAAAATTGTGGAGAAAGGGGATTTTTTGTAAAGGCACCACAAAAATCGATTTTAAATAAGCCTTTGAAAGGCATTATAGAAAAAGGTTATTCAAAAGAATTTCTTCATAAAATGAAGAATTGATCGATTTTCTGGATGAATTTGAAAAATTACTGTCCTTTCCAGGCTCTAAGGTCAAGGAAAAGGCGGCGAAGGCTTGGAAATCCACGCCCGTCGACGAACTTCGAGTCGATTCTCTTCGGAAACTTTTCCAACAAGTCAGACTCCAAAGGCCGACGGAAGACGTGGAAAATATCTCGGATCTTTCTCCCAAATGGAACAATCTCCCATGCGGGAATGCTCTGCGCAAACTTCAACGGATCACGCGAAACTTCGAGATTCGCAAGGAGCGCACTTTCATCTTCCAGGGCGATATTATTGAGGTTATCTTTTCGGGATCAGGTTTCTAGAAGAAACTCGGACCTTGGTAACGCGAACGGGACGCGAATCGGACGTGTCGGGGCGTTTCTAGGGACCACTTTAGTAGCCTCAGCCCTCTTAAGTGATCCCTTGAATCGCCCAGAAACGTCCGAGCACGTCCGTTTCGCGTTACCAATGTCCGAGAAACAAAGGGTTTTTTGAAATATGGGTTCTTACCGTTATACAGGAAGTTGAGAAAAAGAAAAAAAAAAAAAATCCTGGATTCGAACTGAGTTTTCACTACAGAATTTGATGAAAAAAATTAAAAATTTAAACACAAATTTTTTTGGATGAAAAAAAAGGGGGATTTTTTTCGGATTTTTTTAGAGGCTTTTGAATTATTTGATGTATCTGCCTAGCTATATGATTGAAAAGACTGAAAAAATGCGAATTTTAGTCGAAAAATTTTAGTGGCCACTTTAGGGTTTTGACGTTTTAGTGACCACTACCGTAGTCGAATGAGAGACTACTTTAGTGACTAAAATTCAGTAGCCTTTTTAGAAATCTAAGTGGTGCTACTAGATTACTAAAAGTCACTATAGTGGTCACTTAGACGCGAAATAGTGGCTTCTATAGAGGTGGTTTTAGTGGCCACTTTAGTGTCCTCTTCAAGTAGCCCTTATGGAGCCTTTTAAGTGGCCACTAGAGTTTTTCCTAGTGAGGTGTTTTTTTCTTTATACCCTCCTGGGAATTTTTTATGAAATATTTCGGATAAAAAATCAAAAAAATCAAATTTCAGCGACATTTTTAAGCGCTCTACTCAAAGCTAGAAAAGTCTCGAAAAAGGCATTTTTCAGTTTTTTGTATCAATTTTCTCAATCACCCTTTTGAACAGACTTCGTTTACAATTTTAAAAAAAAGCTTGAAAATCGGATTTGAAAGACATTTTTAACCGCTTCACTCGAAATTTTAAGAAAAAGCCAAAAACCGCGGTTTTTTTTACTACTCTTACATCAGTTTGATTTTGCTCAATGACTCTTTCAAAACTGTTTTGAACACTATAGTTATTTTTCAAATGAAAAAATCTAGAAAATCGAATTCCAGAGACATTTCCAACCGCTCTACCAGAACATGATGAAAAACACGTTGACACAGCCCCAAATGGACGATTGTTTTGCGGTTTCATCTCCCTTTAAAAAAAGATAAAATGACAAATTCCAGACGATCCAAAGACTAGTGGTTACTAGAGATCAAAGGAAAGCTTTTGCCCTGCCGACCGAACAAATTAAAACGAGTCTCGTCAAGGATATGACCAATAAGTTTGTCTTTTCTGGCCTCAAAATGAAGATTTGAATGATTTTGAAGAGATGAACAACTTCGAGTCGGACTTGCCGAGTTTGCACGATTTTTGGCCGCTTATGCAAATCATTCGGATCGGCATCTGGAGGTTGGTCTCAATAGTTACCCGGGAAACGCTAAAGTGGTCACTAGAGGGATTAGAAGCCTATACAGTGGGCAAAAAAGTGCTCCCTAAATGGGTTAAATTTAGATATTCAGTTTAGGGGTTAAGGGTCTAAGCCACTATACGCTTAAGTGGTCCCTATCGAGGCTAAGGGTCGGACTCCTAAGCCACTCAAGTGGCCCCTAGGGGGTCTTTCAATTTTCTGTTCCAATTTGAAAGTTAGAAAAACGTTTCAAAGGCCGCTTTACTTCACCCCTAATTAGAACCCCTAGAGTGGCCACTTTTGCAAGTTTAAGTGTCCTCTATAGGAAGTATAAGATGGTCCCTTAAGGGAAACCTACAAGAGTCCTCGTCGCCACTTTAGGGGCCACTCTGGCCTTTCTAAGTATAATAGATTCATCCACTGCAAAGAGAGTTTGTTTTATTTACAGGAAAAATGAGAATTTTAACCTCTTGAGTGGTCACTTAATCTTTTCGGACAACAATTTCAAACTCGTATCCCTTAAGTGACCCCTAGAAATGGATCCATTCCCAGGTATTCCAAACCTACATGCGTTCTTTGGGTCTCGACCGAATGCTGAATATCCCGGCCGATGACGTCATTCCTCTTCTGAGAATTCAAGAGTTTGAGCATTCCATACCATATTGCTCATGTTACCTGATTTTCCAGGTTATCGGATAAAAAAAGTTCCGAAAAAATGAGTAAAAAAGACGATGAGAAGGCGAAAAAAGAGGATCCGACGAAGAAAAGGATGGCGAAGGCGGAACCGCCGCCGCCGGTGCCGGAGAAAAAGCCGGTTCCGCTCCAATTTCAGTGGAAAGCCGGCGGTGATTGTTGCTCATGTTTGCTCAGATTATTCCCAAAGAGTCATTGAAACTTTTTCTGCAAGTTTTAAATTTTTTTAGAAGCATTTTTTTCTGAATTTTTATGAAAATAACCCGCTTTTTTTCGAACTAAATTTGCAAGCTCACACTTTTTTTGAGTTTCTAGTTTGATCAAACATTTTTGGTGATTTTTTTTTCTCGGTAAAGCGCACTTGGTAGAATTCGGAACTTTTTTTGTATAAAAAAATTAAAATTTATTTTTTTCCTTTTAAAAAAACAAACTTGAAACACATTTTTTTAATTATCAGAAAGAGTTTTTTTGGAATCTCATAGGCTTTAATTTTTTTCAATGTTATTTTTATTGCTCTTTTTCATGATTTTTACATTATTCGATGACAAAAGATTCAAAATTTTTCAGAAGTCGTCAATCTTCTGGATTTCCTATCGAACCAAAACGAGCAGAAGATGTTGAGGGAAAGGCGCGAATTTGTGGGCCGAGAAAGGCCCGGAAAAATCGCCCGACTTTACCCGAATTCGAATTTGGCGCCAAATGCGACCGTTGGCATCGTGCCATCGGCCAAGGTTATACAGGAATGATGAAGATTTTTTCGCGGAAGTTCTGGGTTTTCGAAGCTGAAAAGTTGGAAAATGACGGTTTTTAGAGAACTTTTAAAATTTCTGCTCAAATTATGCGTTTCAAATCATTTTTTTTTCTAATTTTATTGTTAATTTTATTTTTATCCGTCTAAAAAAGTTGAAATTTCCTTTTTAAAAAGTGTTTTTTTGTCTACAATTTGTTCATAATTTATTTGATTAAAATCCGGGTTTTCGTTTTTTTCCATCAAACTGTTCAATTTTTCCTATCTGTACCTCTATGTATTCATAAAGAATCTCTTTTTTTCTCATATTCCGCAAAAAAAAACGATTAAAGTTTATATTGTAACATAAAAAACAACAACCAGAGAAAGGATGAAACAGTGAAGTAGTCTAACACGCATCTAAAAGGCAATAAAGTGCTTTTTTTCTCTAATAGAGCCCGGAAAATTGTGAGAGAAAATTAGAAACTATCAAGAAACTAGAGATTTTTGTGAAAAATGCAGACATTCTTGTCTCCACTTTTCCTATGCTCTCTAACTTGGGAACTAACCTTTCGCAATCAAAATTTTGAAACACGTTGGTATTTTATGCTGCTTAAACGCAACCAGTATAATTTGAGAGTGGAAAAAAGAGAAACAAAGCAAGAAATGGTGGAAAAATGTACATATTGGGGGTCTTAAATACAGGTATAAATATAGTCGAAAGCACGGGAATTCCCAAAAGGATTGTCGTCGGAGAAGAAGAAAGGAAATATTACGTTTTGATCATGAATCGCCACAGATCTTCGGGATGCGAAGCACAGCCGAGGGAAACGCCGATCCCGACAATGGCTGGGAGGACCATCGCGGGCAGGACTTTCGATCTGGAATATTCATATGAACACAAAAGATAGATCAAAATGCAAAATATTCATATAGTCAATAGTTACCGACTTGAAAGGAGCGGGACGCGTACGTGGTTCTTGGCACGAGTTCAATTCAACCGTCAGCGACTATTTGGAGAGCTCGTTGATTGCTTTTTGCATTTCATTTCCAATTCTTTATTCGTTTTGTTAGTTTGAGCATTAAAAATAGTAGAATAGATACACAAAAGGTGACCGAGCTTTCCAAATAGTCTTTTGCACTTGGATTAAACTTTGAAAAGCGTCCCGCCCATTTCCCCGCCTTTCAAGTCGGGATGATTTGACTATTAATATGAATTCTTCTGAAAACGTGAAACGGAAAACTTCAAATTTGATGGACAAAAGTTTCACGATCAAGATCTCCGTTTTTTTCTTTTCACTCAATCGATAAATATTTATATTTTTCTAGTCGTTGAAGTAATTGAATATTCAAATTTAAACCCGTGAAATTTAAAAATTTGATTGAAAAAAATCACATTTTCAAAAAAACAAGTAAATTTCCTTGACCAGAAGGACAACGACCGAAAACGAGCTCAATCCGAAACATCAAACTTTCCGATTTTGACAGCCCCTAACTTTTTTCACAAGCCTCAAAGGCAAATTTTCAGCACAAATTCGAAATCAGCGTGAAAAACTACATCTAGTAAACTTGGTCTCATTCAAAAGTCCCAATGTGAGCTGTGAACATTCTTTGGTAAGATCAAGTTCTCCGATTATTTTCCCATCGATCAATAAATATTCATTTTTTGTCACATTCTTCAAAATTTCTCTCTTATCAAGAAATCCGTAAAGAACGTCACAAAAATTTGGAGTTATTTTCGTTCTCACCACTATTTTATAGCCAATAAAACTCTAATCAGTCCGTCCATCGTGATCGTTTTATTCTCGTCCGTCTAAAGATCAGTTTCCCTTTACTATTGGATCGAAATTGAAAGAGAAAAGGTATTATCAAGACCTTTGTTGATATTGTTCTTCAAATAACACAAATTATTGATTTTATCACAATTTATTGATTTTTCCGTATCACAAATTATTGATTTTTCCGCGTGTAATCGCTTTTTCTTGTAGAGTTGTAAACGATAAACGACTAGAGTGCCCCCCGTCCCTAGAGTGGCTACTAACTGAAGCTCATATTTTCCCTTCCTGGAAAAATTTTTAGTGGCCGCTTTAGGGTTTTGACGTTTTAAGGGCCACTACAGTAGTCAAATTAGTGCCCATTTAATGGGTTAAAAATTAGTGGCCACTATAGAGGTCTAAGTGCTACCACTAAAAATTTTAGCGGCCACTTTAGGGGTCAATGGATCAACATAACTGGTCCAATTTGTTTGTTTCAAAGTTATCAGAGTTCCTGGAAGAAATACTGGATGAAAAACTACTGAAGTGGCCACTAAAACGGAAAATAGTGGCCCCTATAGAGATGGGTTTAGTGGCCACTTTAGTGTCCTCTCCAAGTAGTCCTTGGCGAGCTCCTATAGCGGCCACTAAATAACTTCCCAGTCATCTTATCGGATCAAAATCTCTTCAATCAAGAGAAATCATCGCCCTTCTCCTAATTTAGTCATCACCCTTCACCTATAGAAGAAACAAAAGTACAAAAGACCTTCAATTTCCGTTCCCCAAAAAGACGGAAAACAAGGTTTCCCGCCATGTGCCCCGGTTTACACCGCACACAATCACCACAAATCAACCTTTTTTTTCTTTTTTCTGCTGGCTCTTGGCCATCCAAATTGTAAACAGGCCAGTGAGGCAGTGTAAAATCGTCCGTTCTTCAAAAATCACGAACGAGGTCGATAAGACAAGGTTACTGTGTGTCGAAAATAGCATCGAAATTTCTCCAAACATGATCTTTTCCGGTTTTTCAGCAGAAAGAGCGATACTTTTAACTTACGATCATTAATTTTTGGCTTCAACAGGTCATTTTTCACATAAGTTTAGAAATTACATTTAATCATAGTGTGAGACATCAATTTTCAGGTGAAATACGTAAAAATTCAAAATTTTCCAATTTTTCAGAAAAATAGTGGTTTTTAATTCAATTCGCTCGATAACGGATCTAATAAAAAAATATTTTTTTCCGTTTAGCTTTTTTTCTAAATATTTTTTTCTTTTTAATACGTATAGTAAAACCTCAAAAAAGTCATGCTAAACTTTGGGAAGTGACCGAAAAAGGTACAGCCTTGAACAATAAAACCCAAAAATACTAAATTTTCAAAGTTCGATATGAAAAAAGATCCATCAGGAGTAACTTGAAAAATCCAAAAAGTCCAAATTTTCGAGGTTTGATATGAAATGAGATCCATCAGGAGTAACTTGAAAAATCCAAAAAGTCCAAATTTTCGAGGTTTGATATGAAATGAGATCCATCAGGAGTAACTTGAAAAATCCAAAAAGTCCAAATTTTCGAGGTTTGCTATGAAATGAGATCCATCAGGAGTAACTTGAAAAATCCAAAAAGTCCAAATTTTCGAGGTTTGCTATGAAATGAGATCCATCAGGAGTAACTTGAAAAATCCAAAAAGTCCAAACTTTCAAGGTTTGATATGAAATGAAATCGATCAGGAAAGACTTGAAAAACTTAATTTTCTTTATTCAACTCAATTTAATCGCGATAAAGACTGAAAATTCTTTAACCACTAGTTTTTTTTTCGAAATTTCAGCTCAAATTCTAACAAACTTCACATCTATACAGCCCTTAAACCATTCCAAAGTCACCTAAATCCCTGAAAATAAAAAGAAAACGAACTTCCAAATGGAAAAAAGCATGGTGACGACGATGGCCGCAAAAACGGCGCCAAAAGTGACAGCGAAAAGATGAGTGTCGTACATCGAGCTGTACTTCAGGACCACGTTCATGAACGCGCCTTAATTTTGAAGTTCAAAATAATCAGAAAAATCAGTTTATTTCATCAATGCTTATCATGAAAAATCTTGGAGATGCACCTGAAGCTTCCGAAAAATCTTCAAGGTACGAGAAAAATTCCATCGAACTTCACAAATTTTCTCTTAGAGCTTATGAGTCATTGACTCGAGAAAACTAAAAAGCAGAATTAAACCTTCTTCGCTCCATGGGCAATTAAAAAAAACCGTGAGATTCTGGAAAATCTCGGACCGACGTTTTTGGGCATTTATAGTGGCCCCTTTAGTAGAGTCAGTACTCTTAAGTGATCCCTAGAAACAGACATGCTCCGGAAGTTACTGGACGGATCTAGGGGTCACTTAAGGGCGCTGAAGCTACTAAAGGGGTCACTAGCGACACTTCCGATTCGCGAGGCCCGAGATATATTATTTCTCGTTCGAACAAGTTTATCGGTGGAGCGCACATGATCAACTTTCGATTTATTTATCACAGATGATTTTATGAATTTTAATGTCGTGTTCAAAGTATGTTCCGCGGAAAGCAAAGACTCTCCAAAATTCAGTCATTTTTTTCACTTTCTGACGTTTTGAAATTCCCGGAATTACTTTAAACACGGCAAGTTAGGTTCAGCACCATGGAATATATTTCAAAAGAAACTGTCGCTTTGAAACTTCTGAGAAACAGCAAAACAGTGAAAAACAAGCTTTCTTGATTTTTTTTTTCTCTAAACGAACCTGGAATAATAATGTCGACGGTGGCGAGGCTCTGCTTGTTGCCATTTTTGTCTCTTGGGACACGGATCATCAATGGAGCACGGTTGTCTTGGGATACGGTAGCTGGAGGAAGAATTGGATAAATATTTAAACTTGACAATTTTAAGTTCGATGAAGAAAGAAAAAAACTTAAAAATATATGTTTACTGATTAAAATCTTCAAAGAAACTATAAGGAAGAACTTTGAGGCCAAAAAAATGTTTAAATTTCTCAAAAAAATAATTTTTTTCGATTTTTTTGAATCGATTTTTAAGAAATACAATGTTCCTAACGGCATAAACAGCACTTTTTCCCGATTTTAAGGCCTTATTTTACAAAAAAAAATCCTTCTCAACCAAAAAATCCCCGTAACACAACCTCCTCATGTCATCAAAGTCCAGCTGCTCAATTTTCTCGAGAAACCTTTCAAACCACGGTGAATTCCCTCCCACAGAGAAGATCAAAAATCACAAATGACGACGAGAGAGAGGCAATCATTAAAGAGGATCAGAGAAAGAGAGGAAAAAACGAACTGAGAAGGTCGATGACGTAGAGCCAGAACAGGTCGAAAAGCACCATTCCGAGCATGAAAACTACGGCCGTTTGGTAGCTGACCGCCTGCAAAAAAAAGGGTCGCACTTTCGAGATTCGCGGAAATCGAAGGATTTTTGAAAAAATCGAAAAAATTCTTTAATGCTTACGCAAAGGGTCAAAAATACAACTAAAGCTTTAGAAAATGACATTTTTTTGAGTTAAAATCCTAGGAACTCATAATACTCGGACAAAAAATTAAGAGTCACTAAAAAAACTTGTTCAACTTGTACAGTGAAAACAAGAGAAAAAAATTTTTTTGCTCCTGTTTTTCAACTTTTGCACTTTTACAACAAAAAAACCTTTAAAACTTGTCCTTTTTAAAAAAACTGTTAAAAAAACTCAATTTCTACCTTAAAAGGCCTCTAAAAAAACCCTTTTTGGTTCAAAAAAAATATCTACATTTTTTTCAATTTTTTTGAACTTTTTCCAAGGATAATTTAAAAAAATTCCCTGAAGATATACAATCAAACGTAGGCTCGAAACAGTGGTGAAATGTTAGAAAATAAAAAAATTTTCGAAACTGAAAAAAAGTCAAGAGTCTTTCAAAAAAACAAGAAAAATGCTTGAAAGTGAACTACTGCATTTTCTAGTGTACTACTGTAACAAAGCATTTTTTTAGATAATGACTTTTAGCTCAAGTTGAGAACGGTGAACATTTGTAAAATGATGATTTAAGCGTATTTTTACCTGAATCCTGCAGCTGACGACGTAAATCGAAGCAAAGGCCAAGATATCATTTGTAATCCAATTTCCGTAGAATTCGTGAGCCAATCCGTAGAGGAAAGAAAGGGCCATCGCCGTGTAAACCATCGATTCTTCATGGTAGTAGAAGTAGAAGGCTAGAAGATTTTTTTTTACAGATAAGTTAAAAAATTAGGATGAACAAAATGATGAACATGGATGAACATGGGGGGCAAAATTATGAAAAATTTCAACACTGATCCCCCCTGAACTCTGAAACCTTCCCAAAAACTCACAAAGATGCATATTAAAAATCTCGAGAAGAATAATATGAAGACAGGCGACACACCCCCAGATCGGCATGTGGACGGCGAAAAGCTCAGCGATTATATCCAACAAACTGAAACAGCAAAATTCACACTTTTTTTCAATTTTTGTCCTTACTCCAGCTCCAAATAGACTCTGGGACCTCCGTCCGACCTTGGGATCAAGCTGAGAGCGCTCATCGAGCAGGAAAACAGATCGATCTGGAAGAAATGATATTAAGATTTGTAAAAATTGATTTAGCAAAATTTAAAATAGCCGTCAGGGAGCAAAAAGATGAATAGACTTTGTAGAGTTGAAGGCAAATTCCCATTTCGTAAAAAAAAATACTTTTTTTCAAACTTTCACGGCTTGAGGACCCTTCAAACTTGTTTAATGCGAAAAAAATTCTTACGGAATAATTCAAAAAAATTAAACTAATAATGAAGAACTTGACCATAGAGGGGACACAGCTGAAGGGAAAAATTTAAAAAAATCTCCCTAGATTGTCCCATTCCCTCGTCCCCTTTCTTCGTTTTTTTATTTAATTAGCCTTAAGAACGCTTTTTTTCTTTCTTTTTTTGAATCGAGAAGATTTTTTTAAATTATTTTTTTCACTGTATTTAAAAATCAAAATTATAACCTTTCCGAGACGGTCAAATAATTCAGGTGTTTTTTTAAGCGCCAAATTTAAAGTTTTGGAAATACTTGAAATTTTTGAAATTTTTCTAACAAAAAAACCCAGAACCTTTCGCAAAAAAAGATAAAATTTTACGATTTTTTTGACCAAACTAACCCTAATAAAAAAATAAACATAAGGTTTTTCGAGACGTTCAGATTTGGTGAGCCTTTCCCAAATTTGGGTGTTTTTCACGCGGCAAACTCGGGCTAAATCGGATTGGTGAATAACGGCCGCTAAAAGGGAGAGGCTCAAAAAAGGCCGCAAAAAGGCAGCAAAAAGAGTCCTTTCCTCAAAACGTCCATTTTTCTCGAATTTCAAAGGCTCGAGAAATGGTGAAGAAAGGAAGAGGCAGCAAAAATGGTGCATAAGGGCTGAGGAAATGGAGCAAAAAGGCAGCAAAAAGGAAGATGTCTATGGCGCCTTTTTCCACCCTTTCCGACTTTGCCTGTGAATTCAAATTTTTGCAAATATTTGAAACTTTTTCACTAAAATCCAGTTTGCTTCAAAAAAAGGCTAACCTCTCCGAGACGCTTGTACATGTCGCACTGAGGTTCATCTCCTCCGGAAAATCCCTGATTCACCAACTTTCCACTGCTGCCAAACTCGCAGATCGACGATTTTCGGCTCGAACGAGTGCTCAGTCCCAAGTTGGAACCTCGCGAGGAAGAGCCCACTTAAGTAATTTTTTTCAGAGTATTTTTTTAAATATTTTTTTAACTGACAGGCACTGTAGCGCTTGGCATCGAAAAATACTCTTGGAGTTGGATCTGGACCTCAACATTGGCGAATCGAAGCTGCTGTTGCGGATGACTACAAAAAAAAATCGCTTGAATCAAATTATCAAACAATTTTTTCTTGGAAGGTCGAAAGATCATTACTATTACTATATGGGTGTAATTTGAGCTCACAAAAATCGATTAATTGACTGAAAACCAGAGAAAATAAAGAAGATTGAAATTTTAAAAAAATAACTAGAATTAATTTTTTTATCCGTTTTTTTCTCAATGATGTAGAAGCTGCAAAAAAACCGCAGAAAAAAAGGTCTTGTTTTTAAGCTTATTTTTATACATTTTTTTAAACTTTCACCAGGGAGTAAAATCCATTTTTTTCAATGCGATATCCAAGGCTAAGGCCCTATTTGAGCCCTCCTAAGTCCTCGGAAAAAAATCAGCTTGTTTCGTTAATTTTTTTCTTTCTTTAATTGAATTTTTTTCAAAGCCAGAAAAAAATCAAAAAAAGCAAAAAAATAAAAAGAAAATTTGAATTCGAGTTTCCCGCCAAAAGCCGCGTCGCGTACGCAACGCATCACTTTCGCCATTTAATTTGCTAAAAATAAATTATAGCTTTTTTCTTCGAATCGTTGGAACTCTATGGAAGGTAGAATCGAGATTGCCACAAGAAAAAATCAATAAAAATGCTCAGTAAAAATTTTTTTCGTTTTTTTGAGTCATTCTTAAAACAGGGACCATACATGGGATGAGCATGACGGACGACAGCTAAGCCCCCCAACCTAATGCCAAGTCTCCGTATGATATGAGATCTACCGCGCACTCTGGTAATTTATTTTCACGGTTTTTTTGCCGGCCCCCAATTTTTCTCGTTTTTTTCCAAGCCCCCCTTTTTAGGTCCCACCGAGAAAATCCCATGTATGGCAGGGACAATACTCTTTTTTTTCCTAGTCACTGACTGGAGCTAGCTGGGGGAATGAGGATCTTCTCGCCGTCCTCGACGTTCTCGACGACGAACCGCGACCGCGTCAGTTTCCGTTGCGGCGGCGCCTCGCCGTCTTCTTCCTCGATGACGTCACCGACGCTCTTGTCGGCGCTGTCCGTCGAGGATTTGTCGACTTCTGAGATGGGGACGGGCGGGGAGGATTCTCCGTCGTCGAACAATTCCATGATTGGGTTTTCGGAGCGTTGGGAGAGCTTGAGCCGGTGATTGTGGATGGTCGCTTCGACGTCTTGTTCGTCGATGTCGGAGAGAAGTCCTGGAAAAAAAAAATAATAGATACCCTACTAGGGAACGAAAGAATTTTTTCTTTTTTGATTCCACGAACTTCGGATCCTCTGCTGCTGCTCATTGCTCTCCTCGATGATGCTCAACGACTGCCGTCGGCTTGTTTCTCGGGAAGCTTTTCTTGAGGGTAAAACGGAGGTGGCCTGGAAAAATTAGAACTTATTTTGAAAGAATATATTCTAGTCAGGAAGTTCTCTTTTTTTTTCAATGCGATTAAAAATTCAACGATGATTCCTAATGACCTTAGCTGTATTAAGCTTCATAGTTACAATTTTTCAAAAAGTCAATTTCTAAAAGAACCTTATGAGCTCCCTTTTAATGAAGTTTTTTCGATTGAACCTTTTTGTGAAAGTTTTTTCCTGTCTATTTTAATTTTTATAGTGATGACATACTGCTCCTCTTCTCTAAAAATGAAAAAAATTTATTGTTACTGAGCTCATTTTTTTTTCCTGAAATTATTTTTTGTGAGAGATTCGAGTGATTTTTTTTTCTTAAAATTTCAATTCATTTTTCTCTTGAAAAAATCTTTTTCATTTAAAACCCTCAATTTTTCTCCAAAGCCTTGCAACACTCTCTTTTCTCCCCTTGAATGATTCACGAGGTGGCCCAAAAAAAAAACCGATTCCGCGCAACTTTACACAAAAAAGGCCATCGTGAACGATAAAACCACGAACTTCGTACACAAATTCGCGGAACGATACCAAAAAAGTGTCGGAAAAGGGCATCGATCGACCAAAAAGGTTCCTCAATGGAGGAGTATGAGTAGGAAAGTTTTGAAACTTTGAAAAACTTGTTTTATGACGAATTTTGAGTTAGTTAGGGAATTTTCATACACAATCACCCAATGAAAAAATATATAGAAAATTCCCTGTATCCGAAAAAACTACGAAGAAGCTCTGTTTTTTTCAAAAAAATCGAATAGATTTGAAAAAAAAATTTTTTACAAATTCTCTATTCAGAAAAACTTACTTAAAAATGAGATTTCTCAAAATGAAAAAAATATTATACTACGGAAAAAAATTTTTTTTAATTATAAAACCGTTTCAAAGAGTGGATTTAACAGGAAAAAATCCTCTTTTTCGTTTCAAATATGCTTTCAAACTCTTCTAAATCAACATTTTTTTGTATCGATAAGGCCATTTTTCTCAGTATTCATCCATAAATTTCGTGAAGTTTTTTTATACGCAATTAATTTTGAAATCTTTATTCCCAAAAAAATTATAAAACAGTTTCAAAAAGATGAATATAATCGGGAAAATCTTGTCTTTCTCGGTTAGAAAACGTCTAGAATTATCCACCTAATTCAACTTATATTTTTTTGAATTTTATCGATAAAGCCAATTCTCTTAGTAGAGAATCATTCTATAAATCGTAAAAAAATTGTTTTTATATAAAAATTGATTTTTGAAATTTTTTTACTTTGAAATTTGTATTTCCCATATTTTTTTAATTTTTTTAAAAATGTATAATTTCGCTATTTCTGCACGCGCCCGACCTCCTCAAACTCGGCAAAAGTTCCAAAAAAATCAATCAGATCGAAACAGAAAACACGTTGTTGTTCTCAAAAAAAGTGTTCGAAAAAAACGGATCCTCGTGTCGAAAAAAATTGCACACAAACAACCGAATTTTTTTGTCTGCAGAAAAAAACATAAACTATGCATCAGAGTCAATTAAACTGAAATTTTTCCAATATTGACAATTTTAGAAGTAAAAATGTGCATAACTAAAAGCAATTTCATGATGGGACCTTCCCAAAATATTTAAATAAACTGTTCAATTTTTCAGAATTAAAATCTACTGTTTTGACGCGTTTTTTTAAGCCTAACCAAGCCAAAATCGCGGAAAAATCCGAGAAATTTAACATTTTTCGAAAAAAAAAAATATTCCGTTACGCAAAAATGTCCAGAAAGTCTCGTTTCAAAGAGTTTCCCATCATTTTTCGCCATTAAAAGCCTCAGAAAATCCTCAAAACCAGCATTAAACACGAAATTTTCCCACCCAAAAGAGCATTTGACCATAAAAGGTGCCGATTATTGCAAGAGGCCGATAAGAACTTTGAAAGGAATTAATCACTGATGTTTAAAATTCGATTACGGATGAGAAAACAATGAAATCGTTCACTAATTCGTTGATTTCTTGTTTTTGGGGAAATGACGGCGGGGAACGGTAAATTATCGTTAGAAACGGAGATTTTATTGATTATACAAGTTTTTAAAAAAATGATTCACGGACGTTCATAACTTGTAAACGCTTTGTAAAAAAACTTGAATTCAAAAATCATAGGAAATATTCAAACTCGAAATGGCTCAATTTCTGATCCCGGAAAGTTTTTTTCAAATCCAATAAATTCAAAGTTTCCGAGAAGGAAGATAATTCTACTGTAAATTGCTGATAACGTGTGAAATAAAGCTCTTAGTTGAAGAAAAAGTTTTCAAAATTAATATTTGAATTTTCAAAAAAATAAATAGTGAGAAAAAAAAAAAAAATCGCTTAAAAAAAGGCAGAAAAAAATCGAAAGATCAGTGAAACTCTAAGTAATTTTTCAAAAAAGTTTTCCCAAAATCCTAAAAATATAGATAAATATTTTAATATTCTTAAAACGATGATATGATTTTTAGTTCAAAAAAATGAAAAAAATTCTAAAATTATAAGGTAGAGCCCAGCAATAGAAAGTTATCATATGAAACTACATTATGCTTTATTCTGAAATCATCGGAAAAATATTCTAGGTTCTTAAAAAAATTAATTTTTAACTGTTTTTTTCCATAAAATCCTTTCTAAGCTGTTTAAAGGAGCATGAAAATATTCAGAAAAGGTCTCAAGGCAAAAAAATGCATTTGGATTTTTTTGAGCAGATTACAGTTTCAAATGTGTTTCTAATCTTTTTTTCAAAAATTAAATGATTTTTTTCCAGTAATAATGATAATAAGAATAGGTTTATTCATTGCATGTTAGAAAATAAAAAATTTAAATAGTTCAGAACAGTAGTAATACGATCAAAAACTCTCTACATCGGTTTATAATCATAAATTCTGATAGAATCTTCGAAAAAAGCGACAAACCCGGAGTTCCTTCTCGGCTTCTTGGGCGGCGACGCGTTCCTCGTCGATTTCAGCGCTTCTTTTCGTCGCAATATACACGAAATACAGCAAAATCGATAGCGCAAATGGGAATATTAGCGCCGGGAGTCGGTTGACGAAAATGACAGAGGTTGTGTCGAGCTGGAAAAAATATCTTATAAATGGCGGGAATTTCAGATTAACGAAACAAGTTTCAGAACGCAAAAGATTGTTCAATGGCGTCTCTAAATGCTTTGAAACAGTACTGATTTGCGCTTTTTAGCAATTTCGTGGCGTTTTGAACGTTTTATTTTGCAATTTTGTTCGATTAACGGTTTTTTTTGAAATTTAGAATCTCAATTACCTTCTTTTCCGATTTTATTTCAAGAAAAGTTTGTGTAAAACTTAAAATAGGCTTCTTACACCATTCACCTAAAATTAGTAAATTTCTGGACCTTTCAGGTTCAACTAACATAATCCAATAAAATAGAAAATATCTTCCAAAACTTTTTTTTTCATGTAACATTACATATTTTTACCCATTCTCTGATAGAATCCCCCCAACAAAACCTCAAAAAAGTAGATGGTAGATGCTCTGAGACAAGACTGATAGAGGACGACCCAGGAGATGAGCATCAGACACATCGAGGCGGCCACTTTGCCGACGTCGTCACGCATCGTCGACACGACTCTGCGCAAGGCTTTTTTCTGCACGTCCAACATCTTGCAGCAGCAAAATAACGCATGCAAGACGCTGAACCAGCGGCCTGGCGCCGCAACGTTTTATACGGCCGCCCAGAGAACGTTACGCCCACTTTTTTCAGTGGCGCACGTGGCCTTGGGGGAAGAACGATCAACGTAAACAACTAGTGCGATGTACTGCCTGTGGACCAACGCCATTTACAAGTTTCTAATGTAACCATAACACGCTTTTTTCTGCCTCACAACTTTATCGACGTGTGGAATCAACGAAACGATGGAATAGAGGACAATTCATGGAAAGGTAACATAATAAATAGCAGAAAAGTGTACAGTTCAGAACGGAAAAAAAAGAGAACAACATTTTGGATTGATTGGGGTCACAGAAGAGAAGGAAAGTTAAAACATAACAGATTTTTATTATATTTATTAATGAATGGATCAGTCGTTGCGAGGTGATGGTGAACGACTGTTCGAGCGCGAACGAGATCTTGAATTCCTGGTTGGTGGTGAACGAGTCCTGCAATTTATTTAATGTATATTCCGATTCCGATATTTCTTTTTTTATAAAGTATGTAAAAAGGAACAAACCAACCGAAAACTTTGAAAAATATTTAAAAACTACAGGAGCGCCAGCCCTTGATAACCATCAGCAAAACTCTCACCTGCTCCTCGAGCGCGAATGACGTCCCCTGCAGAACTCACTTATAAAAATCAGATATAAACTTTGGATAAATTTTTAGACTAACTCTACTCAACTATATTTTCCTAAATCGAACTAGTATTTCAAAAAATTTACCTGGAGCGAGAGCGACTGCGATCACGTCGTCCACGAGATCCAGAACGCGAGCGAGAGCGTCCTCCACGGTATGCCGGCGAACTAAATAAAAAAGATTAAAACCTGCAGATCCATGACGAGAGTTGGCGTATACAGCTAATTTTTTATTGGTTTATAGATTTTCAACTGAGCTTACTCTTTCAGTTGAGACGCGATGGAAGAATGGAAGGAAGGGAGGATGGCTCACGGAAGCTCTAACTAATCGTCAAATTGGATGGCCGCATTTGAAGTGTGGATCATTTGTTTATGTGATTTCGACGCGAAGAGGGAGAATTTGATGCGTTGAGAAGGCGATTTTGGAGAACGCAATGCGGTGGATCAAGCGCGCGAAGGTGAAGAGAGTAGAAAGAAGTGAACTGGGAGAGAAGCCCGAGGAAATGGCGGACGAACGGCGTCCGCTAAACCACATTTTAAAGACAATAGTTCAATCTTTAAAATTTGGATGAGAGCTTATAAAGGGTAAACTAACGAGAGAAAATTTATGATTTTTGATTGAAAAATTTTTTCGAAACTCAAGTCCTTTCATGAAGCTGAGAGTCTAGAAGCTAATCTCGAAAATATTCAATCACGAAGTTCAAATTTGTTTTTTTTTTCAACTCACCGACTGCGTCCACGGCCACCACCACCACCTCCTCCATTGCGTCTACGTCCATGAGATAATTCAACTCGTGCACGAACGCCGCAAATTCGCCTGAAAAAATTTTAACTTGAGATGTTTAAGACAATTTTTTAACACTCACGCTCCATCAAGAGCCTTCACTGCGTCCTCAGCATCCCGACCATCTTCGAATTCGACAAAAGCGAAGCCTGGCGGGCGGCGAGCTACCCAAACTTTGCGGATGCGTCCGAAGCGGTAGAATACATCTTCGATCTGGAAGAAAACGCTCATTAGCTAAGTTTTTAGTGTTTTGATAACCTCCTGGGAAGTGGCATCATTGGGAAGTCCACCAACGTAAACTTTGCAGTCCATGTTTTAAAATCTGGAAAAAGATTATAAAGATAGCCTGAATCACATTCTACACGACGAAAAAATTCGAAAAGAGAAGAGCCAAATAGGAACAACGTGTTGAGTCAAAGCGAAACAGAGAGAATGACACGGAGTGACGCCAAAAAAGTGAGACAAGTGCGAAGAAAAGCAAATCGAGCGGACGCGCGCGCGGTAGGCGACGCAGACGATAAGGGTCCTACTGTATGAAGAATTCAGCTGTGCTTTTTTTATCGGCGGCAAGTTGAAATTTTTATTTCCAATACCAGTTTATTTTTTGATTCAGTTATATTATTTTATCTTGATGCAGGTCATGAGTTAAACTTAAGAGTTACTTACAGGACTTTATGCCATGTTCAAAGTAATTTCCGCGAAATGCAAAATTATTGCTGGCTCTTCAAAAATTAGTTCTTTTACCGTCTCTAACGGCTATTTTAAATTTTAAATTTTGCGGAATAACTTTGAAAACGACACCAAGTCCTCTTAAACGACTTCTTCAACTAAGTATGATGGGAGTTTTATTTTTTTTAAACGCTTCACAAGCGTTTTTCGTGTTGGGTGGTGAAGTTCTCAACAGAATAAAGGGGAGCCTCAGATAATATTCTCAAATCTTTTTCTTTTTAGGTACTGGGATCACCTTCCTTTCAAACAACAAAAACAACAATGGAAGTTTTTATTTCGATATTTCAACGATATGTACAAAGAGTTATCATTTGAATTGAAAATAACACACGAGGTTTCTGCGGAATCGAGGTGCATAAAGGGGCGCAGCAACTCTTCTCTAACACAAGCTGTTTCACTTTTTTGTATTTTCATTTTTCAAAAACGACGTTAGTGAAAAGTTGCCGTTCGCCTTTAAAAAAAACTGGTGTTTTATGGCAACGATACGCGAGAAATACAATTTCAAATAGAATTAAGTCTTTGAAAAGTTATCTTTTACAAGCACCCATGCAACAGAAACACAAGCATGTCAAAAGAGCGGCTAAACAACAAGCGTTGGCGGCATCTCCGCCACCACCGCCGCCGCCTCCATGATGGTGTCGATGATGAGTGTGGCAGTCTTCTTCTCTGTAAATTTAGTCATAACTATTCATAGAAATCTCATCTATGGGAAAAACTACTAAGAAAAAATAACCATGACGATTTGTTTCAACTCTTGAAAAAAATATTTTTGGGGGACAGGCAATATCCATTTTTCTAAATTGTTGTTGGCATTTTCAAGTGCTTCAAATGATCTATAACCGGTCCTTAACTTAGATAATTTTTTTAAAATAGGCCTTTTTCTCTCAAACATTTAAAAAAATTACAAAAAAAGTCGTTAGCAGATAGGAGCACTGTAAGGGAATCAACTTTTTGCGTGAAAAATTCGCTGATTTTTAGTCTTTTTCAAATAATGCCGCAAGCCTGTGGTGAATGAGCTATGTGATTTGGGTGGTTTTCTTGTGAAATTAGCACAAAAAGTCTGTTCTCGACAGTTCAAAAAAATTTCGCCGTTTAAAATCCAAACTTTTTAAAATGTTGTTGGAAAAAATATAAATATAATTTCATCTTTTTTTTTACCTAGCTTATCCTTCTCAATCGTTTATTTAATTATATAAAGATTTTGAAACTTAATCATGGTTGCTACTACTTATTTTCAAAGTGTATCATCAAAATTTCCGCTTCAAAGCTTGTATTAAATTCAATCCTTACACATAAACAGTCTGTGGATAAACGGCTTGCTGATAATAAACTGGCTGAGCTGGATAAGATGCGCCTGGCTGAACTGTATAAACTGGTTGTCCATAAGCGTTGTATACCTGAGATTTGAAGAAGTTAGAAATGGTACAAGAAAAGGGAAATTCGAGAAATTTCTGAGCCTATAAGCATTAACAAATACATAAAGACGTCTTTTGTTTAAAAAAAAACATAAAAACTAGAGAAGAATAAAAAAACTCACAGTTTGAGTTGTATAAGCTGGTGGCGGCCCTGACATGCTTGTTAATTTACCTAAAGTTCACTTTTTCATCAAAAGTAAATAGATTTTGAATCGATATAGTTTTCTAATAATGATAAAAAAGGACTACGAAGACGAAAAGTCGACTTTTAAGCAACTCTGTTCCCGAAAAGAGAATAGAGGAGTCAGGGATCGTGCCATTGTTTGATAAGCGCGAAAATTCGAGCTGATAAGCCTGAAAAAGGTGAATCAGTGTTGAATCGGCGTGACGTAATAAAAGTTGCGTAATCGATATTTTTATGAGAAGTCAAATCAGTGAATATTTTCGAAAATAAATTTGTAACAATAAACTCAGGTTCTGTGCCTGTTCTTCATAAAAATGATTGACTTCAAAAAAGTCAATTACTCAAAAGACGATAAGAAGGCTGGTGCAAAAAAAAAAACATTAAGAACTAAAAAGCAAAAAAGCTTACGGCAAGCCGTCTCCGATCCAAGTACTACCAGCTCTCAACGTTGCTTAACTTGCCAGATCGGACGGGATGGCGTGTTTTCAACGTGATGTGGTCGTAAGCGAATGCTGTCCTCCGTCCCTCGAATACACCCTCGCGCAGAACGCCAGTAGCGCTGAACGAGCTCGGAAAAATTTGGAATTTCTCATTTTTGACCTTTTTTTTTGGTTTTTTGAAAAAGTGTTGTAAAAGCTCAAGCAGACATGCGTATCTAGAAATACAGAAAGAAAATGAAAGATAAATTTTTTCTCAAGTCAACTCTTCAAAATTGATGGTAGGACGAAAAATTTGATCCGCAAAAATACGTCGCGTGAAAATTGCGACCACATAACTTATGAGCCACGAAAATTTTAAGCCTCTAAAATTTTTGTCCATTTAAATTAGAAATTACTTGCATATAAGGCTTTCAATTTCTGTATTTTTCTGTTTTTTTCTTCGTTCTGGTCTTCTTCAAACTTCTGCTCTAGTACTGACTCTCATTTCTGCGTTGAGTTATCCCGGCGATCCCAGGATTTGATAACGTTTTGAAATCTAATTTCGAGTTTTAACTCTTTTTTTCTTCTGTTTTTCCCAATTAATTTGTGCTATAAATCATTGAAGTTCAAAATCTGTCAACTAAATACGTTTTTCCATGTTTATAACAAAAAAATGACAGACTTCTTATTGATGATAATGATTGAAATTTCTAGAAACCTACTGAAAACAGTGGCTCTAGCTCTGGAATTAATCAATATCAAGAATAAAGAGAAAAAAATTGAAAAAAAAAAGAAAAGAAAGAAATTCAAAAAGTCATCATCTGAGAAATTTTAAAATTTTATGAAAAAATTTTGAAGGCTTAAAATTTTCGTGGCTCATAGATTATGTGGTCGCAATTTTCACGCGACGTATTTTTGCGGACCAAATTTTTCGTCCTACCATCTCAAAATTATAAAGTTACTCAAAAGCTTTAGTCTCCTTAAAAACTTGAAAATGAATATTTTTGTATGGAAAAGGAAATCAAAAAAAGCTTACGGCAAGCCGAATTCCCAAGCCGTCTCCGATCCAAGTACTACCGGCTCTCAACGTTGCTTAACTTGCCAGATCGGACGGGATGGCGTGTTTTCAACGTGATGTGGTCGTAAGCGACACCCAGAAAGCTCTGCGCGATGATACCCTTGGGCGAGGCTATTCATCCCAAAAAGAGATGGAGCCCGTCAACGTCCGGTTAGCAGGCCGGCCTCCGTCTCGATGACATGTAAAAAAAACGAACTAAAAAATGGAAATAAAGCTAATTATCTCAAATTTTCTTCAATAATCGAAAAGATGATAACAGCATGAAAAATGGATCGAAGAAAAGTTTTGAGAAAAATTGAAAATGACTTCATCAGTATCACCTCAAATGGAATCCTCATAAAACTTTCTTAGAAAGTTACACTTGAAAGAGTTCATCTAATCGATGCGGCTGAACTAGAAGAAAAATTGAACTGGCCGGTAAAATTATAAGAAGTTCTTGTAACTAGTTGAATCATAATAGTTGAGAACGTAGTTATATCCAAAAAACCAAATAGGCATATCCTTATGGTCAGCACTGTATACTCAAAAACCATTTTCGCTTGACCTGCAAATTTTTTTTTAAGATTCGTCGTTTCCACTTTCAACGGAAAACCATTCCCTATTGCATCGGAGCGACTTAACAAACATGTTTGTCCTTATTTTGTCTCACCGTTTAATTTTTTGTGAATAAAAAATTTGCTGTTTATTACGAGTTACAAATGAAAAATGTATGTTCAATTTCTTATTTCGTTTCATCGTCGTGAATTTTCACAGAGCTGCAGGTTTTTTCGTTTTCAGTTGCAAGCACATTCTGCTTTCGTCTGAAGCTTCCACCTTGTACGACTTCTCCGCTTCCTTGCTATACGTCGAGCCTGAATTTAAAATGTTTTAAGAATTTCTCATCCCTTTATCTGACTTTATAAATAATTTTGACTTCAATGCATTCGGAAATAGATGAACTATCTTTCAACTTTTAAGAGTATGCAAAATGCCCGCCTGCCTGTACTTTTTGCAAAATGCGAGCCCCTTGCTCGCAGTCTGCACTCGCAAAATGTCTCTCACTTTCATCGCCCCACCCCCTTTTTGGCATGCATTTTGCAGAATTTCATGAGAGTACCCTTGGGCGAGGCTATGTTTAACAATGGGAGAATAAAAATAAAACGTACAAAAAAAGATAAATCGAGTGTTTCTTCGGTTTTCAACTCATTTTCAACTCGTCCACTCAAACTGACCGTCGATGAAGTTCATCGCAGTGGTGCAGACGTTCCTATACGTTTGCCTGCTTATTTTCACGATATTGGCCCTTCATCACATCTTTTTCGTTCGATTTGTCCAGCAACTGGGAGCCGAAGATTCTTTCATTGAAACGTAAGCGCTAAGGGTGGAAGGGTCGGGAGATCGAGTCCGGTGCCCATTTTTACTTGAAAAAAATTTTAATTTATTTGCCAAAATTATTCAAAGAAAAATTAAACATTATTTGCCAAAATTATACAAAAATTATGTTTTTCGAACTTTTTTCTGCTAAATTTAAGCCAACAAGGACAATTCTTGAACTCTCCCGATAATTGGAACAAAAAAGATGCTCTGCGTTTTCTCCAAATAAACGTTTTAACACATGCCGACTTATCCTATTTTATTTTCTATCTAATTTGTCGAAAAAAGTCCTTCAAAAGTTTTTTTTCAGGCCGAAACCTCGAGAAAAACGCTCAAAACCGTTGCGGAGTCCACAATACTCCCGAAAATGACCAATATATGTTCAAGTAAATCTCAAAACTGGAAATAAAAGTTTCAATTTCATTCCATTTTTTTCGCAATTCTTGGAATAAACCTGCTGAACAGCGGAACTCCTGCTTTTTAACGAAAAAAGTTTATTAATTTCCACCTGTTTTTTTCTTTCAGTGAGCAATCAATTTCGTCGGTTTTCTTTTGTACTTGAATGTTTTTCAAAATTTGAAGCGATTTAATTTGATTTTAATTGATGGGATTTAGCATCGAAATTGAGTGATAATTACCGAAAAACGGCATTTTGCCAGGAGGAGTGTAATTATCGCTAATTATAGTCCTTGCCCACTCTTAATAGTCCAAAGCGCATTCGTCTCCCTTTCTTCCAGCCAATTTACTTATCTCGTTTGATGTTTCAAACCTTTTTGAAAGTTGTTTTTTTGTGAATTTTCGAAAATCGCGTGTTAAGAATCCATTAGAAAGCTTTTTATGTTGATATATTTAATCTCTGGTGATGAAAAAGTTGACTTTTTTTACTTGTTTGAAAAAGTTTTTTTCTGGGTTTTTTTAAAGGAAAAAAATTCTGGTTTAGTGTGTTCTAAAAAGGCTTGCTCAAATCTTTAAAGGACCCAAAAATAGAAAATTCTTTTTTTAAAATCTCAGCAAGTATTTTTGAATCGACTACCACCTTTTCCTGTGGTTTTGAAGGCTCAGAAAAAGATTTTTTTAAAATAAATATTTCTTTTTAATTCAAGCCAGCTTTATGTTTCTTCAAGCCAGCTTTATTATTAATTTCAACTCATCTTACAATAATATTGCTCATATAAGCGTGTTTTGGGATTTTAAAACTTTTAAATATTTCAAAAAATCACCAGTTTTTCCTATTCCGGACTTTTTTCGCCTCCCCTTACCTTGTCCATATTCCGAAATTTACAGTTATTCCTATGACGTCACCACCAGAACTCGTTGACGTCACAACTCTGAACCCTGTAGAGTTCGAGCTCAATCCGGAGCTCGTCTACGTGGTCGAGCACCTTTTCTTCGCCGCTTGGTGCTTCACGGTGCCTTTCTACATCTTCTTGATGTTCTTCATGATAGAAGCCCAACGGAAAGGAGTTGCCGATTTGGCTTCGCCATTCTTCAAGATTTGTATCACCAGCGGCGTCATCGATTTGAGTGAGTCTTTGGAAAAATGTTTTCTGCGAAAAGGCTTGAAACACCTGTCGGCCAATTAAAAAGGTGATTGTAATGATGTTGCTTTTTTTATTCGTCGAAATGAGTTTCAAGGAGAAATGTTGATTTTAGGATGATTTTAACTCTTTCAAGAGAAAAAAACTGTATTTAAAAAAACGCAGTTTTTTTGGTTTTGAATGAGTTCAAACGAGAAACTTTCAAACTTGTCTAGACGATTTTCCATAAAAATCCGTCAATATTTCGAAAAAAAATTTATCGATTAAAATTTACAAAGCTCATTTTTTTAAAAATCCTTTTTTTCTTTAACTTCTATGTTAACCGACAGTTTCAAATTTTCAGGTTTTTTATTACACTTTTTTAAACTTTCAAAGCTTTCGCCATTTTCAGAAAAAAATTCCTCCTTTGTTTTAATTTTTTTCAAAGGCTTCTAAAAGGTTTAATTTTACAGTAACGCTCCTGAACAACTACTTCGGAGCAGTTTTCGCCAAATGGGGATTTTTTCATTCATTCTATCTGTTTTTTGGGATCAGCTATGCTCATTTGTACCTCTACATTGCTTGGTCTACAGGTAATTTTTTTCTTCGAAGGAAAAAAAAGCCACAAAAATCTTTTGGTGTTGAGGATTGTGCGCTCCATGGAGAATTAGTGAGATTTTTTAATTTTGATTGGAAAAAATCATTTTTTCTTCCTTTTCAGGAGTTTGCCAAGCGATGTCGGTGTCCGTTTTGGCAACAAATCGACTTTCTGCTATTCTGGTTCCTCAGAGGTACCAAAAGGTATAGTTTCTCATATAAAAGTGATAATTTTCTATAGTAAAATGAAGCACTCCAACAAAATAGCACAAAAAAGATTTTCGCGTCGAAGTTTTTTAAAAATATTTTCCTATGCGCCTTTAAAAACTTTCTTTCCCAGATATGGTTCGGCCGGAATTTCTGGGTTGCCGTTTCTCTACAGTTTGTCCCGGGTTTCATAGTTGGTTTGGCAACATTTCTGAACGACTGTGCCCTTTTTCCGACCCCTGACGGTGGATTAGTACCGAAATTTTTGAAGTGAGCTTCAAAAAAAATTCCTCAATTTGTAAAATTTCAGCAAGCAAATGACGACGTTTTTCTTCAGTCTTGGCGGCTTTTTTCTCGTTGCAAATAGTTTTTATCTGATTTGCGCCTATTCATATTTGTTCAAAGTCATAAGGAAACGACATAATAGTCAAATTATAGTGAGTTTTATTATTAAAAAAGATGGGATGAGCGAAATTAAGGGAGCGAATATTGCGGAGAATGAAACTCAGTTGGCGAAAGCTCGAAGACTGTCGAAAAGGAGGGAATTTAAACTTTTCCTGATGTCCACTTGTATTGGTTTGTTTATTTTTCTACTTCTTCTTTTTACTTGGGATTTTAAAGACCCAAAATAATGAAGTTGTCAAGTCCAAAAACTGTTTTAAAAAAATCATTTTTTTTTCAGTGGGCGTCCAACTGACCTTACTCTTATTTTTCTCCCTGAAAGTCTTCAAATTCATATCATTCACCGTGGAACAGTTCTACATCTTCTACAACTGCATGAGGTACTCTAACTTCGATAAAATACTAAAGAACGCCAGAGGGGTCTCTATAGGGGCGAAAAAAAAAAGTCAAAAATGGTCCTTTACAGAGGGACATCAACCAAACCCCTAGAGGGACCACTTAAAAAAATTTTTTTTTGACCTTAATGAGCCGAGCATAAGCGGTCCCTGAAGGGAGGTCTTCAAGGGCTCCTAAGGTTGTTCCTCTAAGGACCCCTCTGACGTTCCTAAGAAAAATGACTAGAATGGCTCAAAGCGTCCGTGATTTTTGTGCGCCCGACAAAAACCGACTTGCGCACTTTAACATCCTTTAACATATAGCAAAGTCGCTCTAGGTCGGGCAAAGCCATGGAATAGATAAATTTGAACTTTCTCATTTTAATAAGATCAAATTCTGGTGCTACGACAAGAGCGAGTTTTCCATTTGCGAGCAGTACTGTATGCGGCAAAGCGCATTGCGTGCATGCACTCTGCGTGTTTACACTTTTTGTGGCGTGACGTCATCGCGCCGTACATCTGCGGGTTTTTTTGCTTGCGGGGTTTTTTTCGATTTTTTTCGGAATTTTTTTTTTCGATTTTTTTCCGGTTTGGTTTTGATTGTGCGAATATTTTTGAAAAAAAAAGAAAACTTCTTTTTTACCTCATAAGAAGGCTCCTTTCCGTCCTCAAAAAATTTTCGTGTTCTTCTTCTTCTTCTGATATCTCGTTCAGATTTTTGAAATAAAAAAAGTGATGCTATGAATGAAATTCAGGTTGGAAAGTGACGATTATGTAAACGCCATTGTTTTCGACCCAATTTTAAAGCAACAAGAAATCGCAAAGGAAGTTTTTTGGCGAAAAAAAGGTGTCCCTGCTACTCCACCCTCAACACCGGCATTGTACAAGAATCCAATTTTCGTAAAATTTCTGACAACTCCCTTCAAATCTCTCAATGTACATTTAAAATATCTTAAAGATTTTTCTGGGAAAATGACTTTAGTTTGATATGATGTTTCTGTAAAAAAATTGTTATTTTTCTTATTTTTTTGATATAACTGATTTCAATTACTGGTATTTGTTATGATGCAATTGTTTGATATTTTTCCTCTTTGAAATATCAATATTAGCTTACTTCTTTTTCTATATTTGTGAAGTTGACCTATCTATAAAGAAACATTTTTCCTAAACTGCCCCCTTGACAAACAGAGTTTTTCATCAATAAAAAAAAGTTTTCTTTTTGTTTCGAAAAATAAATGAGCCGGAAAAAAAATTCAAAAAAAAAAATCCGAAAAACCCGCAAGCAAAAAAACCCGCAGATGTACGGCGCGATGACGTCACGCCACAAAAGTGTAAACACGCAGAGTGCATGCACGCAATGCGCTTTGCCGCATACAGTACTGCTCGCAAATGGAAAACTCGCTCTTGTCGTAGCACCCAAATTCTATATAAGAGCGACACTTTAATCATCACACCTCTCTCAAAACATATCAAAAATCATTAAATTGATGAATTTTTCAGCGATATCTACGCCAGCGTCAACCCCTACCTTCTGCTCATTTTCTCGGATTCTTTAAGATCCTACATTTTGATAAGACTAGGCCTTAAAAAAGTCGTCACTCGCACTGTAACTGTCAATTCGATTCATTGTAAGATTTGAAAATCTATTTATTTTGTTATGATTTTGAAATTTTGAATTGCTCACTTTGCCCTTTTGCCTTAAGATTTCCTTGTTTTATGATTTTTCTGTCTTTCATTCTTTTGTTGCAATAAAGTTTATCGATATTACTTTTTTTACAGGAAAATATTAACTTCATTTGAACTTGAAAAAGTAGAAAAAAATAAAATATTTTTCATAAAATTTTTGAAAAAAAAGGAAAAAAAATCACGGTTCCGTCGTGTAGAGGTTAGGGAACTTGTAGTCGGCCGTTTCTTGTAGCCTGAAAAAAATTGAGAAATTTTTCAGTCTATTCATCTTATGACTCATATTAGCTGATTTTACATGTTTGATCCTCATTTTAAATAGAAGAACACTGTTATAGAAAAATAAAATCTTAAAAAATACCGGTTTTACAGCTCGAAGCAACCAAAAAGTGATAGAAAAAAAAAATTCAAAATTATATGCTTTCCGAAAAAATTTGAAAAGATTGAAACTAGTATTGTCCATTCCATCATCAACGCTTTTTAATCACATTTTCCTACATTCTGACCTGTCTGCGCTCTCCTTTCTCTCACCGGCAAAGCCATAGAATAATGAAAAAGACCCGAAAAAGAAGTAAAATCATTGAAAGGCGTTTAAAACTTTTAAAAAGCCTCAAATTGATATATTTTTCAAGTGTATGCACTTTTTGAAGACATATAGTCGATTCAAATCAAGCTTAGGACAAAAAGGGGCGTGGCCTGACTGCGCTCTCCACCGACCAGATGCTATCTCTTTTTTCGTCTCAGGACCTTTTTTCAATGGCTCAAGCCAGCGGAATTACTTATTTCAGTACATTTCCTTTATTCAAAGCTGAATTAAGCGTTTCTAAAGTGAAAAAATGCCTTGAAAACGACATTACTTCGTATTGCTCATGTTACTGACCAGTTGTCAGAGCTCCAAACGGTGTTCCTGCGCTCCATGACGTGGACCGTGTAGGCGTGGCGGCTCTTTTCCGAAGTATTCTGCTCGCTTTTGTGGACCACCAGGCCATGGATCAGCAGCAGGGAACCTTTGGGAGCAGGAAAATTGAATTTTGATTTTTTCACTTATTTTTCTCTTGCAGATCTTCAATTACTTCAAATTAGAGTTATAACTGGAGCAAGTTCGCGGAAGAAAGTACAACCAATTGATCTAGGGATTGGAAAAATTGATCAAGTGGTACCTCTAGGGATTGGAACAGGAACAAATCGTGACGAATCATAAGTTGGCCGGGTGCCGATGAACTTCAGAAGGGGTCCTTTTTGACTGTGGGTACGGACGAATCGATAATCGAGGGCCGTTGTTTCTGAAATGAGGTAAAAATTCCAATTAATGAAGATTTTTTTCAATTCTTTATACGGAACAGAAGCTCAAAGTGAGGCTTGAACTACTCAGGAACGCCATAGTGATCACTATAGAGTTTAAAAGGGGCTTATAAGGCTCAAAATAGTGCTCCCTGGAGAGCCAGATGTTATGTGTTCCCTATAGGAGTTCAGGCTGTGACACCTGAAGCTTAAGTGGTCCCTATAGGGGTCTTTTACTTTTTGTTCTTATCTGAAAGGTAAAAGACATATACAGACCACTAGCATGATCCCCTAAAGTGACCACTTTTGCAAGCTTTAGTGCCCCTACAGGGGTGTTAAGGCGATCCCTTGAGGGGAATCTACAAGAGCCCCTAAAATGCCACTTTAGGGACCCCTCGGGAGTTCCTAAGCGATAGAGCGCATTGGTATAAAAGAAGCCGTGTACGAAGAAACTTCCGCGAATTTCAGATTTATCTCTGAATCTCCAAAATTTAGTTATCTTTCCCACTCTCTGACGGCTATTTTGAATTTCCCGGAGCTTGATTATGGAATCCCGAAATTTGAACTTCCGACCACTTGAAAAAAAAAATCATTAACAGATTTCTGCTCTTATTATTCTACAAAAATACCCAAGTTGAATTTCTTTCAATTCTTTCCACCTTTATGACTGCCCGGGATAAACGAAAGACATCCATTTTCGATGGTGGCGTCGTCGACGGCGATCCAGACCCCGGTGAGGTGTTCGACGGGATCGACTCGAAGGAAGGTGGCGTCCACGTGGTCCGTCACGGCTCCTCCGATCTTCTTTTTGCTGGAAAAGGTTTTTTTCTGGTCCGAATTGTGAAAAAAATCCAATAATTTCTAAAAATATCTCTTTGTGAGTTGAGAAATCAGTATAAAAAAAGTAAAAAAATATAAAAAGTACAAAATAGTAAAAATATACGGAATATCTGTCTATATTCGATAATATACTTCAAAAAGACGCTTTATTGAAACTTTAGTTAGGAAAAATAATCGATATCTGTATGTGAAAAGTCCGCATGATCGCGTGTTTGCACAGAAACGCCGCGTTTTCCATTTTTATTATAATATTTTCAGTTTTTTTGGCACAATGAATCAGAATGAATAGTTGATGTAGTTCGACTGTTTCCTATTTCGATGAACTTTAAAAAAACGCGGAAAAACCACTCAGAATGTGCAAACACGCCAAACGCGGACTTTCACATACCGTACTCTTCAAAAAAGAAAAACTCACCCTTGTCGTAGCATTTATTTTTCAAAAAAACATATTTATTGATTTTTATATCCTTTCGAAATGATTTTAAAAAATTTTAAGAAAAAAAAACCTTGAAAATGTACATGCTCTGAACGACTTCGGGCTCTTCGTAGCCAATTTCTCTGAAGATTTCCTGAACCTTGGGATGGAAGGTCATTTCCCGAAAAGTTGGGTCAAGGAAATGGAGTCCTAGAAAAGGAAAAAAATATTAAATATTCAAAAAAATATTAAAAAAATACCATGTCCAACTTTATTCAAAGCGACCTCCTTGTCAACTTTCAGCTCTCCTTCACTATTAATCGCGCCTTCTTCGAAGAAAAAACGGATTTTATCGGAACTGTTCATGAAATAATCATCAGAAGTGTGCTGAAAATTTGAAATTTGAGATGCTAATTTCGTTTTTAACTCAGTGATAGCTTTAAAATCCGAAAAGATTCGGTTTTACAAATTTTCACTCATATCTTTTTCAATTCAAGGCTTAAAAAGTTATTATAGCACGCTCTAATATTTCACGGCGTTTTTGTGAGTGGAAAACCAAAAATTAAGGGGGCATGGTCAAAACCTCGGCCGTTCCCAAGTGACGTCATGGGAAAAATGCGCAAACAACAGGAAATACTAAAGGCGCATCAATGGCTTCCGAGACGAACATACTTCTCATTTTAAAAAACGCGATTTTTCTGTTTTTTTTTTGTATTTTAAAACGCATCGCGTGTTGAAAATATTTCCGCGAAATTCAAAATAGCCACCAGAGAGCGAAAAATATAACTAAAAATACGTTTAACACGGCGTGTGCCTGAGCGCCGGAGTGTATGAACACGACACACTAAATTTTACGGAAAAAATATGGGCGGGCTGTCGCCAAAAAAAATGCCGTGGTTTCAGAAACCAACCTTATCCTCATCATAAGTCGAAAAAACGCTCTTGGGATGTTCGGCCAAATCCATGTTTCCCACTATTTCCGCCATGGAATCTTTCATTTTTTGTAGTTCCTCATCACTGAAAACTCCGTCAACAACAGCAAAACCATCGCGTTCAAAGTCTCCTCGTAAAGACATGATAATCTGGAAAAAAACCTTTATTTTCAACAGAGAATTTGGATAATAGTTCAAACTTATTCATTGAAAATGAAATACAAGCAAAAAAAGAAAAAAAAATTGAGAAAAAGGGAAATATTTTCCTGACCAATAGCAGCAGGTCAGGCGAGTGGCATTTGCGATAGTATCTTATCTGTTCGTAAAAAAACGACGCCATTATGTTTTCAACAAATCGAAGGAGTTTGATCGATTCTGGGAACCTTTCTTGGAAATATAAATACCACTTCGCAAAATTAAAATTTGTTTTTTTATAATTATAAGCCTCGCGATATTTATTGTCAATAGATGAGTCGTACAGAGTTTTTTTTTTTCTGGAAGAAAATTTCAAAGTTTTTTAGTTGATCCCAACGTCTTACCAATAATGAATGATTCACCACCTACAAAAATGATTCTAAACATGAGTAATTTCAAGATTTGAGCCTGAAATACAAAAAAAGGGCCCGAAAAGTACATTTGGGGAGCCGAAATCGGGAAATCAGACATCCTTCCCAATGCTCGCTGATCAAGACGTTTCTCTGCAAAAAATTGACGACTTCTGTGAAATTTTTTAGTGGCCACAATAGGGTTTTGACGTTTTAGCGGCCAATATAGTGGTCAAATTAGTGGCCTCTTAAGGGGTTGAAATTTAGTGGCCACTATAAAGGTCTAAGTGCTACTAATATACCACTAAAAATTTTAGTGACCACTTTAGGGGTCAATGGATCAAAATAACTGGTCCAATCTGTTTGTTTTAAAGTTATCAGAGTTACTGGAAGGAATACTGGATGAAAAACTCTGAAGTGGCCGCTAAATAGAGAATTTCTAGTGATCACTAAAACAGAAAAAAGTGGCCACTTAAGAGGTGGTTTTAGTGGCCACTTTAGTGTCCTCTCCAAGTAGTCCTTGGCGAGCCTCTATAGTGGCCACTAAAAATTTTCCCAGCTTTGTAAATATTTTTTCAACTTTTTCCCGACTGCTTTTCTCATGTGGTTAATTTTTTTTGACACCTAAGAGGAAGGAAAATTTGTAAAATTTGCTGCGATGATCACTGCTCCAGCCTCGCTGTTTTGCAAAAACGGAATTAAATTCCGCTTTGGTGGTCTCAAAAAAAATGTCAAAAAAGGTTACGCTTGGCCTATTCTCGCAACCTTATCACGGCTCTTCCCCCACTGGTGATAATCTCGCTTGGCTGCGTTATTAATAATATTCGCATGAACTATCGGGCTATGAAAACAGGGTAAAAACCTGTGAATGTGAATATTTTCTTCTAGGCCGAAATGTAGAGTTTTAGTTGCGAATTGTGTTTTTGGCATCTAAATTGTAGGTTATAAACTGAAATTTGGAGGAACATGATTCAAACTAGAGTATTTGAAAGTTCACTCGATGTTTTTTACTCAAATTTCCAGTAAAGCTACTGTAAATATTACTGTAATCCTTTAAAAAGACATATTTTATTGATATTCACTTTTAAAGCTCACTTCCAAGCTTCCTACAAATGATACCATCTCACTCTGATTGTTTTGAATTTTCTTCAACTTACTTAGCAACTCCAAAGTGGTCCCTATAGGGGCAACCTTAGGATCCCCTCTAGGGACCACTCAACCAACCCCTATAGGGACCCCTAACGCTTGAAAAGTGGTCCTTATAGGGGCCAGTTTATAATATTCATAAACTCTATGCGAGTAAGCATGCGAAAAACTAAATAAATCGGCATTTTTGAATAAAATTGAAAGACCCCTATAGGGGCCACTCTAGTTTTTCGGGGCAAAGGGGGCACCCTTATAGGGACTTTCTTCATTTAACCCCTAGAGGGATCACTTTTTCGACCCCTATAGTGGCTGTTTATCCCCCTAACCCCTATAGGGATCACTTCAAAATCTCTAAATAAGGAAGTTTACGTCACTACAGTAACCCCTCAATGAAAATTAATTCGTTTCAATTAATCAGAGTGAAAATGATGACTTTCAAGTTATAATGATCACTGTGGGAACATTTGAAATATTGTTTACTACAGTAATACTTCAATTACAGTAATCTTGAACAGAATAAGTAGGATTTGTGACAAAGATAAAGAAGTTTTTTTCAAAAAAATCCTGAAATTCGATTGAAAAGAGTTTTATGGTTAAAATATTTGTTTAAATATTGAATAGGTGAAATAAAAAAATTGAGAAAATCCGCCGTATTTTTTTAAAAAAATCTCCTGAGAACATTAGCTTCCAAAAAAAAGAGATTTTTAAGGTATTTATATAAGTCTAAACTCTTCAAGGCCTTTTTTTTCTCTCTAAAGTACATCTCACATTGAAAGATCCTTTTTGAATGTTTTTTCAGCTTACCAAGAAAGTTCAGAAAAAACTGGCTAACGAGTTGGATTTTGAAACCAGTTACTCAATAAGCTTCTTCAAAGGAAATTTCTAATTTTCTGGTGTTTTTTGAATGAAATGTACCCTGATGAAAAGGAAATTACACATTTCAATGAGTCATCGCATGTTCATACATAGGCAAAGTCGGAAAGGGTCGAAAAAGGCTCCATAGAAATATTTCTTTTCTGAAAAAGGTTTCATTTTTGCTGCCTTTTTGCACCATTTCATCGGCTGTTATGCATAATTTTTGCTGCCTCTCCCTTTTTCCATCATTTCTTGAGCCTTCAAAATCCACGGCGTTTTTTGATAGTGAGAGAAAATGCAAATACAAAAATTAAGGGGGCGTGGTCGAAATCCTATATGACGTCATGGGAAAAACTCGTAAACAACAGAAAATATTAAAGGCGCATCCAGGGGTCACGACACGAATCTATTTCTCATTTAAAAAAAAGGCGATTTTTCTGTTTTTGTTTGTTTTAAAACAGACGGCGTGTTGAAAGTAATTCCACAAAATAGCCACGTGTGTCAGAGCGCCGCAGTGTATGCACACGACACACTACACTTTACGGAAATAATATGGGCGGGCCGTCGTAAAAAAAAACCCTGTGAGTCTCGAGAAATTGGAAGGCTCGATAAGGGGACTCATTTTGCTGCCTTTCTGCGGCCTCTTTCGAGCCTTTTTCGAGCCTTTCTCTTTTTGCGTCCATTATCCACCATTCCGACTTTGCCCGAGTAGAATTCTTTTTGAAAATTGGAAGAAACAGAGAAAAAAGCGAATATCCGAAAAATGGCCAAGCGTGTTGTCCATAGAGCAACTTTACTGCAAAACGCCTTTTTGGCGGGAAATCAAGCTTTCCTTTCTCCGATTTTGAATTATTTTCTCTCCAAAACTAGGAACTTCTGTACGTTTCCAAGTTCACCGTTCGACTCGCAATGAAAAGTTCTACAAAATTAAACAAAACACCGTTTTTTACTGCCCCTATGCCTTTAATAAGGGAAATTCTGCAGCAAACATCAATCCAGATAAAAAGCCCCATGACATATGAATCGTGTCATTCCAACTTCGAAACTTTTTCGTTGTTAGTTATGCCAATAAGGAAAGTAAACCAGGCATTAGGGCTACCATAAGCCAACGCGACACCTCCAATTAGCAATCCCCGCAATTTTCCCCACTTTTTCTCGCTTTAGCCATAATTTTCCCGATTCAAAACGGCTTCATCGTCTCTTCTTTTTTCCACTTTTGAACATTTTACTGGTTCTATTTCTAATTTCTGATGCTTTTCTGCTTCTTTTTGAAGTTTTTGTTGTTTGTTTATGCAAGATTTAATCGTATGTTCATTTTTTCAATAATTTATCAGGTTATTTATGGGATATGATAGTCGGGTGCTCATTTGAACTTGCTCATTTTATGTGTCACCTCATTAATTTTCATCATATTTTTGAAGAATCAAGCTTCTTTCAATACCAAGAGCTCTATGGGTATTTTTAAAAGACGTTTAAAAATGGATTTCGCTTTAGAAAATTAATTTTTTTGAGATTTTTTTCAAAGCTCTGAAAAAAATGAATTTTTTTTAAAAAAATTTTTTTCGCTTTTTGTCTTAACTTTGTTTTGAAGACCATACTATGTATTATTTTTTTTCAATTTCTATCGATTTTGAGTTTTTTCCGTAAAGTGTAGTGTGTAGTGTGCATACACTCCGCCGCTCTCGCACATACCGTGTTCAAAATAATTTCCGCAAAATTCTCTGAATTTCTGAAATTCAGTTATATTTTTCCTTTTCGGGGGCTATTTTGAATTTCGCGGAATTTTTTGAACACCGCATGTACTTTTTTAAAATAAGAAACAGAAAAGTTGCATTTTTTTAAATGAGAAACCGATTCGTCTCAGGGCCTATTGAACATGCGCGTTTAATATTACACCTGCACCCGACATGAAACTACTTTTATAATATATATCTTTTTTTCCTTATCCGATTTTTTATAACAAGAAGAGAGCTTTCATTTTCTTAAACTTTTTTTTTCCTTTTTATTCAAGTTCGCTCAAAATTTCAACCTGATCTTTGAGCCATTCCAAATGCGACCATAATGTCTTCAATTTGACTCATTTATTCTTTCCGAATATTTTTTTTTGTTGCTGAGATTACTTTGAAGAATAGTCGAAAATAAGAAAAGTTCAAGCTCCATTGTTCCATTATGAGCATTTTTCCCGATAAGCTCTTTTTTTCTACTCTTTTTTTTTTCATCAACAAGCTCAGACACTGATTTTAGATCTGCACGAGTTTTCCCTGTAGTTAAAAAAATTACGAAGAAGAAAAAAATACTGAAATGTTCTCGTTTACTGGTCGAAACTGCACGACGGAGGAGTTACTCGAAGCGGATCAGGTAATTTTTTTTAAATTTTGATCACATTTTGGCTGACTCAAAAATTTTTTGTGTACTGTAGAGGTATTTGGCGGGATAAATATAAATTCGAAAACGAGACAAGATTCGAAAAAGCTTATTTGGGCTGAAAATTTGGTTTTACCGTTTTTCATTGTACTTTTGGCAATTGGACAAGTTTTTTTTTATTTTCTCATTGAAAAATGAAACTTTTTTGTTTTAAAAACATAAAAAATGGTTGTTTTTAACTTTTAGCTTCAAAAATAAGATAAAGTCAGATTCTCAAGAGTTTTTTTGAATAAGAAAAGCTTTAAAATTCACGAATTTTTTGAATTTCTTCTTTCCCGCCAAAATTGTTTAACGTCCTACAATTGTTTATTGTGATTATAAAACTTCGTAAATTGTTCCAAAACAAAAATTGATTCATTTTGAACAACTCGAGAAACGGTAAAAAGTCCTCAAAAAACCTTTTCAATACGACTTATAATTTCACCGAACGACATTCCGCTGTTCCGCCGCGTGCGTTCGCGAAGCGTCTTTCGAATTTCACGCTTTCAATTGATTGTTATTGCTGTGGGAGCACATGAAACTAGAGTAACGACTTGGAATTTCACCGAACGAAATTCCGCTGTTCCGCTGCGTGCGTTCGCGAAGCGTCTTTCGAATCTAGGTCACGCTTTGAATTGATGGTTGTTGCTGTGGGAGCACATGAATGTAGAGTACCTTAATAAAAGAAAAAGAAATTTAAAGCGCGACCGAGGTTCTCAAAGGCTAGCAGCGGGACAGCGGAATGTCGTTTGGTGAAATTACAAGTCGTGGCACTTAGGCTATAAAATTTGACTTTTCGGCCCAATTTCCAGGCTTCGGCTCTATTTTGCGTCCTTCAACAAGTCCTTCAAATCGGGTTTTGTTTCGCCTCGCCGACGGTTTTATTTTTTTCCTGGAGGAGCTACCGATTGGTCTATTTGAGCCCTAATTTGAAAGTTAGTTCTTTTTTTTTTGAAGTTTGATCTCCAAGGCGTTCACTTGAAGAATTATTTTCAAAAAAATTTCAGACCCTCACAAATTTCTACGTCGGCGCTCTGATGGCCTATTGTGTTTCTTTTAATTTGATCGAGGTTTTCCCAAAAAATAAGAATTCTAACAAAACTGTCCGCATTTTACAGATTTATCACGTCATCGCCAGGTTTTTCATGTCCGGGTGCAACTTGATGGTCCCTGTTAGCACGTGTATTTTATTCCGAATCGTACAGTCTTGGGCTTCCGTTGGTTAGTTGGAAATGTGAAGTGGCCGAGTGGCTAAGCGCTTTGGATGTGGATAAAAGGGTCTTGGGTTCGGATCCTCTTGGTGGTTTTTTGAAAGTTTTTTGAGTTAAATTGCACCTCAAGACTTGTTAAGGCATTTTTTGTTCACGCAAACATTTTTTAAAAGTAAAAAAATCACAATACAAAGGGGAAAGAACATAGTAAAATGTCCAAAAAGCGTAACTCTCACCTTTTTTTGTATTTTTCATCCAAAACTTCATTTTTATTTCAATATTTTTCCCAATACCTACGTGTTAAATGAAAATGGAATCCACAAATTCAGACTACATTCCCACTTTTTTTCGGATTTGGGACTTTGAACCCAATAATTTATGACGATAATCGGCTGCGTCGAGCCTAATTGTTTGTCGGAAAAGCTTTTCAGATGTTCGAAATAATTTTAAGGAAAGTTGGAATGAGAATGCTTCGAGAAACTGATGAAAAAAGCAGAAATTATAGAAAAAAATGGCAAAAATCAAAATAATTTAGTGAGAATCGAACCACTGACCTCTCCAGCTAGAAAAAATCATTTTTTAAAAGAGTTTATAACTAAAAAACAGATTATATCCAGCAGGATGGATGTTGAAAAGTCAAAATAAGATTCTCAAAAAATGGCAAAAATCAAATTCCTTCGAAGGGATCCGAACCCATGACCCTCCGCTACATGAAAAACCATTTTATTATAAGTTTTGATTATTGTTTAACTATAGAACAGGTTATTCCCAGTAGGATTCGTGTTGAAAAGACAAAATTAGATTCTTGAAAAATGGCAAAAGTCAAATTTCTTCGATGGGGATCGAACCCATGACCTCTCCCGCTTGAAAAAACCACTTTTTAGTCATTTTTAAATGATTTTTTAACCACGAAATGGGATTTTACCGACAGGATTTATTTATGAAAGTCAAAATTTGACCTTCTAAAAATGGCAAAAATCAAATGTCTTCGATGGGGATCGAACCCTTGACCTCTTTCACTATAGTTAAACTCTTCCACCACTCAACTAACTTCAATCTTCCATCAAAAATAGTATTTTTACAGCTTTATCACTGTTCTACGTGGCCGTTCCAGTGGATATGCTGCTGGCGCACAATATTTCCTTTTGTAGATCTTCGAAATGGCCTGCGAGGATTATCGGGATCGCATTTGTAGGATAAATTGGATTTTCTTACCGAAAAATATTTATTCCAGTACTGTGCCTCTGCGAACTTTGTATACAAAGGTTTATTATTAGACTTGAAATCGACTGAACATTTGGCCAATTGCGCGTCTTTCAAGAATAAAGAGAAGAAAGATATTTTCGGCATCATGTTTGTGAGTTTGAGACGACCCTGGTCGCATTTGGAATGGCTCAAAGTTGCGATTTTCTTCAAAAAATACAAGGAAGTTGTGGATTTTGTGGTTGGGAATTTTCTTACTAGGAAACATTTTTAAGCCCTTGGTGAAAATTTTCGGAATTGTATTTTTGGACCTTCTCATTCCAGAAGAAGAAAAAAAAATAGGCCTGGTTTCAAAAAAAGCTTCAAAAGCTGGAAATAGCGCTTTTTTGTCATAATTTGCTTATTTTGCACACTTTGAACAACTTGTCAAAAACTCTAAAAATATTTTTTTTTCGTTCAAACATTTTTACTAGCAGAATTTATGTTGAAAAGTCAAAATTTGGATTTTTAAAAATGGCAAAAAAATCAAGTTCCTTTGATGGGATCGAACCCATGTCCTTTCCAGCTTGAAAAAACCCTTTTTTTAAATTTTTTTGATATGATTGAAGACCTATGAAGATTTTTTTCCAGCAGAGTTTTTGTTGAAAGGTTAAAAAAAGTGGAATTTTTTTTTTCTTTTATGGAATCTGGAGGCCCAAAAAAACACTTTAGAAAAAGTTTCATCAAAATTTCTGGAGCTGAAAAAAAGTTCTCTAGTTCGACTTTCGAAGCTGAGAATTTCTTAAAAATCTTTCAGACCACTCCTTGATGGACCAGTTGAAGATCCTAAAAGTCTGAATTTTCAGAAATTCCTAGTTTTCAAAAAAAGACACCCCGAAGTCCCAAAAAACTATTAAAAATTCAAAAATTGGCTATTTTGAGCTTCGAGCACTTGTTTCTTCAAAATTAAGAAGTTTTGTAGGTTGAGAACTTCAGAATATTCATCTAGTACGTCGAGAAATCCTTTGGTTATGAAATTTACAAAGTGAAATTACCTTCCTTGTGAAAAGAAATCCCTGAGCCACTCCCAGTGCGACCAATTTTTTCCAAGGAAAATTGAAAAATCGAGAAATTTCCAGGGTTTCCTAGGATTAGACGTGGTCGCGATCATCTCATTTGTCATTGCCAGGGCGTACATTGGAGTCTCGAAGGCTCATCGGAGGTGACTTTTTTTTTTCATTTCAAAGTTTTTTCAAATTGGGCCAGGGAAAATTTTCACGCCTCCTTTTAGAGCTTTCAATTGTGATTGAAACGTTCTAGTAAGAATTTCCCAAAAGATGCTAATTTTAAGAAAAGAAAAAAAAATGGAGTTACAGCGCAAAGTTGCTCCATGGACAAAACTTGGCCATTTTTCAATTCTTTCTCGAAACTTGGTAACGCGCCTCAAGCATGTCAGAGTGGTTCTAGGGACCACTTTAGTAGCCTCAGAACCCTTAAGTGACCCCTAGAACTGCTCAGAAACGTCCGTAGCGCATCCGGTTTTCATTCCCATACTTCCGAATTTTTTTTTTCTCAAAGATTTTTTCTCTTTTAAAATTTTTCATTATGAGAACTTTCTATAGGTAGAAATCTGAATAACTGGCCAGAATATTTTTCTCAGGGAAAAATAGATTACGGTAAGCAACTTTCTGTACACCGTTTTCTCATTTTCTTGGCGCCAAGTTAATATTGAGTTTTTCTCAAAAAACAGGGAATTTCGTGCATTTTCAAGGGAAAATCAGAAGAATATGAAGCTTTAAATTCTGAAATTCACTTTCAAAACCGTTTTTTCGGTGGCGTTTTTGTAGGAAAAGTGCTAGGATAATGAAAGTTTGGCTCTGGGGGTTGTTTTGTACTCTAAATTGAATGACACTCACAGATTTTGACATTTTCCCAGAAAGTCTCAAATCGAGGGGGTCATATCTAGAGACCTCAAAGCCACGCCCCTTTTTGCGATGGTGAAATGACTGGTTTTTTATTTTTTGTGTTTGATGTTTTCGTAAAAACACATACTGAACCAAACATAGAGAAAATTAGTGGAAACATAGAGAAAACCTTCCTCTTCCATCTGATATACTTTTCACCCGATTCTCGAAGCGTTTTAGCGGAGTGTCGTACAAAAAACCAAAACTACTTTTTTTCTTCGGGTTTTTAACCTAGTTCCATGTCGTTGGCGCCTTTTTTTATTTTCGAATTCGATTTTTTTAAGTGAAAAAAACAAATATTTTTAAGACAAAAAAATTAAAATTTTTTTACGGTGCCTAATCTTCGTGAGGCCGCGCAAAGTTGAAATTTTTGTACTCGGTTTCGAGAGCATAAGTAAAAGAATTTTCATTTTAACTCATTGATTAAAGTTTAACTAAAACTTTATTAGTATAAAAACTTATTGTGAAAAAAATAGACAGTGAAAATTTCGAAATTCCTTTTTAACATGGTCATATTGAACGCAGTGTATGCTCTTATGAACAAGATCAAAAGTTTAAAATTCCAATTTCTTTCTCCAGAAAACGTGAAAAATATTCCAGTAGTCGGTACGATCTGAACAAGACGATCGAGAAACGGGAAATCGTGAGGGCGATCCATTTGCTGCTTCCCAACGTGTGCCTCCACGTCGCCTGCTACGTCTGGTACGCGGTCGCCTCCATCATCGTCTTCGACAACTACGCCTCCTTCGGAAATCCCCAGATCGGCTATCTGCTCACCAATGTAAGACTTTACACTGCTGGCAAATCTATTGAACTGTAAAAATTGGCCTATTCCAAGAAAAAATCGAGAAACTTCTCACTATTCCTTCTAGAACACTCTCTCCCCACAAAGAAGGTATCTCACTTCGCGATCCGAAATTTTTTAAATTTTGCCTAGTGAACTCCTTGGTGCACTTACTAAACATTCTGAAAGTCTCAACTTACAAAACTTCATAGTTTTCGAGAAATAAGGCTCAAAATAGTTCATTTTGACGGATTTGATGGTTTTCTTTGACTTCGAAACGTCTTTTCTCAAAGACCTTGAAGTTTTGCAGATTGAGATTTTCCGGACCTTTATCTAGTACATCCCGGAGTGTTCTGGCCAATTTTCAGCGCAACCAGAATATTGAAATGACCTCTCTTTTAAGCTGAAAATTGCTTTTTTATGTTCCATGCATCAAAATTTTCCCATTCTTCACACTATTAATAAGGAGAAAGTCTGAAAAAAATTGGAATTTCTTAGAATTTTTTTGGGTTAGTTCAATTTTTTTCTGAACTTCGAGTCTATTCTACAAGTTATTCCATCGGAAAAATTCACCTAACTGAGTTTTTTTCAACTGACAGACCGCGATCTGATTTCAAATTTATCCATTGTAAATGATCAAAATCGATAATATTATTAATTTGAAACCTTTAACCTTCAAAATACCTTTGAAAAAAACCTCCGCAGAAAAAAAGGTGTTTCGAAACTTGACTTTTTTGGCTTCAAAAAAAGTTTTTTCATCAATTTTTTAACGAATACCATTGAACCTTCTTAATTGCAAACGTTCAAAAATGAAAAAGTGCGTTTTCCTGATTTTTACCATAGGCAGTCACAGTCAAAGTCCAAACGACCTTAAAAAGGCTTTATAAAGAAAATGCTAAAGCTCCTTTTTGAGTTCCTAAGGTCTCAAGAGTTTCTCGGAATCTCCTTTTTTCCATCTTCTTTTCCGCCTTATTTTTTTAGAACTCCTTAGAAGGTCCTTTTCAGAAAAAGCTTTAGAAAAAAGGCGCTTTTGAGGTCGCTTAAAGGCCTTTTTTCCAAAAGTCCTTTTTGAGTTTTGGGCTTTGCCCGTGATAGTTCGATACCGCTTTGAAAATTCTTTTTTTTACCATTCATCCGATTTTTCTCTGAAAATAGTAAGGATTCTTGATTTTTTGATTGATTGATTAAACTACAGGAGCCTCCGAAGTAATCCGAAAGCCTATAAATATATATAATCAAAAACGAGGAAGTTTTGCAGATTGAGATTTTCCGGACCTTTATCTAGTACATCCCGGAGTGTTCTGGCCAATTTTCAGCGCGACCAGAATATTGAAATGACCTCTCTTTTAAGCTGAAATTGCTTAAAGCTTCATATTTTCCATTGGATCAAGTTTTTCCGATTTTCCAACTCTATCAGTGAGAAAAAAGTCGGGCGAAGCTTGAAAGATTGATCTTTTTCCAGCTAGTTTTTTTAATATGTTTTTCCATCGACAAATTTACCTACAGATCCTTCGAAAAAGTTCCGAAAGTTTTTGTCTCCACAAGTTCCTTGTATGGGGCTCAATCCTTCTGAAACTTTCCAAGTCGCGTTTTTTTTTTAATTTTCTATGAACTGAACTTCCATCAGAATGTTACGGATAACAATCAACTCTAGAAGGCTCCAGAAAGATTAAACTATATACGAAAGAGTGTATTTTCGTTCCTGGAGGAACTGTACAAATATCATTTGCAGTCCCTCACCTTCTACATGATGTCTTCCCCGTGTGTCTGGGCCTATGTCCTCCATCGACAGAAACGAAAAGATCTCGTCACGAAAACTTCCGAGAACAAAACGCTGTACTTCAAAGCGCTCGCCGACCAGTGGGAAAGGTCCAAAAAAGGCCCTTTTCCTCATTCTTCTTGCTTCAAGTCAGTTACTTTTTTCGAATTTTTAAGTTCTTTAAGATGTCCTGTCACTTTTTCTTGAATTAAAAAAAGAAGTTTCTGTTTGAAAAATAAAAAAAAAATAGAAAAAAATCTCTTCTGAAAGCAAAGGTTCTGAGAAGATTTACAGACTTGTATAATTCATTCTCATGTTACTCACTTATTGCTCATCTTAAGAACCTTAAGTAAAATCTTAGAAGCCCCTCTTTTGCTGTGTATGAACCCTTTTTCAACACCTCAGATTACCTATTTATTGCTCATCTTATGGAAATTCGAAGCTTCGGAGCTTTTACATTGTTAAGACTCCCAAAATCTCATAATATAAGCTTTTTCTCATCTTATAAGCTGTTACGAAACTATTTCTCATGATGGATTGTGAAGCTTAAAAATCTCACTCATTCTCACTCATATTACCAACTTATTGCTCACGTTACAGCTCCAAGATCCACCCGAACGGCGTCCACCGTCCATCCATCAGTCCGCAAAACTCATCTTCCAGAAGCAGACAAAACAACGATTCCTTTCAAATATGATATACCATAATTCCATTTAAAGAAGATTAATTTATTATAAGAAAAAAAGAAAGAAATTCAATAAAACATATATCAACGTTCGCAATAAAAAAGGTTATTTATGGATTCAACAAAATAAAAAATAAATAATTCCAAACACCAGCATAGTTCTTAGCAAGAAGGAACCTAATAAAAAAGGAAGGAAAGAAAATAAAGTACAGAAAAAGCGGATGAATAGTTAGAAGTGAAGTTGCAGGAATACGTTGTGTACCGACTAGTATATGGCTTTTTTTTTTCACTTCGAGGGTTTTTCTGAATGAAAAGGTGAGTGGATAGGCTTTTTTTTTTTAAATTGTCGTCAATTGTAGTGTTTGGCCCGCAAACACCTTATTTCACGCCGAAAATTGAAAAATTGCATTTTTTCGGAAAAATCTGGATTTTTAAGAATTTTTTTTTGAATGAAAAGGGTCAGAGAAGCCAAAAATTCATTCTCGAATAATCGAAACTACTCTCAAAAAGCGGCGAAGAGCGAAAATCGAAAACTTCTCAATAAAAATTGTTTGGCCATTTCTTAAAGCTCATTCCCACTCACCTTTTGAAAAGTGGTTATGAAAGGTAATGTATTTATAGGTATTTGCAAAAAAGCTCTGTACATACTGAAAAATGAGAGGAATAGAGAAAAGAAGAAGAAGTAGAAGCTGCCAGAAGATGAAGAAATGGATCGATTTATTCACTTTTTTTTAGCGTTGTCCTTTGGAATGATCGATGAGCCATTGAAGTGTGATGTCTGGAAATATTTTTCTTTCTTTTAATTCCATGTTTAGTCATCTAAAGTTGCAAGGTATCAGTAAATCAACAATTATGGAATTTCCCAGAGAAAGAATCTAATTGCAAAATTAGGTGATCTTTGCTGAAAACAAAATAATTGAAGTTCTTGGAATTTTTCAATTCTTTGCGACGTTTTAAATAGACACTCTAACGTTACGGGGAAGTTGTAATAATTAAAGCTTGGGAAAAAGTTAATAAATCACTGGGAATTGAACAAGTTATCTAGAAAAGGGAACGTAAAAAGCTTTCCTGGTTCAAAAAAACTGAAATTTTCAAATTTTCATCAAAATATCTCAATTTCAAAGCTCCGAAAATCCTCTCAAGTGTCAGAACCCCTCAAAAACATCGAGATAAGACGGAAAGATACCGATATTCTCCTTCTCCTTGCAAGAAATCGAGTAGCAGCAGATTTCGCGGTTCTGGATCGCCGCCAGATTCCTGGAAAAGCCATACTTTAAGTTCTAAACGAGAAAAACAGAAATTTTTAGCTTCAAAATAGGATTTTAATAGAAAAAACAAAAAAGAATTGTAAGATTCAGATCATCGTAGGGCGAATAATAACCGCCAAACGGGAATTTGAGAAACTCGGTTGGTTTAGCGACAGATTTACGGGTAACAAGCCATCAAAAACTTGCTCCCTGAATAGCTGCGCATGGAGGGGAGTCGAACCTGCGACCCCTTGGGCAATGGCCTGGCCGCTTGCCGGTTGCGCCACGCGCTCATCACCTGGCCTGACAGGCGATAGCGCACCAGATCACGGCGGAAAGGAATATGGGAATGTCGAGGAGAAAAAAAGGCAAAAGGAGAATTTTGAGATGCAAGACAGTGAAAAATGAAGAGAGGAAAAGAAAATTTATTTTTTTTTGGAAAAAAGGTAAAATAGAAAACTTTGGTTCGAAAAATATTATTTTTCTCCATTTTCAAGCACGAAACCCACATTCTCTCAATGAGCTGACGTTCATCGAGAGCTCCCGGCAAATCTTTCTTATTTCCAAGGACGAGAACCGGAATCGCGTCCAACTGAGCCTTATCCAGCAACTGCATCAGTTCGTTTCGCGACGCCTGAAAGTTCCTTTTTTCTCAGTTTTAAGGTTAAAAATTGATTATGATCAGAGCATTCCTCAAAGAAAATAGTCAATTATCGTCGAAATCTCTCCTCCATATATAATTTAGGGTTTCGCGAAAATGAAAAATGAGAAAGGAGAAGAAAAAGACTATTTTCCTTCATCAAGAACACATTTTCAAACATTTCTCACTAGTTAGACGCCCCAGAATGGTCACTAGAGGGGCAAAATTTGGGGCTCTGAAGCGTCCCCTCTAGGGATCACTTAATCAACTTCTATAGGGACCACTAAAGCTGGCAAAAAAATGGTCGCTATAGGGGACATGCTAGTCGATTAACGTTAAGTACTCTATGGGAAAAAGGATTTTCAAAAAAACAATAAATTAGCGTTTTTGATAGAAAAATATCAACTGAGGATGAATTAATCAACTTTTTTTAATTTTTAGGGTCCCTTGAGCATTAGGGCCTTTGGGTCAGATCCAACACCCCTATAGGGGCTGCTTTTCCACCCGATCCCTATAGGGACCACACTAGCGTTCCTAAGTTATACTTAGCTTCAAGATAAAATAATTTTAAACATTTTTGTTCGAAAGAACCTGATTTTATATGATAATGATGTTTCAAGGTCAGCATATCGTGTTTTAAGCAACTTTTCGCCAATAAGAGGTGCTATTTTAAAGTAATCAACTACTGAATCGGTTCAGAAAGTTGGCAGTGAGACGAAAATTTTTGATAAGCTAATTAATTCTGTTTTCAATTTATCCAACCTAACTTGAAACTATTTTTTAACAGGAAAATTTTACGTAGTCTACCTGAAATATTTAATCTATTTCGAAACAAACCTCGAGTTTTTCCTCGTCCGCCGCGTCGACCATGAAAACAATGGCGTTGACCCCCCGGCAATATCGCTCCCACATGGATCGGAAACGCGGCTGACCGCCAATGTCCCATAACTAAACCAAAAATACTAATTTTTCTGTCGTGAAACTACACTAAATACAAAAAGTGCCTGAATAATTCAAAAATTAGAGCGTAAAAATCTTATTAAGAAACCAATCAATTTTTTCACGGTTCTCAAAACTCCAATTTTGCGCAGTTCATATCGAGAACATTTTGAAAATTCTTCGAAAGCAATACTTTGCGAAAAATTTTGCACTATTTCCAGTAATAATCCTAATCCAAAAGCAAAGAAATACGAAATAAGAGAAGCTAGAGCAAATAAAGAGAAAGCCTCGCACCTTAATCGTCACGTTGCCTTTGGTTATTTTCCGCATGTTGAAACCAACTGTCGGGATCATATCCTCAGTGAATTGACCACTCTGAATCAAACATCATCTTAATTTCTCCTCAGAACCCAAAAACTAACAGCAATCACGTTGACAAACGTCGTTTTGCCAGAGTTTTGCAGGCCGACCAACGTCAATTCCATCTCTTCTTTCCAGAAAAGACTGCGGATCCAGTCCAAGACGCGATTCACCATGGCCAGCATTTTTCTTGAAAAAAAAGCACTTTGTAAACTCAACAATGACAAAAAATGCATTGCAAAGTGCGTGGTCCCAAAAATCGATGAAAGCTAAATGAGCCACGGAATTGATCGCCCTGCACAGACATTTACAAGCAATACGAATTTATTTTTGTAACTAGCTAGAAGAAATTATTAAAATCGAGAATTAACTGATGGTTGATAAGAGATAAAGAAATTCATCAATCACTGAAAAAAATAGGAAGGGAAAATAGGAAAAAATGGATCTGAAATAGCGACGGCTAATGGTTTCGAAACATTATGAACAACATGTTGGCGAGAAAAGAAACATTTCAACGAAATACAGAGATAAAAAGTTGTAAATAAAGGGGGAACGCTGGGAAATCGGAAAACGATTGCGAAAGCAAGTATGCCCTAGCGGAATAAATGGTTTCAAAGCGAAGCGACGCCGCGGTGCGTCCATATTACGCCGCAAGCGTCGAGAATTCGTCGCCTGAACGTTGTTGACTCGCTCTGAAAACGGCTTTTTGTCGTTGTTGATGAGCGCTTCTGGTGTCGTTCAGAGACAGCTAAAGGACGACTGGGACAATCGCGAGTACGAACAGGTTGGAATTTATGAAAAGAACGGAGAGTAACCTGAAAAGGAGATTTTTAAATTTAAAAAAATTGAAGTAGAAATGAAAAATTTTTTTACTTGTTAGAAAAATTGGTTTAGTTTTTTTATGTCGGCTTATTTTTAAATCATAGTTTGAAGTGGAGTGCATGATGCGACTGATATTGTTGGGATCAAAGTAAAATCAGACTTTAAAATCATTTAAATTTGAGATTTAATAACTATTCCTTCATTTTCCCGATTTAATTGCACGTATAAAACTCCTTTGTTTTTTCAGATCATTTCTGATAACATCAAGAACATCGCTAACTTCTTGTCAAGCTTTGGTGCGTTAACTAATAAAGACTTTTTGCAATCAAGTCTAATTTTTATTCAGAGCTCTCGTGCCGAAGCAAACTAGCTGGTCTTAGCGACAAGATCACGCTTTTGGAAAGAAAAGTCGAGTATTTGGAAGCTCGAGTAAGATTTTATCAATTTTTGAATAATTTTGCTTTTTCAAGTTTTTATTTTCTGGTACATACCTTTTTTCAACTCACCTACTCCATTAATTTTCGCTTTTTTTAAAGTTTTTTGAGACTTATTCTCTTCCAGTAGCTTCATATGCATTGTTTCCTTCACGTTTATTTCATTTACTTTTTCTCGCTTCGCATTAATTTGCGCTTTTCAACAGGTAACTTGAAATTATATATTATTTTCCAGGTAACCAAAGGAGACACCCTTTCTTGAATATGTCTTCAACTGCGAAGATCGCCAAAACCACGGCGAATGCCGTCCGAACTGTGGCGCCCGTCAAATCGACAAATCACAAGGATGCCCGTTTGGCCGTTCTTCAGGTCTACAAAGAGTTGTAAGTTTACTTTATTTCCGGCAATTATTTTTCGAATTTTTATTGGAATTCGCTTTGTTTAAGACTTTTTGCTTCATTAGTACTTGATCTCAAGATGTTGAAAATTTTTTAAAACTTGCTGTGAACTTGAAAATTTTCGGATATTTTAAAATTTAGTTTACGGTATACTATTTCTGTTTGAAAGAATAGAAAGTTGTAATTTAAAGAGCTTTCAACGCTAAAAAGAATCAAAAAGGTTAATAAATTAATAATTTAAAGATTTTTTTCTTTCGCTTGTACTCTACCTTCGTAGAATTTATCAATTTTAAAATCATACAAGACATTTTTGAAATGCGATCGTTTGCAGCCAACGCCTGACGCCAAAGTTCTGGTGGGATTTCGGCCTGCAGGACATGCCTTTGGGAGTTTTCCGCGCCGTTATCAAGAAACAGTTCACGAAAAACGCCCAACTGACCGACGTTCGCGTTATCGATCGCCTTGTTGGCGAGACCCACCAGGTTTCCATTGAAAATATAGTGGATTCCGCACGAACTTGTCACGTAAAAAAGTAGGAAAAACTACAGTATGCAGAGCTTTCGCTTCAAGACCTTTGATCTAAAGATGTACGGTATTCTGATCAGAAAAAAAGTGACAAGTTGGCGCGGGATAGGCTATAACCGCTTTTCTATAAAATTCTGCTTTAAAACTTTTTAGGTTATGAAAAAAAATTTTTCTTTAATTAAAAAAAGATGTTTCAAAATAAAATATTTTTTCATCAAGGCTTCCAAGTGAACTGGAAAAAAGAATTGCTTTTCATGATGATATTTGGATTACTTTGAATTTTTATTCTTGGAAAATTATTCTCTTCATAGTTTCCTCTAGGACGAATTGACAATAAAAAAAAAATGCTAAAAATTTTCGAAAAATGATGTTTTGCAAAGCAGAAGCTACGGTGAGAAATTGGTAGTTTCAAAGGTTTATTTCAAAGAAGTGGTTCTATTAAACTGCGTCATAGTATTTTAAAAATCTCGCATGCTGATCAGGTGTCTCAACGGGTGTACCCGTATTAAACCCGTGTTTCTGAGGTTATTTTAGTCTCAGTTGGGCTAAAACGGGGGAACAACGGGTGTAAGAAAAATATGTAACCCAGCTGTGCTAAAGCGGGGTCTCAGTTGGGCTAAAAATTGCCAAAAGTGCTATCAGATGGGCTTTTACGGGTTTTATACGGGGGCACCCGCTGAGACCCCGTGTTAGCACGGCTGGGTTACCCTGCTCAGCATTCGAGAATGTTCTATTTTTGTTCATACCCCTTTATCAAAATTTTCTCCGCTTCCAACAGTAATTCTCATTTTTCCTGTCAATTTCCAGCACATGTACTCGATCCGGTACGCCTTCTACAACCCAGACCACGTCCGCAACTATCTTTTCGCCGAAAATATCGAAGCGAAACCGAAAGATTTCCTCTCCAAGTTCCTCAACGGAAAAGAATAGATCCCCTCCCTTTTTCACTGTGTATTTTATCGATCGAATCGTTTATCTCGTAGGTCGTTTTCTGGTGTAAAATATGTATGTCTTTAAACACGTGTTTTCCTAGATGAATAAAGTTCGAAATTATTTTTCCTTGTTGGAGATTTTCGTTCTGTTTTTTTGGTTTCGTGCCAAGATTTTTATCTATTATTGGTTATTTTATTTGAACTTTTATGGTGTTGATTATTCACTAGAAAATTGCTTTTGAACATAATTCCAATCAATTTAGCAATTCATAGAGGGTTTTTCGAAATTGTATCGAATTTGAGTAATTTAAACGCTTTTTGAAAGATGCAAATAATTTTTTTGGTCCTTCTCAGCTTCAAATCTTGAAATTTTTTTAAAGTTTTGTCTTTTTTTTTTTTAGAAAAAAGATGGAATTTTGAAATTTTCAGTAAGTTTTTTAATTACAAAACTTTCATTATGAAGTTAAATTAACTGTTAAGATGATAAAATCGTTCCGTTTTGCTGCCCTTCCGGCGCGTTTCCACAGTTCTACGTCTTCTTCTTCAAATTCTTCACTAATTTCTGGTTCAATAGACCAGAAAGAGGTTTTTTGAACATTCAAGGGGAAAAATCCGAAAAAAAAAACGGTATGAAAAAAAGTCCATTTTCAGGTAAAATTTAAGGTTTTTCAGTGCTTTTTTCATTATTTCTTGTTGGGGGATTCCATTTCAAAAAAATTAGAAATATAGCTTTTTCTAATTTAGAAAGAACGAAGATTAGAAAGTGTAGAACAGTTGTCATTAAAAAAAGACGAAAGGGTAGTTAATCTTGAAAAAATGGAAACATAGGCAAAATCGTAAAGGGTGGAAAAAAGGCTTCATAGAAATGGTCCTTTTTGGGTGGCAAATGTTCCTTTTTGCGTAATTTCATAATAAATGGAAAAAAAAAATTGAAACCTTTTTGCTGCCTTTCTACGGCCTTTTTTGAGCATTTTAGCGGCCATTATTCACCTTGTAATGAGCTTTTTCGAACTTTTTCAGAACTCTAAGCGAAACTTTTTGAATATCATATTTTTTTCAAATAATTAATAATGAAATTCCAGGTTGAAAAGTTCGGCGACCTTTCACACGAATGGACGGACGAAAAAGGCGCTTTCAAAGCGTTGCATTCTTTAAATCGCTTAAGGGTTCCCTGGATCCTTTCCAATGTCAAGAGCAAGAAAGAAGTGAAAATTGAGAAGATTTCTCAAAAAATAATCGTTATTTTTAGGGGGAAACACCGAAAATTGTCGACATTGGCAGTGGCGGCGGAGTTTTGTCGATTCCCTTGGCCAGGGCCGGCCTGAAAGTCGTCGGAATCGACGCCACCAAAGAAGCTGTTCGTTCCGAATCGATTTTATGCCCTTTTGAAGACAAATTCAGGTGGAATCGGCGAAAAGAACATTGAATTCAAGGCCATTGCAAGTTTCAAAAGTCGCCGAAAATGTCAAGTTTGAGTGGACCTCGGTCGAAGAGTTCTCCGAAAGGGAGGAGAATAAAGAACGTTCGTTTTTTACAGGTTTTGGGAAGATTTTGCACTAGATTTTTCGTCAAATTAGAAGGGAAAAAGGCGTTTTGAGGAAATATTTGTAGGATTAATGGAAGAATAAATTAGTTCTAATAATTTTTTAGATTTTCTTTCCGAAAATATTGAAAAAAGGGGATGATATATGACTCCAGGGTCGACTGAAAATTGAAAAAAAGACGATTAAAAAAAATTTTTTTTTGGAAAAGTTCAAAAAATGGGGCGATTTGGGTCATATGGACAACTGAAAGTCGAAAAAAGACGAATTTTAAAATGTTTTCTTGGAAACATTAAAAGTTAGAAGGATTCGGGTCATATGGCCGACTTAAAATTGAAAAAAAGACAAATTTTTTAAATTCTTTTCTTGGAAAGGTTGGAAAAATGTGGTGGTTCGGGCTCTATGGCCAACTGAAAATCGAAAAAAAGACGATTTTTTGAAATTTTTCTCTTGGAAAAATTCAAAAACTGAGTAGTTTGGATGTCTTTGACCGACTGAAAACTGAAATAAGATAATTATTCAAATTTAAGAATTTTTGTAGCGTTTTTGCTGGAACCTTTCAAAAACGGAATTTAGAAGTTGAAAAAGTTCAGAATCAAGCTTTTAGTTGTTTTCTAAGTTGAAAAAGTTCAGAATCAAGCTTTTAGTTGTCAATACCGTTACACGAAAAAATGTATAAATTCTTTTTCGAACAGAATAATTTGTTCATCTCCAATCTGAAAGCTTTTTATTCGCAGTACATTTCAAAAAAATAGTTTGATTATTTTTACTTTTTTTCTAATTCCGAACCCTTTGACTTTTCATAAGTCTTCAAACAATATTTATTTTGTTTATTTAGTCGTAAATGTGAAAAAAATCATTTTTTCTTCATGGGAAGTGAAAACATAATTGGATTGGAGATCTACGGCGGCGATATCGCGCTGAAAAACTGCCCGGGGCGTTTTTTCTGCCCCCATCTCATTACACTTTTCTTTTTCTTAGCCCTTTTTGCTCATTTTTTGGCTTAGGATTTTCTGAGGAACTTCTTGTATTGGTTTTCTGTTAAATTTTAGAAAATCGAGGCTTTTTGAAAAAGTTGAAGTATGGTCATTGATGCTCAAAAAAACCAAGGCCTGCTCCAAAATACATTTGCGGTTCAAATAATAAAAACACTTCTAGGCTTTTCGTTAATTTTTTCTTGAACGTCCTGAAAATTTATAAAAGGGTCTTGACACGAATCATGGTTTTGTGAGTATTTTTTAATGGAAAAAACGCTTTTTTAGCCTTTTAAGAGGCATTGAACTTTAACCTTTATAAAAACTTGAAAAATTCCTCTAAAAAAATAGCTCTAAAAATGCTTTAAAAGGACCATGTAGAAGTTTAATAAAGGTCTTGAGGGGAATAGCCGATTTTAGAGCTCTTTCTAAGTGATTCTGAAGTTATCTGCCCTTCCATACTTCATTTTGAACAGACTCTAGAATTATTTGATACTCACAATTCATTTTAATTCCATTTTTTTAATCGCCTTGGAAAAATAAATCGTCTCTCTGAAGAAAAATGAGGAAATCGTCTATATTTGCCAGTTGGAGTCCTCGATTTCTGTGTATTCAGGCCTTGTCTCTTGATTTTCCTTTTCGAATCATGTCCAAATATGAAACTCATCTCTCCCTCTCTGCGTCTCTCGTTATCTTGTCTCCCTCGCCGCTCTATTTCTCTGAAAATGACGGCGGATAAATCGTGGCGCTCAATTCGCAGTTGCAATTATTGCCACGTAGTCGATTTTCATGTTTTTCTTCATTCTCAAAAAGTGCTTTAAACGGGAAAAAATCTGGTTTTTTTGATGGAAGTTTTCCTTTCCCCCTGTTGTTTTGAAGGCCGTAAAGGAATGGATACGATCGCTCGATTTTTATCTATTAATAGACGATCGGGAGGCGATTTATGGTCTTTAATAGGTTAGAAAAGGTGAACTTTGTTTCCTAAATTGATTTTTGAGTTCTTGAGATTTTTTGGATGGTTTTTATTGCATATGAAGATAGTTTTGATTAAAGTTTCCGTAGTAAAAAAACAAGTTATTTTGAATTTTTTTAGCTTGGTCTTTGTTTTCTGTTGAAGTAAGAGTGTACAGAAAAAAATTATTTTCTCGATGGTTTTTTTCAAATTTATGTACTTTCACGGATACAAATTTCAGTTTCGTTTCAAAGAAAAATTGTCAATTTTTTTGCCTACATTTTTTTAACTGGTTGCTAAACAATGAAAAAAATGAGTAGAATCAATTTTTTTTCTTTTGATAAATCAAGCCCTTTTTCTTCCCCTAACCAGTTCTCTAACCATTTTTCTATTTCCTCCCGTTCCAAATAAGGTGTTCCACGTGTCCCTTGAAATGGAAACTAATCAATCATTTCGGCGTTGAGAGAGAAGAAGAAACGGAGACAAAAATGAAGTGAAATAGTGGTGTGTTCGGCTGTTGGTTGACCTGAAAAAGAACGAGCCCGCCGTTTATTTGGCCACTTTTCTATGGTTTCGTCATTTTTTGCGCTTTTTTCCTTTTTTCGAGTCTTTTGTATGGTGTGAAAGTGTGCTTCTGGCTCAATTTTCGAATTTTTGAGCTCGAAAAGCTAGATGCTCAGAAAATAGTTATAGTATTCTTGGTCTGCAAAAGAATTCTATATGAAGTACTTTGAAACAGTTTTTTTATTTTTTTCGAGGTTATTTCTGTGATTTGCACTTTTTTTATCTTTCATGTACTGCAAACGGAGGTCAATTTGATAAAACGAAAAACAAATTTCTATTGAGAAATTTGAAGATTTTCCCAGAGGGACTTTTTATTGAAAAATATTCTGACGATCGAATAAGATTTCTGTTTCAAGCTAAAAGTTTAGAAAGGGAAAGAAATAAATATAGAAAAATTTTTGGAAAATGAAATTTTCTAGATTTTAAAGCTCTATTTTTCAGTTCAAAATCAGGCAAAATTGGAGAAATATAGTTTTTTTCAGCTATTCCTTCAAATTGTACAGCTTATATCAGCTAAAAATGAATGATACAAGCATAGATCAGTACTTGGAAAAATTTTGGCGTCAAAATAAGGATTTTTTTATGAGAATTTTTCTGAAGAGAACGATTCTTACAATTTTCAACAGATTCCATAAATTTAATGTAATAAAAAGTAACCAAGTTTGTCTTAAAATTTACTACTGTATTCTCTAAAATAATTTGAATACATTTTTAAAGGAGCATAGAAGAAATTTATGAATTTTTTTGATATGAGGAACCTTTTTCCAGTACTTATGCAAGACAGTCACTTTTCAAAAGAACAGCAAAAAAGAGACTTTAAAAAAGTTTTTTTGCACCTTTTCTCTAAAAAACTACAGAAAAGATGGTTAAAAACAATGGTCTTGAAGTGAAATTGGTTCAAAATTCTGTTTGGCAGAATGAAAACGTGGCAAACTGGCTCGGAATGGGCTATAATTAATTTTTGACAAGTCTATGATGTAATTTATGTGAAAAAAATAAGTACATATTATTTATCGAATTATAAATAAATAGAAATAGTTCAAATATCAAGGTTTTGAGCCTACAAAAACCATCTAAAGAGCTTCCGAACCCAATTTTGGAAGGAGAAACCTTGACTTCTTCTGAAAAAAGACCCATTCTGCAATTTACAAAGTTTTCCTGCGTAGATCATTTTTTATCGCGATTGGTCTAGCCAGCCAGACAAAGCCCGCCGTTTGCCCTACAAATCAGCGTTTTGTTTTCGTGAGCTGAAAATGTTTTTTTTTCTTCGTCGTTCCCGCCAGCCTGGTGTGCGTGTGTGTGTGTGTGTGAGTGCAGTGACACGGCGGGGCCAATCGATTTTTTGCGTGGTTCGGAGGCCCGAGCGCGCAAAAACCCAGAGAAAACCCGCCTGAGCTGCGGCCCTTTTTCGTCATTCTCTCGGTTTTCCGCTCAATTTTCGTCCTCTTAATTGCGAATAATCGTTTGGAATGTATCTTTCCGATTTCTATCCACAATTTTCGGTCTTATCTTTGTTTTTTTGTGTAGTTTATTCACAAATTCTTCTTCTAGAAGGCGTAGAAGTTGGAATTTTTGAGCCAGACTTTCAAGGATTTGTGAAAGAGTGAAACTTTCTAGAAAAAAAAAGAGATTTTGAGAAAGATTTTCGAGAGAAATTGATGGAAAAACGGGATTTTCATCATAATTTTCGAACTCAAAACGCGTTTTTTGACCCTTTTGACCACAAAAATTGATTCCTTCAAACTCAAAATTCCAAATTTGAAAGCCTAATGTATCGATTTTCTCAAAAAATACACTTTTTTCATAGTTCGAACATTTTGTTTACCTCCACGTGTACACGTTGTCGTTTTTTTTTTCTCTCGTTCTCTCAAATTTTTCGAACTTTTTCTCTGCTAAAAATGTCTACGTAATATTCCTTCATTAACCTTCGAAATTCATCACAAAATTGAGATCCTCCATTAATTTTACTCCCAGAAAATTGTTTCGCAACGTATTATTTGCAATTTTTGGCAGTTAGTTTGATCACCTGACCGATTTCGAAACGAAAAAAATGTGTTTTCTGAGTTTCCGATCGTTATCTTGGGAGGTCTTAGGTGTGCGTTTATTTTAGAACATTTTGCTTTGAGATAGTGTAGATTGATTAGATTTTTTTCAGATTTTTTTGGGGAAAGAAAGTTGTCTAATTTCATTGATTTCTTTAGAAAATTGGAAAAACTTTTTCAAAAAAAGGCGTCAGGCTCTATTGAATTTCAAAGAAGCTTTTTGATTTTTGACTTTGAAAATAGAAATTTTGTCTCGTTCATATTTTTTTCGTATCAATTTCAAAAATATCGACAAAGAAAACAGTTTTTTCCCCATATTTTCCTGACTTTTTAAATTTTGGCTCCTTCAACCTTCGCATTTTTTCATTTGAATTAGTAAAACATCAGCTGAGAAATTTTTAGTGGCCACTATAGGTTTTTGACGTTTTTCAGTGAGCACTATAGTAGTCAAATTAGTGGCCACTTAAGGGGTTAAAAGTTAGTGGCCATTATAGAGGCCTAAGTGTTACTACTAGACCATTAAAAACTTTAGTGTCCACTTTAGGGGTCAATGGATCAAAATAACTGGTCCAATCTGTTTTTTTTAATTATCAGAGTTACTGGATAAAAAACTACTGAAGTGGCCACTTAATATAGAACCTCTATAGTGGCCAATAAAACGGAAAATAGTGGCCACTTTAGTGTCCTCTCCATGTAATCCTTGGCGAGTCTCTATAGTGGCCACTAAAAACTTTCCCAGAAAATATTAAAATGAAAAATTTTTCTGATTTTTCAGCCAGATATAATTCCTTCTAATTTTCACTTTTCCCAAGAATATCGAAGCTTTTTCCAAGGATTATTTCCTCGGAACACAATTGAAATGACACTTGGAATGGAGTGTGAGGAGCAATTAAAAGGGGGGAATTTTTTCGCGCCGAGAGAATCGATGGAAAGAATTGTGGAACGGCCCCCCGACGCCACATCTTCATATTGGGACGCCTTGCTAATGAAGGCCTTTGGCTCTCATTTCATTTCGTGTCGCTCTTTTTTTCGCTTTTTTGCTTTTTATTCTCAGTTTGAGCCTCTTTTCCTTCTCTTTTATTGATTTTTTGGAAGTTACTAGCTTTTGGTAATAGTTAAAAAACGCTGAAAACTGCTGGAACTTCAAAAAAAAAAAAATATTAAGGAAAAATATCGATTATCCCGGTTTTCTCGAACATATTCGCTCTATGGATAATCGAGATAGGATGTTTTAACTTGGATCTTGGTAGTGCGAACCGGATCTTTTCTAGGGACCACTTTAGTAGCGTCAGAACTCTTAAGTGATCCCTAGAATTATTCAGAAACGTCCGGTTTTCGTTACCGCAGTCCAGGAAAGCCGAAAAATCACTATTTGCATTCTTTTTTTCTTGAAATAGATTTCCGAGTTTTTTTCGTCTGAGAGTAATAATTCACCTTTTTTTCAGTATTTAATGACTTAGGATTAAAATGGAGAGGGGGAAGTAATTGTTAAACAGCTCTTGCCTTCCTAATTATGCATTGTAACTCCAGACAATCGGCATTTTATCGACCTTTTGTACGTTTCCATAACGATGTTAAACCGTCTCGGCTATAAAAACCCCTTCCTGAACTCGTTCTTCTCCAGATTTCGATGCCGTCGTTGCCTCGGAGATTCTGGAGCACGTTGCCGACGTCCCGAACTTTGTCCGAAGCGTCATCAGTTTGGCCAGACCCGGCGGATCCATTTTCTTTACTACTATCAATAAAACCTGGATGAGCCGCTTCGCCGCCATTTGGCTTGCTGAGGTGCTTTTTTGGGGTTGTTTTGAAATTATCAAAGGGTATTTTTTTGTAGTTTTTTGGTTTAAAGTTAGCTTGTGGGTAAATGTCATTTTTTGGTCGGAAAAAAAAAATTTTCATTTTTTTAGCTTAATGATTTATCATCCCAATAATAATATTTTGTTCTTTTTCAAGCCTTTTGACTTTTTTTTTAACTATTGAGACTTTTTTAGGGTTTTCTAACCTCGAATTTCGTATCATGAATATCTATGATCATTTCTGAGTTAGTAAAATAATTTTTTAGGGGAAAACTTATATTTTTCCCCTTTAGTTGCGCTCCTTGTAGTTTCGAGAAGCTTGAAAAAAAAATTTCAAGAAAAAAAAAACCACTTTTTCCTGTTTCAGAACCTTTTTTTGATTTTCAAATTGTTGATATTTTCAATCTTTGCGTGGTTAAATCTTCAAGTTAATTTTGAAATTCTGAAATTTTTTTTTATCTCGTCATTCATTTTTTCTCATCAAAATATCATTTACTTCACCAAAAAGATGCTATTTCAAAACATGAAAAACCAATCAATATAATCGTTTCAGGACGTGCTGAGAATCGTCCCGAAAGGCGTGCACCAATGGGACAAATTCGTGGCCCCCGACCAGTTGGCGCGTCTCTGCGAAGGGGCCGGCTGTACGGTCCGGGCCATCCACGGGTTCACCCTGAACCCGTTGATGAACTCCTGGGAATGGGTCCGCCCGACACAGGTCAACTACGCACTGTTGGCCGTCAAGCACGAGGCCAAGGAGGTCGAAATCCTCGAAGGAGAGGCCCTCAAGAAGGAATTCGAGAAGAACGCCCCCAAATACGTCGTTCCCATACAAAAAGTCGACAATAAAGTCGTCCATGTTGATAATTTGCCCGCCGTTTGAGTGGCCACTTGAGGGGAATTATCTTGAAAGTCATGAATTTGAGGAAGCAGCATAAATGAAAGATTTTTCAGAATTTTTAAGTGGTCACTTTAGGGGAGACTAGAGATAGAAGCTTAGAAGTAGAAGTCTAGAATCATCAGCTTCCGGTTTAAGGGGTCATTTTAGGGGCTAGAGCTAGAGTGGCCACTTTAGGGACTGGTTTTAAGATTTTAGAAGTAAAGGCGAAGGAAGAAAAGTAGTCTCTTAAGGGTGTTTGAGTGGCCACTTGAGGGATATTATGTTAAAAGGAATTTTCAAGTGATCGCTTTAGGGGAGACTAGAGATTTCTACTTAGAAGCTTAGTATTAGAAGCCTAGAATCATCAGTTTCCGGTTTGAGGAGTCATTTTAGGGACTAGAGCTAGAGTGATCGCTTAAGGGACTGGTTTCTAGAGTTTATAGGAGTAAAGACGGACGAAGAATCGAAAAGAAGTCTCTTAAGGGATCTGATTTTAGAATTTTTGAAATAGTAAACTTTTTTGTGGAGTTTCTATAGCCTTGCCGATTTTTAATGGGTCTTCAAAAAAAAATCTGAATTTTTTGTGCAATCCTGATTTTGACCTTTTCTAGTGGTTATAATAGATCAAATAGAATCTCGTAGTTTGAAGGTTTATTCATGAATCATCAGAAATTTCATTATTTTGTTCCGTTTTTTTGTTTGCATTTTTCCTTTTTTGGAAAGTGTTTCGTGTTGCCTCGAATGTGATAATGTACAAATTTGTAATAAAGAATTTTCACTTGTATACTTTTTTCCCTGTGATTCCATTGCAGTTGATTTCTGCTCTGTATCTCCCTTTTCGTACTTATTTTTATTTTCTATGATTGACTTAAGGTTGTAACTTAGCCGCCCAACGAGAAACTTGTGCGAAAATGGATGAGGAATACGACGCGATCGTCCTTGGAACCGGCCTTAAGGTGACTTTGACGTTTCGATTTTTGCATTTAATGATAATCTTTTTATTTTTTCAATGCTTACGGTGTTTAGGGAACCTACTTTTGTACTGATGATTTAAAATTTTTTGACAAAGTTGAAGGAAATTTTTTGCTTCAAAACTGATTTGGTTAGGTTTCATGAAACCTTGTTAAGGTCTCAAAAGTTTTGCGGATGAGAAAAATGTCTTTTTTGAAGGATACTCGAGAAATTTATTTGGATTTTTTCCCTTTATTGGATTTTTTTCAATGTCTTTGACAGTATGGACATTACAGCCTTTTTTTCCAAATTTGTAAAATTTTGATTTTCTAGGCTTTTTCTTCATAAGAATGCTTTCAAATCATCTGGGAATATTTTTAGTGGCCACTGTAGAGGCTCGCCAAGAACTACTTGGAGAGAACACTAAAGTGGCCACCTAAAGTGCCCACTAAGACTACCCCTATAGTGGCCAATATTTTCCGTTTAAGTGGCCACTTCAGTAGTTTTTCATCCCGTATTCCTTCCAGTAACTCTGATAATTTTAAAACAAACAGATTGGACCAGTTATCTTGATCCATTGACCCCTAAAGTGGCCAGTAAAATTTTCAGTGATCTAGTAGTAGCACTTAGACCTCTATAGTGGCCAATAATTTTTAACCCCTTAAGGGTCCCCTAATTTGACTACTATAGTGGTCACTAAAACGTCAAAACCCTATAGAGGCCACTAAAAATTTTCCCAGATAGATAAAAATGTTCGCTCCAAATAGATTCAAAAATTTAATCAATGCTCCTTTAAATCAAAAAATAACCCACGATGTCCCAGGAATGCATCATCTCGGGAATGCTGTCCGTGTCAGGCAAGAAGGTCCTCCACATCGACCGCAACAACTACTACGGAGGAGAGTCGGCCTCCCTGACGCCCCTGGAGCAACTCTACGAGAAGTTCCACGGACCCAACGCCAAGCCGCAGCCGGAAATGGGCCGCGGACGCGACTGGAACGTCGACCTCATCCCCAAGTTCCTGATGGCCAATGGGGAACTCGTCAAGCTGCTCATCCACACCGGCGTCACCCGCTACCTGGAGTTCAAGTCCATCGAGGGGTCCTACGTCTACAAGGGCGGAAAGGTAATCGAGAGCATTCTTTTTTTGAAAAGGCCTAAAACAGTTTAGGAAGGCTTTTATTCAAGTTTTTGGGCTTTGATGGGTGGCTCAAGGAATTTTCAGAACCCCCCACGCAAGTCCGATCAAGCCCCCCACCAAGACAAAAATTCGATGGAAAAATTCAAAAAAATTAAAAATATAACGATCTTATCAAAAAAACGCGGTCTCCCTTCAAATCGCGTCGATACCCATTAGCAAATTATTTCACTTACTGGTGGGAGCACGTTTAGACGGGGGTTTGAGGGGGCTCTTTCCTACACCAGTATAGGAAGGGGGGCTTTTTTTCCTACACCAGTATAGGAAGGGGGGGCTTTTTCCTACACCAGTATGGAGGGGGCTTTTTTTCTACACCAGTATGGGGGGCTTTTTTTCCTACACTCCTACACCAGTATAGGGGGGCTCTTTCCTACACTAGTATGAGAGGGGGGAGGCACTCTGGAATGTACCCAATAACTCAGAAAGGTAGGAGTCCCTAACAGCCAGAAAAACTGAACGTAGAATCTGTCTCGCTTCAAAAACATAATGATCCTCTTTCTCATTCTCAGCTCTGCTCTTATTGACCCATTTTTGCAGATCTACAAGGTGCCGGCCGATGAGATGGAGGCCCTGGCGACCAGCCTCATGGGAATGTTCGAGAAGCGTCGCTTCAAGAAGTTCCTCGTCTGGGTGCAGGCCTTCGACCGCAACAACAAGGAGACCTGGCAAGGACTCGACCCCGACAACAACACCATGCAGCAGGTGTCTTCTTTGGCAAAATCCGAGTTTTTGCGTTTTTAGAACGAAATCTGTTGTAGAAGAATCAGGTCGAAATATATTTTTGAGAGTTCGTCAAATTTTCCTTCTATATTTTTTTTTTCAAATAGTCAAACAATTATGAAAAATTCCACTTTTTCAATTAGACCGCTTTTCGGGCCCGCCCCGGGCCAACCGGCTTTTTAAAGCTTCGCCCCGGGTCATCCCGCATTTTTAAGTACTCTCCCGGGACGACCCGTCCCGCAAGTTGCAAACGAATAAAAATGTAGAATATGGCGGAAAAAGTAATGAAAAAATAATGGAAAATGGCTGTTTGACAAATGGACCGCTTTTCGGGCCCGCCCCGGGTAAACCCGCGTTTAAAAGCATCGCCCCGAGCAAACCCGAAAGTTGAAAATGAGTAAATAGCGAAAAAAAACTGATAAAAAGAATAGAGAAAAATGTTTTTTTAACGATTAGACCGCTTTGCGGACCGGGTAGCCTCGGGCCAACCCGTTTTTTTTTGAGGAGCTTTGGTGTGAACTGTTTGCATTTTGGTCAGGTGATAAAAATTAGAAAAATATTATCCTACGATCCTTCTATCTTTATTTCTAGCTTTTCTTTCCTTATGGCCATAACTCACTTCAATACCTTTTCCAGGTGTACGACAAGTTCGGCCTGGACGAGAACACGGCCGACTTCACGGGACACGCTCTGGCGCTCCATCGCGACGACGACTACAAGAACCAGCCGTTCGGGCCGACCATCGACATGGTCCGTCTCTACTCGGACTCTCTGGCCCGCTACGGAAAATCTCCCTACTTGTATCCGCTCTACGGACTCGGAGAGCTTCCTCAGGTGAGTATCGAAGAAATTTTTCATTCAGAGGTAAAAATATTAATCTGGGTTTGCGGTTTTGAGAGATTTATATGAACAATAACTTTTGAATAAGGGGTTTTTAATAAAGTTCACACAAGTACCCATGAAGTTGGGATGAGTAAGGATGATTTAATATTGAGAAAACTCGGAAATGAGAGAAGTTTAAAGGTGCTAAAAAGTGTTTGAGGGATAATTTTGAAAAGGGAAAAATTTTGGGAATCATTTTGAGCTTGAAGGAAAACATCTATAGAACAATTTCGGAAAAAAAAAATCTCTAGAACCTTTTTTGAGCTTGAAGAAAGAATTTTCAACCGATTTTTGGGAAGCTTTATGAGTTAAAGTGTTTATTTTTCTGGTTTTTCAGTTATTTTTTTATCGGTTCAAAGAATTTTCTTAGCTTTTTATAGTAGTAGAGGTTCTGAATAACATTAAAAATTGTTTGAATTTGAAATTTTGCTTCAAGATCTTGTCAAATTTGTCTATGACGTTTTTTTTCCTTTCAACTTTCAAAAAACATTTTCTCAACCTGTATGTCACGTTTAAAGTAGTTTCCTCGAAGATCAAATTTATCTCTGACTCTCCGAAATTATATTAACTTTTTCTTTCTCTGACGACCATTTTAAACTTTTCGGAATCCCTATGGAGACGGCTTTATCGAAAGAAACTCTGAAAAATGTCCCCTTCCAGGGCTTCGCTCGCCTCTCGGCCATCTACGGCGGCACCTACATGCTGGACAAGCCGGTCGACAACATCGTCATCGAGAACGGCCGCGCCGTCGGCGTCAAATGCGGCGAGGAGATCGTCCGCGGCAAGCAGATCTACTGCGACCCGTCCTACGCGCCCGAACGCGTCAAGAACGTCGGCAAGGTCGTCCGCGCCATCTGCCTCCTCAACCATCCGATCCCCAACACGAACGACGCCCAGTCCTGCCAGATCATCATCCCGCAGAAGCAAGTCGGACGTCACTATGGTGAGCACTTTTGCCTTGGTCTTCCGAGATGCGGACAGATTTTTCACCTTGTTTAAAAAGTATATTCTCAAGAGCATAGAGAAGTGATAAAATCCGTTTCGAAGTAGATATGTATTTTTAGGGTTTAGAATAATTATCTCAAAAAATGTTCAAACTAGAATTTTTTTTTTTCTCAATGGTAAGAAGGCCGTGTAGAAGTTGACATTGCAATTTTAGCTTTACCACAATTTTCGACACTTGAAGGCTGAAAAAGTGGCAATTTATGAGGTTCTTCAAGAACTACTTGAAGAGGAAACTAAAGTGGCAACTAATACCACCTCTAAAGAAGCCACTATTCCGCGGCTCAGTGGCCACTATAGTAGTTCTAGTCGTCTAGTATTACCAGTTAGACGTCTGAAGAGGCCACTCAACCGTAAAAACCCTAGAGGGGCTACCAAAAATTCTCCCAGTGTCTTGAATGAAATTGAGAGACCCCTATAGGGTCCCCTTGAGCTTTACGGGCTAAGGGGTAAGATCCTAAAAACCTATAGGGACCACTTTAATTTTACCCCTATAGGGACTACTTTAATTTTATCTCTATAGAGACCGCTTTAATTTTATCCCTATAGGGAGCCCTTTATCGGCCTCTATAGGGGTTTTTTTTCATTTCTAACCCCTATAGAGACCACTCTGGAATTCCTAATAAAGGCATTTTATTTATTTATTTTTTTTCTTGTGAAAAGGTCTCTATAGTCTTTGTATCTTCAAACAAGAAAATTTAGATTTTCCTACAAAGCGATCTTTTTTTGTCGCAATGAAGTTCTTTCCAGACATCTACATCTCGTGCTGCTCGAACACGAACATGGTGACGCCGAAAGGCTGGTACGTGGCGATGGTCTCGACGACCGTCGAGACGGCGAATCCGGAGGCCGAGGTCCTTCCCGGCCTCCAGCTGCTCGGCCCCATCGCCGAGAAGTTCATCTCCGTCTCGGACGTCTTCGAGCCCGCCGACCTGGGCAGCGAGTCGCAGATCTTCATCTCGCGGTCCTACGATCCCACTTCTCACTTCATGACCACTTGCAAGGTGCTTTCAAAAAAAGGAACTGTAGAAGAATTGATGATTCATCCATCTCTAACTAAACTCTGATATGGTGCTCTAGCTCTTGCGAAAAAAGTTCTCTTGGATATTCCGAAGCTGATTTGACGATCCAAGGGATCCCTCTAGGGGTGCTAGGTTTTCTTCAATTTAAGTCACCGCTTTTCCTCAAATTTCTTTAAGAAGCTTTAAAAAGCCTAGAAAATCATTGATTCCATCATAACTGGAGGACAGAAAGAAGAGAAATTTAGATTTTTGAGGTGAAAATTGATATAGCCCATCCATAGATAGCTTCTAAAAACGAGATTTATCGCGAAAAATGAGCGAAAAGCCGTACTTTGAAGAAAATTATCGCTGGAGCGCACTTGTATACTTTATTGAGCCTTGAACTCGAAAAATTCGAAATTCTGATGAATATGTTTTTGCTCTTAGAGTAAAGTTCTTCATTGTAAAATCAAAAAAATACAAATAATATTATCGAATTTTTCAACCTTTTCACCCAAAAAGAACTTGGTTCAACTACTATGTGAAAGTTTCCAGGACGTTCTGGAGATTTTCGCCCGCGGCACGACTCAGGAGTTTGACTTTGGCAAGATCACCCACTTGAGCCTCCAGGACAACGAATAAACTCGGAAAATATCAGTATTTAACGGTCGTTTGGTCCATCCGTACCCATTCCCCCAACTATTCTATTTTTCTCTATCGCTCTTTTTTCCAATGTTTATTATTTATTCATGATTTTTCATCCCTATTATGATTATTTTGAGCATCATTCAGTAAGTTCTGGTTAGTGAGAATTTAACAAAAAACGGCAAAAATCTTCAAAAAAAAAAGTTCTTTTCTAATTGTGATAATTTCTGCTTGTGTTTCTCCACACACACATCTCGTCAGTCTCCCCAATTC